TATACATGAAGGCCCCTCCATATCTAATTTATTTAACTCTCCTCCCCGAATTGAGTAATGTAAATATGAAGGCACCTCCACATTTAAATCATTTAGCGTTTTTTTGGGGAGTGGGGGAGAATTAATAATTTGAGAATCTAAATAGTTTAAATAAATTAAATCCTAAGAAGGGGGAGGAGCTCCCCCCTTCTGGAGGGAATGAAATAGCTTATTTTTTATATGAAGATCCCTATTTGAATATGAAGGCCCCTTCAGATTTACATTGCTTCATTCCCCCCATGGGGCAGGCCCCCCTTGTAGGGTTTGCATATTTTAAACGCATTAATGTAGATAAGTTAAACAAATTTAATTCCTGAAAGGGGGGGGGGGGGGGGGGGCTTTCTCCTTCTGGGGGGAATTAGATAAGTTAAATAAATAAAATTGAAGGCCCCCTCAGATTTAAACTATTTATTCCCCCTGCTATATAGGCCCCCCTTTCAGGATGTAATTATTGAAAATAATATTTTCTTTACATATTTTATGTAAACTATTTCCCCTGCCCGAACCAATGAATTAAATATGAAGGCCCCTTCACATTTAAATGATATAAATTCGGTGAATAGTTAAATACGAAGGCCCCTATTTAAATATGAAGACCCTTCCATATTTACATTATTTCGTTCAGGGGGCAGAATTACATAATTCAAATAATTTGCATCTTGAGGAGGGAGGGGGGGGGGGGGCAGCTCCTTCCTTCTGGGGGGAATAAAAAAACTCACAATTCACATATGAAGGCCCCTATTTAAATCTGAAGGCCCCCTCAGGTTTAAATTTTTACATTGACTAATTCTCCTTGCGGGAGGGGGACCAGGACCCCCTTTCAGGATTTAAATTATGTAAATTATTTAAATGAAAAAATATGTTTTTATTTAATCGGCATTTAAGTCCCTCCCCGAATTAAGTAATTTAAATATGAAGGCCCCTATCTAAATATGAAGGCTCCTCTATTTCTTAAGATACTTACATTATTTAATTCACCTCTCCGAATAAAATAGTCTAAGTATGAAGGGCCCCATTTAAATAGCAGGTTTTTGAGGCCCACCATATGATTTGATCTGTGACATAGAGAGGCAAATCGGCGAATCTGCGTTTTCTCGAGAAAACGCACATTTCAAATCTGCGAATCTGCGTTTTTTTGAGGAAAAGCAGAATTCAACTATGGAAATCTTCGTTTTCTCGAGGAAACGCAGATTCGCAGATTTGCAAATTGGCAGCCCCCAACAGATCTGCGAATCTGCGTTTTCTCGAGGAAACTCAGACTCGCAGATTTGCAGATTGCGGGCTACAAATCTACGAATCTGCGTTTTCCCGAGGTAACGCAGATTCGCAGATTTGCAGATTGGCTGCGGCTGCTACAAATCTGCGAATCTGCGAATTGGTGACCTGAGACGTGGGGTTTTGGGAGGGGGGGGGGGGGCACCATATATATATATATATATATATATGTATATACACACACAAAAATATCCATATGCACAAAGAAATGTGCGTACTTATATATATATATATGTATATGTATATGTATACACATATAGGACACATGTATATATATATATATATATATATATTTATATTTATATTTATACTTATATATATATATATACATATATTCATATATTCATATTCATATTCATATATTTATAGTTCTATTTGTATTTATATTTATGTTTATATCTACATCTATTTATTTGTGTTTTTCTGATATCTGCCCAGCCTATACCTTAAAAACCTATGTATATCCCGAGAGAGAGAGAGCTAGCAGAACAAAACGAGAGAGAGAGAGAGAGAGAGACAGAGAGAGAGAGAGAGAGAGAAGGAGAGAGAGAGAGAGGGAGAGGGGTAGAGAGAGGGCGAGAGAGGGAGAGAGAGAGAGAGACACCAAAAACAAGTACTTCAGGTGAAGCCATGAAGCATGAGCCCTTTAGTGATTTAGGAGCTGTGAGGTCAAGATGCGGAAGTGGATTGAACTGGCTCCGCAACCCGAAACAGTGGACCGCTAACGCTTGCGCCCAAAACCCCTGACACCCTATAAGCCCCAAGCCCGGAACCCAAATCCCTCAAAACGATGAGCTTCGACCCTCAGCCTGATACACCCCGATCCTTCGACCCAAGAGTTAAAGACCCTGCATCCGATGGCCCTCTGCCTCTGGACTTCGGGGAGTCGAAACAGGGGTATGTCGCGGTGTCCCGCCCCCCGCCTCTGTTACATGCGTTTGTCGCGCCCGGTTGTGTCATACGTGTGTCGCGGGCTTGTCGCCGAGGTTTGTCGCAAGAAGAATGGCCTTGTTACAAACCTTGTATGGCAAAAGGCACCCAGGGCCTGTTACATACCCCGGAGTTTTGGCGCCATGTGAAGCAGGGGGTGGGGGGGGGGAGAGGGTGTAGGGTTTCGGGCTGCTGGCGTATTTCTCTTGTAGGGTTCACGCCTCTCCGATGGCAGTTTACGAAGTTCCCGAAACCCGTTTTGGTGGGTTGCTTGGCTTTCTTTCGAGGTGGGGGCACAGAGACACAGAGAGACACACAGAGACCTACGGACAGACAACAGACAGGCACACAAACAAACAAACCAAACAGACGAGCCAAACAAAGCAAACTAACGAGCCAAACAAGCCAAACAAGCCAAGCAAACCAAACAACCCAAACAACCCAAACAAACAACAAACAAGCCAAGACAAACCAACAAACAAACCAAGCAACGCAGAGAGCTAAGCGCAGAAAAACGCTTGGGGGCGCACCTGATGGAGGCGTTGGCCATACTCCCACTCGTGTCGCTCGTTGACTCGAGCGACGCTGGGCGCCTTTTTTCTAAAGCCGGAGATGTCTTTAGGGTTTAGGGTTTACAGGGTTTAGGATGGGTTCAGGGCTTTGGGATTGGGCGGTTTTGGATCTAGGGTAGGGCGAGGAGGATTTAGGTGCTGGGCTGCAGACAGTACAGAGGTCCGAATACAATCGTGGAGCCCCCGCCCCCACCCACCCCGACCCCAACCCGAACCCGAACCCCTTCAGGTTCTGGGGTTCAAGGTTTTCAGGGTTAGGGTCTACAGGATCGGGGGTTTGTGCTTCGGAAACCAAGCTCTAAACGACTCGACCCTTTTGAAACCCAAAAGAAAAGCACCCCCCGCCCTCCGCCCCACCCCTCCCCCCCTTGTTGGCTCCTGGGGCAGAGAAAACCCACGTTCCCCAATGCCAAAACCTGCATCCTGCCCCGAGCGCCCTGAAGCAACCGGATGAAGGAGCCTTTAACTGCCAAAGCATGCACATTCTCGGGTCTTAGGGATCAGGTGGCCCTGCCGGTTCTTGGGCCGGCCTCGAGCTGGACTGCGAGCGGCATCAATGGCACCTGCAGCATCTTAAGCCCCTAAGCCCGAAACCCTGAACCCCAAACCCTAAACCCTAAACCCGAAATCCTAAACCCTAAACCCCCAAGCATCTTCGAATCGGGAAGCCGTACTTGGAGTTTCATGGGTACTTATTAGAAGTAGGGATATGTAGGGATATAAGTGGGATCATTATGGTTATAGGCTGTATTTAAGGTACCCATGAACCTTCAAGCACGCCCCCGAAACCCGAAGCCCTAAGACCCTTCCACAGGGGCGGGATGATGCATTTCGAGATCTAGCATCCCACAGGGTTCCTTTTGTCGCGCTATGAGTTTAGTTGCAAGAGCACCCCAACACAGAGGCTTTAGGGTTGAGGTTGCAGCCTTACGCCCTTGCAACCAAAGAGAGCGCAAAGAGGTCTACATCACTCGCAGCTGTCAAGTGAAGTACCGTACCGGGAGATTCGTAGTGCACCCGTCTGTATGGCCAGGAACGTATCACTAGAGAGTGCAGGTCAGCACTAAGGACCAGGACCTGCTTGGGTATACTCCTTCGTCAGGGACACACCCTCGATCCCCAGGACTCTGCAGCCCTAGAGCCCCCGACGCTAACCCCAAACACCAAATACGAAACTCAACCCCCACCCCGAAACTATGAACCCCTAAACCTCTTGGGGGGGCGAGGGGGGGGGGGGGGGGGGAAAAAATCCTAAACCATCCTAAACCCAAAACATTAAATTTCTGGTAGACCTTGGGGGGGGAAGGCGGGGGCCTTCGCGCCCGGGCCAGAGGGGAAGAAGGAGAAGAAGCGCCACCGCCGTAAGAAGCGCCACCTCCTCCCTAAGGCTCCTGATTACCTGTGCCTCTTGGGTGTGTTCAGGGTTCAGGGTTTAGGGTTTAGGGTTTGGGTTTCTACATAGGGGCTGAGAGTAGTCGGTTTTGGGGTTTCGGGACTCAGGGTTCGGAGGTTTCAGGTGAGTACTAGAAGCTTTTCAGGTCGCAAACCTTAAACCCAAAACCCCAGGCTTTAGTTAGGGTTTCGGGCTACCTCGGGTTTGGGGTTTCTTAGTGTTAGGGTTTATAGGATTTGGTTCTCTTCGCTGTAGAACCTTTGGGAGCCTCAGGGGGTGTAACTGAGCCAAGCAGGACAACAAAAGATGCGAGAGGTATGGTGCGCAGTCGGATGTGTTAGGGCTTATGACGGGTGGGGGGGGGGGGGGGGGGCTTGAGGCCCTAAACCCGAAACCCTAAACTTTGAACCCTAAACCCTAAACTTTGAACCCTAAACCCTAAGCCCATCCTACAGCCCTTGTAAAGAAGCCAAGGATGCCTCGCATGGGAGTGTAAGTAAAACTGTATCGGCAACGGATTGCAGAAAGATGTCGTAAGGTTTAGGGTTGAGGGTTTAGGGATTAGGGATTCGGGCCTTGGTTTAGGGATGAGGGTTTAGGGAGTGGGTCCGCCTTCCGCCCCCCAAGCAAACACAAAAATGAAAGACCGGCACCCCTATCCTAATAACCGGCAAGCCCTCAACATCCCTCACAGGCCTAAAGGCCCTGATTCACTGATCTTGGGGTTTAGGGTCTCAGTGCTCGCAAGCCCCCCCAACTATGGCATTTCTGCGTGTGCAAGCAACCTCCAGCTACAGGCGGCCATTTCGGAGGGAGCTTTCCCCCTTTTCACAGGCGCTGATGGCGGAACTAAAGCTGATTTCATCCTAGGTTGTTGGACTTTTGAACCCTCTGCAAAAATATTCCTAGCGACAATTCTCACAATACTGACTATAAGGGAGCCTATGAAAGTATCCCAAAGGCCTACCCAGCATCCGGCGTGACCTGCATGGTTTGCATGTCTCTGAGAAGCTGGAAGGCCAGCTCCCAGAGTCCCACCTTCTCGCAGGCGCTGATCGTTGCGTTGAAGGTGATGTGGTTGGGTGCAAGTCTGAATTCCTGGGTCGGCCAAGAACCGTCTGTTGCCCGGCTGCCCAGTGACCGACGTCAAAGGGGATAAGGGCAGTAGTGGGCATCGTAGTTTGGGGTATCTTTGGCATTGAGAGAACAACTTGAAGGTTCATGGGTGCCTAGAAGTAGGGTACAAGTAGGGTAACTACGGTTATAACCTTATTTAGGGTAGGGTCGTAGGGTTTAAGGTCCTTGGGGACTTATTATCCTACAATACTCATGAACCTCTTCAAGGTTGGGATGTCCCCCCTTACACAAGCAGTCCGTAAGGCCCCCCCCCCATCCCCCGCATGATAATCGCTACTGTATTAACGACTTTTAGTTATGAGGGGGAACTCCCAACCCTAAACCCTGAACCCTAAACTCTAAACCAACTTCAGTCAAGCAAGGATCGGGCATGATGGACAGCAGCTGCAAGGCCAGCTGCCACTGAAGCGATGCCTCGCAGGCACTGATCGCCGCGCCGAAGCTCACATCGTTCGGCACAACTTCCTCCTCAAGCATTCCTGGGGTAGGGTTGGGGGGGCCCTATAATAAAGATTGAACTTCTGTTGCTTTATAAGGATTACATGACGGGATTCTGGGTCACATAAAAAACTATGCTCCAACCTACCCCAAGACTCCCCAAAAGATGCACATCGCCCTCTGCCACTCTAAGCCTTTCTGGCAGGCGCTGATGGTGGAGCTGAAGGTGACTCTATCGGGCACCAGCGCCGACGAGGACATGTCACACATTTCGGTGAGCACACGGATTGCCGTCTCCCACTCCCAACACTTCCTTGGATTAGGGCTTATAGGGTCTAGGATTTCAGGCTTAGGGTTTCGGGTCCCCAAATCCTAAGCCCACATGGCTATTCCCAAAATAGGGCTAGCCCTTTTATACCCCAAACAGAATGGAATCCCCGTTAAAGGGACTTAAAGGGACCCTTTTCAAATTGGGTACCCCTATTCTTGGAAACCCCCATATGGGATCTTGCACGAAACCTCCTCCTCAGCAAGAAGTTGGGCTCTTGGAGTCCCGAGTAGGAACTCACAGTAGACTCTGGGAAGCCCTGGGATGGCGCCTTGGGACATATCTAAAAAAATCTGTCATACCTAAACCCTAAACCCTAAACCCCAAACCCTAAACCCTAAACTCTGCCCCTCCATATCCGTGCTCCAGTGAAGTGGGCCGTCTAGCACGCCTTCGAATCCGGTTGTGAGAAATTTGGGGCGCATCTACTTCTCAGGGCCACTTTGGCCTCAGGATTGCTTAGGGGGTTCAGGGTGTAGGGTTTAGGTTTTAGGGTTTAGAGGTTAGGGGTAATTTGGGTTTTGGTATATATATATATATATGTATATATATATATTTATTTATATATATATATTTATTTATTTATATGTATATTTATGTTATTATTACTATTTATTACTATTTACTTCTTTTTCTTTGGGGGGGGGGGGTTAGGGAGTGTAGGGGTTTGGAGGGTTTGGGGGGGCATTAAGGGCTCAGCAGCCCAAGCTTCTCGCAGGCGCTGATGGCCGCATTGAAGCTGATGGCATTCCTAGACCCAGGAGTTACCTAGGAATAAACGGGGTGCCCTCATTGGTTTAAAGGGGGTATAATGGAACCTAAACCCTAAGAAAACAGGGAATAAGGGCCTACTTTGGGCCCTAGATTCGGTTGGACCGCCACACGGGCCATGTCGGAAAGGAGCCGCAGAGCCAGCTGCCACTGAAAGCCCTTCTCGCAGGCGCCTCGGAGAATTCCCCCCCCCCTAGCAAAAAAAGGAAAAAAGGGGAGGATCCTGGTGTTGTGGAGGTGGCGGAACCCCCTTTTTTAGTTATTGTACAAGTTCAAAAAAAGAGGTGCTAGGAGAGGCAGCTGGGGTGCTGATGGCGGAGCTAAAGCTTATCTCATCCGGCCAGGCTCTTGCCTCCGTCATGGCCACCAGAAGGCCAAGCGCCACCGGCCACCGTCCAACCTTTTCGCATGCGCTGATGGCGGCATTGAAGCTGACCGTGTCGGGGATGAGCCTCATGGAGGGCATCGCAGAGAGAAGTGCAAGGGCAACCTGCCACTGGCGCCCCTTCTCGCAGGCGCTGATGGCCGCATTGACCCCGACCATGTCCGGTGCGCACGCAGCGCCGGCCATGAGCCGAAGGAGCTGAACCTTGGGAGCACATGAACCGTGATGTTCATATACCCTCATGCTACTGTTGAGTTAGCGAAGAACCAGCTTGTCCCTTTCCCTGTAAATAATATATAGGGGGGGGTTTACCCAACATTTCACGGATTATGGTATGCTCAAGGGGGGTACATACTATTTGGACGACTAACCCCTTTAGGCTTCATCTAGTCCCCGAGGGGCTGCATCCTCCCAGCGTCCCGCGGACCCGCACGCGTTGATGGCAGCGTTGAAACTCACCGCGTTCGGCCGGACATGTGCGGCCGGCATGCCCTCTCGAAGCAGGTGGAGTGCCTTCTGCCACTCCTGGCCCCTTCCACCTTGGCAAGTGCTGATACTTGGGAGGTGCAGGGGCCCTCATAAGTAGGGCTATGAGTAGGGTAACTATGATTATGATATAGTCTTCTTTTGGGGACTTAGCCCTACATATAAGTACCCTACATATAAGTACCCATGAACCTCCAAGTATGAGGATGCACAGAGGGATGTATTATGGGCCCGGCACATGAGGTGCGGTTGCTTGGAATCATGACCGATAATGTCAAGGGTTGACTGCATGGCATAATTTGAGTACCCGACGTGAACATACATGCAGAGCAGAGCTTTACATACATATGCATATATATATATATACATATTTATATTTATATTTATATTCATATTTTTATTCATATTTATATATATATATATACAATCCATACATATAAAGCCTCGAACCCCTGGGCGCGGGGCAAGACACAAAACATGAGATTGCCTCGATTTGTCGAGGGCATTTTTTGTCTTGCTGCCCTCCCCCCCCCCCCCCCCCCCCCCCCCCCCCCCCCTCCCCCGCTCCCAGATTACAAGCATACCTCCAATATGCGTCGTACTTTGTTCAAGATATCATTCAACTAAGGAATAAGCACCCTCCGCCTGGTTATCTTGAGAAATCGGGGGTACCCTGAGCCAAGGGGACATGCTCCTGAAGAACGTGAAAAATTAGGAAACCCAGCCGACCCTAAACCCAAAACCCTAAACGATACACCCGAAACCCTGAGCCCTTGGGTGGTCTCCACCCCCGCTCTCTCAGCTGAAATTGAGGGGCTGGATATCTTAAACTGAAGATGTTGACGGGCTGGACTCCTTACTTCAGGGTGCCAAGCCAGAAATACATTAAGGCACCCGTTCCTCGAATTAGAATATTGAGTAAGAAATCAAGGGCACCCTCAACTTGTTGAGGTCATGGTTCAAAAAAAATAAAAAGGGGGGGGGCTTCAGACTTTCAAACAAAAAGCTGCTTCGAAAAATGGCCGTTTCTTGTGCAGGGCTGCCACTGTACAACAGACTCACTACGATTAACCCACGATGAACGTACGATCTGTGGAGCAGCTCGAAATACAACTTGGGAAGTTCCCCCGTATGCTTAATAGGGATTGTAGTACCCCCCACTAGAATCCCTATTAAGGACTGTTAGATAGTATATAAGGGGGAACAATGGGAACACCCCAGAATATAATTTACCAAGACACAAGCTGAGATGGCAGAGCTGCAACCAACCTCATCTACCGGAAGCTTCGCGGCCGCCATCTGCGACAGCAGCGCCAGGGCCACCTGCCACTGGGATGCCGCCCCACAGGAGCTGATGGCCGCATTGTAGCCTGGGAAGTCAGAGAGGCCCCCCGACTTCCAAAAAACCCTAAACTCCCTAAAACTCCCTGATAAACCCTGCACCCGAAACCCTAAACCCTAAACAATTATAAGCCCTGAGCCCTTGTAAGCCCTAAGCCCTATACAGACATGAATCGAGAAACCCTGGCGCGCCGAAGCAGAATCCTGAAGAAGAAGCCCTCACTAAAAATAGGGTTTAGGGTTTTTGTGGCTTAGGGTTTAGGGCTTTTTGTGTTTGGGCTTTTTTGGGGTTTAGGGCTTAGGGACCGAAATAGGCTGGGAAACTGACGGTATCCCTTTGCAAGGAGGACTTGGAGATTTGGGAGAAGAGGCACAGTGCCTTCTCCCACTCGAGGCCTGCCAAGGCAATGCAAGGGGCTTGCGCCTCTTTGGGGCTAAAGGTCTTAGGGTTTAGGGTTTAGGGTTTCGGGTTCAGGGTTAGGGCTGAGTGTCTTCTAAGTCTAAATAGAGAAACCTGATGCCTTAAAAACGGCCGAACATACCCCAAATCTACTGGGTATAAAGGTAGGGCTTTGGGGGAGGTTGGGGTACAAGCCCTAAACCCTAAACCCTAAACCCTAAACCCTAAACCCTAAACCCTAAACCCTAAACCCTAAACCCTAAACCCTAAACCCTCAACCCTAAACCCAACCGCGCCTTCTCCACACTGGCTCACCAAGGCGTTAAAGGTCACAACGTCTGGTGTGGCCCGAGCCTCTGGTTCAGGAGGCCCTAAACCCTAAAGCCTAAACCCGAAACCCTATAAACCCTATAAACCCTATAAACCCTATAAACCCCATAAACCCCATAAACCCTACAAACCCTTTAAACCCTATAAACCCTATAGACCCTAAAAACCCTATGAACCCTATAAACCCTATAAACCCTATAAACCCTATCAACCCCAAAACCCCTAAACCCTAAACCCTGAAGCCTAAGAGGCTTCAGCGCGCCCCTGCCTCTGGCATATTGGAGAAGAGCGCCAGCGCCACCTCCCAGCGCAGGGCATCGCGGCAGGCGCCGAGAGCAACGTTGAAACCTTTGGGGTTTGGGGTCTAGGGTTTAGGGTTTAGGTTTAGGGTTTAGAGTTTAGGGTTTAGGGCTAGGGACCGAATATTCAGGTTACTAGGGCCTAAGGACTTAATTATTAGGTTCCTGGAAGTATAGGGTTCGAGGCTTTTGAGGATTTGATCTCGGGCTTATGGGTTAATACGGTTTAGGGGTTTTTGGGTCCCAGTACTTAGGGTTTAGGGTTTAGGGTTTAGGGTTAGCCTGGGTATCAAACGGGGTGGCCCCTGATGGGTGATTTGTTGGCGCCATTTCTTTTGTTGTGGGGGGGGGGGGGGGGGGAGTTTAGGGAAACCGTACCCGAAAGCAAGGACTCCAGCGTACTGGTCTCAACCCTCCCTAACCCTAAACCCTAAACCCTAAACCCTAAAAACCCTAAACCCGAGTTCTGAAGGGAGCCTGGCAACTGAGCACATCGGCTCCTGGCACCTTCGCAAGCAGATGTATCGCTGCTTGCCACTGCCGCGCCGCTCGCAGGCGCCAATGACCGCAGTCGAGCTCATCGGACCCGGGGAGACTCCTCGGATGGACTTAAAACCCTCTGAAATGAGTCCTGAACATGATCCTCCGAAAACCCAAAAAGGGACCTGAATAATCCTCCTAAACCCACAAAAGGGAATGTTCCTGAATATGATCCTCTTAAACCCAAAAGGGATATTCCTCAATATGAGACTCCTGGGATGGCCCCCTTAAGGGAGACTCCTCGGATGGCCTCTAAAACCCTCTGAACAATTATTCCTGAATAGGATCCTCCTAAACGCAAACAAGGGAATGTTCCTGAATATAACCCTCAAAAAGGGAATATTCCTGAATATGATCCTCCTAGACCCCCCCCCAAAAAAAAAATATTCTGAATATGATCCTCTTAAACCCCAAAAAGGGGAAATATAACATGTCCCACGGGGCCTGCCTAGACTCTGACCAAAGGCATGTCTGACAGCAGCCGCGGGGGCCAATTGCCAGCCCCCACCTTTATCAGAAATCCCGATGGCGGCAGTGAAGCTGATCTCATGGGCTCGGCTTCTGTTGCGGATGTCAGCATCGAGGACAGCAGCTGGAAACACGATAAGCCACTGCTTGCTATGCTCTGCCGCGCTCAAAACAGCATTGTAACTAACAGTGTCCGGCAAGATGCCCCACGGCCAGCATCTGGGAGGAAAACTTGTATCGCCACGACCCATGCAACCTGTACTGCATGCCGTGACGGCTGCCGTGAAGCTGTAGATGCTGGGAACCAGGTGGAGGACCAGCATGCTGGCCAGCGTTTGAATGCATGCCTTCTGTGCACGGAGTGGGGAGACACCGAGTGGGTAGAAGGGCGATTCAGTTTCGTGATGTAGCTGGGGATTCCATTCGGGAAGGCCTAAGCCCTAAACCCTAAACCCGGCAGCATCCTCCCAAGTAGCTGGTTATAACCCAATTGTAAGTGTAGTTATAACCCACTTATAAGCCCCTTAAGTACCCTAATGTGGTTGTAATTGCGTTACTGAGTACAGTTATCATTGGGTTACGAAGTACCATGAACCTCCACGTACGTTGTTGCAATTTGTGGCCTGCCAGTGTCGGGTCTTTGCACATGACCGGATGACTTGGGCAGGGTCCTCTCCTCGCGGTGCCATGGCTGCGACGGCGAAGCGAGCTAAAGATCCAGCAACTTTGCCACCCTGACGACGGCAACTTCGAAACCAAACCCTTAAACCCTGGCTCCTAGGCCTAATACCCCAAACCCCAAATCCCAAACCCCCAAACCCCCAAGGGCTTCACCTCGAGGCCCTGCAGTGCCATTCGAGAGTCATGCATCCTGGCCAAGCTCGCGCAGCCCCGAAAGTCTTAAAACTTGAAACCACAAGGCCCCCCCCCCCCCCCCCCCCCCAATAAAAAACAAGCCTCAAGCGCAAAGAAGAACAAACAAGCCCCATGCAGGGGGGTGATCTGATTCAAGCGCCATTCTCCGAAGTCCTTCTCAAGCCGTGAATACACCAATACTTCTTAAGGATCTGGGGTTTAGGGTTTAGGACTGGGAAGGTGGCTCCTTGGGCTTATCAGCCTCATTCAAAATCATTTCGTAATATTCACGAACCTCTGTGCTTCAAAACTGCGCTTCAATTCCTTTCCAAACGCGCTCAGAAGTTGGACACTTGTTTGTACTTCTGGTGTCTGTTTGGATGGTTTTGTTTGTTTTGGGGGTTGTTTGGGATGCAGTTTTTGAATGTTTGGGAATGTTCAGGATTTGTGAATAGAATGTTTTCAGATGTTAATAGAATGTGTTCAGATTTTTGAGATGTTTGAAATGTTTTGGAATATTTGGGAAGGTTCCGATTTTAAGAATATAATGTTTTGAGACGTTTTCAGATAGTCTTGGATTCTTTGGAATGTTTTGGAATGTTTGGGAATGCTCCGGAATTTTACGAATGTTCTTGAATGACCCCAGACATGTAAGAAACTACCTTATTGAGAAACCATCTTCGCTAAATAAATGGTCATACTTCTTGTAGTTGAGGGGTACCCTAAACCCTAAACCTTGAAACGACACATTGTGTGCAGGCTATCGAGTTAAGGTGTGAAGTTTGCCAGTGGCCTTTGGAATTGTGAAGCCTCAGTAGATACGAACTTTGAGGCCCCCCGTGGCCATCGGGAGTTTGGGTTTAGGGCTTGGGGCTATAGGGTTTAGGGCTTCGGGGTTCAGCTCGACACCCTCAACCCCAAACAACTTCTCAACGCCCCCACAAAAACCTGCAACTCCTAAAAGAATCCTTTTTTCCTGCGCCCCACCCGGTATTGCCGAAACCCCTCTTTACGGGTGTCGCCGGCGCCGTTTTGGCAGCGGCTTTGGCGCGGAGAGCTCGTCTCGGGCCTTAAGGCAGCAAAAAGCCCGAAACACCAAACAGTTTAGTAACAATTCATAGTCAGAATAATTATGATTGTTCAAGACACGATTAATATTACATAAATCTATGCCCTCAACCCTAAAGCCGAAACTAAACCCCAAACCCTCAAGCCCAAGGGGGTAGGTTCAGAGGTTTAGTGCTTTAAGAGATTTCTGGCTTTGGCATTTTCTGGGGGAGCCCTTAAGCTTGCAACCCAATCATGCTCATGGTGCAAGTGGCCTGGGTAGAGGTTGAAGGTGCGTGGATCCAGGCGGGAGAAGTTGGGGGTTCGGGTCGATTGTTTAGGGTTGAATAGAGCTTCCGAGGCGCCAGAAACCAGCTAAGATAAGACCTTACACCTAGACGAGTCGTGGTTCTGTCTGTTCGGGCTTAAATGAGGTTCATGGCTTGGAGAACTTTATGGCTAGATTCAATGGTATCTGGCATGAACATAAGCTACCGCGCTACCCCATCAACGGAACTACAAGTAGAGGTCTTGGAGTCCGAGGGGTCTCAGTCACTTCTGATTCTTCTGATCCAGTATGCACATACGCATCCGACTTATTGAAAACATGTCTACAAGAAAATGCACTTCCAAGAACGACCTAGCAGCAACTGAGCCTTATCTGAAAGCCTGAGCCTTCTGAACACTATGAATGACCGCACGCTCGGGGCCCGGATTGTAGGTGGAGGTATAGGGAAAAGGCTTAAGGGAGTTGCAGCAGATTGAAGCCCATCACAAATTCACACCCCCTGCAGCCGGTAGGATGTTAGCCGGGTGGTGACCTCAATCCTTCCTGGTGCAGGCATTTTGGGACAGAGCCAAACTAGTTCCCCTTCGAACCCCAAATAAGGAAAATACGAATATCCCAAAGGCCAACCTGGAGGGGGAGGAGGGGAACCTATTATCTCTCACCATACGATACTACCCAGAGAAGTAACGACCCTCAGGCCTACATGCGTCCGAAATGTCCGAAAACAAGAGCCCCTCTTATTTGGAGTGGGATTCCAGGTGTGGTGAATACTTGGAGGATCTGAAACTCTTGTCTGCACCTACTTACTGAGTACTGCGATGTCCCAAAGACCCCTAAACCCTAAACCCTAAACCCTGAACCCTAAACCCTAAACCCTGAACCCTGAACCCTAAACCCTAAACCCTAAACCCTAAACCCTAACTTCCCCGCTCTGTCCGGGTCTCCCGCACACTGTGGGAAGTCCTTGCCTTGAAGTATTTTGGAGACATTGGCCGCTTCGGAGCTCCTTGGCTTGTTTTAAAGAGGGCCATCGAGGTAATATAGGGGCCTGGATAATTAGGGTTTAGGGTTTAGGGTTCAGGGTTTAGGGTTCAGGGTTCCGGGTTTAGGGTTTAGGGTTTAGGGTTCAGGGGTTATTAGAGTATAATCGGAAGGGACCATAGGGGAACAATGCTAGTAATTCTTCCGACTCCTGAATTAAGTTGCACCGAAGCGAGTGAGCCAGGGCCTTCGGGCAGATCACGGCACTGGGCACTAGTGAGTCGCAGAATGGCCAAAGCCCCAACCCCTAGACCCTAAACCCAGAACCCTAAACTTACCAAAAACCCAAAAACCCTAAACCCCGAACCCAAAACCTTGAGCCCTAAACCCCACACCCTAATTAAACCCCAAACCCCAAACCCCAAACCCTAAACCCTAAACAACAAACCCTAAACCCTAAACCCTGAACCCCATCAATCCCGGTGCCGGGCAGCGACTGGGCGAACCTCTTGCACGCTGTCCGGAGGTTCGGAAGGTTCTGCGTCGAGGGTGCTTCTAGGGCTCTCACAGCTTGGCTTAGGGTTTAGGGCTTAGGGTTTAGGGTTCAGGGTTCAGGGTTTAGGGGTTGAGGGTTCAGGGTTTAGGGGTTTAGGGGTTTAGGGGTTTAGGGGTTTAGGGGTTTAGGGGTTTAGGGGTTTAGGGGTTTAGGGGTTTAGGGGTTTAGGGGTTTAGGGGTTTAGGGGTTTAGGCTGGGCTGTGCGGTTTACCAGTTTCTCGCGCTTGGTTTAGGGGACTACTCTTGGGAAAATGGAGGTTGGCGGTTCTAAGGCCCCACGCCCCGAGACAGGTGAAGGCAGAGTGCTTGTTTCTGTTGCTTCTTTGCGTGTATTGCCCAGGGGATTACAGGTTCAACCCTAAAACCCCGAAAACCCTCGACCCTAAACCCCAAAAACCCCGAAACCCCGAAAACCCTGAAACCTGACAACCCTGGGACCCGAAACTCTAAACCCTAGAACCCAAGATTGCAGGCTTTGGGCTTCTTGTCGCATTTCCTTGCCTTGCTCTCCCTTCTCGTATAAAGGTCCCGATTCAAACAGGGGAAAAACCAGGTAAACCTATGGGTTTAGGGTTTAGGGTTAATTCAAGAACAGCCCTGGCGTAACCCTTAACCACATAAACATGTGAACCCCAAACCCCAAAACCCTAAACATCCTTATGTCTTCGGACCCAAGCCCCGCAAAAGTTTCCGTAGAAGGACAGGACGGGAATTGCGGGTGCCTTATAACTCCCACAAATTTCGTAGGGGCGTGTTGAAGGCCACCAAAAGGAGTCATGTAAGGTTGTTCAGGGGGTTTAGGGTTCAGGGTTTAGGGTGTATGCGTTATAAAAGGGGTAATATGGGTGGGAAGCCACCCGCAAGAAATGGGCCTAGATTCGATGGTATGGGCATGGTTTGTGGCCTCAAAGAAACACCGTGAATTCGTAAACAATACACCCTAAACCCCCAACACTAAACTCACTAAACTCCTAGAACCAGAATGTAGAAATGCGTGTGTTTGCATGTAATTACGTGTGTTTGTTTGTGTGCGCATGTGCGCGTCTGTGTGTCCCTGTGCGCCTCTACGTGTCTCTACGTGTCTCTACGTGTCTCTGTGTGTCTCTGTGTGTCTGTGTGTGTGTGTGTCTCTGCCTGTGCCTCTGGCTGTGCCTCTGTCTCTGTCTTTGTGGGTCTTTGCGTGTCTCCGTCTCTCTCTGTGTCTCTCTGTGTGTCTCCGTGTCTCTCTGCTTCTCTCTGTGTCCTTCTGTGTCTGTCCGTGTCCGTGTCTCTGTAACCGCGTTCTGTGTCTGCGTCTTTGTCTGCGTCGGTGTCTGGCTCTCTCTCTCTCTCTCTCTCGCTGTTTTGTGCGTGTTGTGTGTGCCCTGTGTTGCGTGTGCATGTGTGTTGTTTGTTATACGTTGTGTGTGTGTGTGTCGTGTGTAGAACACTAAACCCCCAAGTGAAGGACAGCTCTTGGAGTGGAGTTCCCTCCTGGGCATCAAGAAGAGTATTGGTTGAAGGGCCATTTTGGAGGCATATGGGGGGGAAACAACCCACCTGAGATGTGCCTTTACTTCCCCTAAACCCTAAACACTGAGCCCTAAATTTTAAATGCTCAATCCTAATCCTTATACGCCCTAAACACGGATCCCGAAAGCCTCAACCTGGGATTTGAGCCATTTAAGCCTTCAGCACAGCGGTCTCGCACAAGACGCCCAGATTCTCCAAGTGCACTTTGCGCACCAAAGCTCCTTCCATGGTCCCCTTAATATGGGACCCCTTGTATACCCCTTATATACCTATACAAACTAATTAAGGTCCCAGACATCAGAACCCTAAAAAAGGAGGTAAGGGACCATATTAAGGCCCGAGTATAGGGGTTGATGACTTCTAGGGTTGGCTCTAACGGGCTTAGGCGGTTTAGACATCTAGAGCTTAGGGGTTTTAGTGGCTCAGACTTTTTTAGGGTTGAGGGTTTAGGGTTTAGGGTGTAATGATGTCTGCAGGTTTCTGAAACCAGTACAATAACCCTAAACCCTAAACCCTAAACCCTGTACGCAACCCAAATCCCTGTAAAACCTATATCTAACGAAAACCCTCCAAGCCCTAACCCCAAACACCCAATCTCGGAAACCCTAAACCCTAAACCCTAAACCCTAAATCCTAAACCCTAAACCCTGAACCCTGAACCCTAAACCCTAAACCCGCAAACCTTGGTCTCCTTCCACGATGTCCACCACATGGGCGGCTTGCCAGCGATGCGCCAAGTCAAGAGTCCCCAGCAGGACGTGCGCATCCTGCTCTAGGAGGGTTTCGGGTTTAGGGTTTAGGGTTTAGAGTTTAGGGTTTGCATGTCAAGAAACCCCCAAAAACAGGGCACTACAATTTTTGGTCTAGGTAGGGGGTAGAGGGGCCCCTGACATCCTCGCCAGGTTGGGCCCTCCCTAAAATAACGACCCTAAGATCGTTATCCTGTGTCATAGGTTCCAGCATGTGGGGGTCTAAGAGCCCCTAAACGCCAAAAAAAGCCATAAACCCGCAGTTCTTGACTCATGCAAGCCTTGCAGTACCTACATGCCCCCATGGTAGAGCCGCGCATCTCTTTCCTTCAGCACCTTGGGGACACCACCAATCAACCGTTCATGACCTGAACTCGAGACCTTTCATGGTTTAAACTCGAGACCTTTTATGGCTTAAACTCGAAACCCTTCAGTAGAGGAGTCTACTCGAGATCGCGCAGGGCAACAAAAAAAGAGACTCCGCACACGTTCAAGGGCGGGAGCAGGGGTGACCTTGTGCACCAAAAATCAGGTGAAACAAGACGTTATGCTCCCGAATCGGCGTTTCCAGGATTTCGAGGGTTAGTAGGCAACACATGAGGCGGGAAGAGGGGGGTTGATCCTGGGCAAGCTTTGGTACCTAAACTTCTCGTATTACTACACTTTCATAAGGGACCCCAAAACAAAGGCTTGGGGTCGAGGGCGGTCGAATCCATCGTCCGACTGCAGACACTGTCTTTCGGCGGCATGTCTCATGGGCACTAGCACACTAGCCATCCCTCTAACCACCACTATTCATGACCATCGCCACCATCAAACCCAGCAACCCTAAACCCGAAACCCTACCCTGACCCCGAACCCTAGACTAGCGCTTGCCAAGCGAGGGGCATGATCTTCTTCTGCCGTGGTGCCCGTGTACCTGAATTACACCATAAATCCTGGACCTCGAACCCCAAACAAACCCATAGCCCTAAACCCCACACCCTATGTCCTAAACCCTAGTCTATTTGTCGGGGCGAACCTAAGCCTAAACCCTAAACCCTAAACCCTAAACCCTAAAAACAATGGAGAATACAAAGCCCCCAATGCAAAGCAACACACAAATCCCTAAACCTCCACAAGCCGCCGAGCCCTGCCCCCCCCCCCCCCCCCCCCCCCAAAAAAAAAAAAAAAGTTTAGGGTGAGGGTTTAGGGTTTGGGGTTTAGGGTTTAGGGTTTGGGGTTTAGGCTTTATGGTTTAGGGTCCAGGGCTTAGGGTTCAGGGTTTAGGGTGTTAGTATACAGTTTCGACATAGAATTTGTCAGTTCGCTAGTTCGCTTTGCTAGTTAGCTTGTGAACTTGTTCGTGAGCTTACTAAGCGATGTTCTATTCCCCTTTTCTTCGTCCATCTCTATACTATATACATACACACAGACATAGCGACCAGAATGCCATAGATATCTACTATGATAAATGGGACATCGGGGCACCTCCAGGTTTCCCGGGACCCCTGGCGCCCCCGATTTGTTCACGCTCAGAACGAAGACATCACTCTTTGTGTCAGGTTTTTGGAGGGTTTTACATAGGGTTTACGGCTTAGGGCTTGAGGCTGTAGGGTATGACCCTACTTGTAAGCATCCATGAACCTTCAAGTATACCCTAGAAGTGCCAAGGCAACCCTAAACTCGTAGACCCGACCAACCTGTAACCCCCTAAGCTTCCATGATCAACCCTAGACATTCCAAGATGCAAAAGCTGGAGGAGGAGCTGCACGGAAGCGAGGCCAACCCCCTCCTGAGTCTCACGCTCTCAGGGTTTAGGGTTTAAGGTTGAGAGCTTCAAGCCCTACGACCAAAGTCTTGGGGTTTCTGGCTGAAACCGTCAGCCCCAAACTCTATAGGGCTTATAGCCTAACTTATGGCACGCATACAACCCCACTCAGGAGACTTCTATCTAACTTCTAAAAAGGGGGCCCCTAGACCCTAAACTCTAAACCCTCAACCCTGAACCCTAAACCAAATCCAACCAGCAGATCCCCACAATTCCCCACATACACTGGCTTGCCCTAGTTGTGAGGCTGAAAAAACTCAAGCAGAGACTATTGCAAAGAAGTCCAAAAAAGAAGGAGCGGGTAGGTTTAGGGTTTAGGGTTTAGGGCTAAGGGATAAATCACAACCATGAACCACAGTCAAATGACTTGAAATGAATCTACAGGGACCCTAAACCCTATAAGCCCAAAACCTTAAACCTTAAACCCTAAACCCTATAAGTCCTAAGCCTTAAACCCTGAACCCTAAACCCTATAAGCCCTAAACCCTACAAGCCCTAAGCCCTATTGAGAAATACCCATGGGCTCATGGCTGGGTCTATATTCCATGGTAACATGGGTCCCGCAACCTGAGCTCCCGCCAAAAACACGGGTCCGTCTAGTGGGTTTGGGGTTTAGGGTTCGGGGTTTGGGGTTTAGGGATGAGGGTTTGGGGTTTAGGGTTCAGGGGGAACAGGGACTTGGGCAAAGTCCCAGAACTGTTCGGCAGAAGGCAGCCCGCTGCAAGGAAACGTCCTTTGGAATGGAACTAGAGACTTGCGGCATCTACTTTTGCATTAGGGGGTTTCATGGTTGCGGGAAAAGTCGGATCTTTGCCACCACTAATGAGTCAAACTAAGTATCAACAAAACACACGAGAATCCTCACCGGGACACGACGAGAGAGCCCCTGTTTTTGAGAAATACCGATCTGGAAATCATCCCTCCATAGGCCTCACAAGGAGCCCGTGGGCTCCCGCGTGATAATATCCCCTCATGTCCATACCCCTTGGGTCCAAAATACCCCAACAAATGTCATCATATACTCCCCTAAACCTACATTTACTATTAAGAAATCCCCCAAAGACCTAATTCTTGGGCATTAGGACCCGCAGGCATAGGCTCCCGGAAGACCTTTTATGATCCACCGCGTCGATTCGGCTGTAGGGATTTTGCTTGAAAGATTCACTCGGTTCAGAGCTTAAGGTTCCGGATTGAGGGCTGGGCGTATAGGGTTTATAGGGTTCAGGGATAAGGGTTTCGGGCTAAGGGTTCAGGGATGAGGATTTAGGTTCTTCGGGAATCTCAGTCACATGCATGAATTATCTTGCGCCAAAAGTCAGTGTGAAACGCCTAGGCTACACCCCGCTACTCAACGGCGCTACCCTATTCTTGAAACAGACCCTGAAAGGCGCCTCAACATTCAGATCAGGATTTTGGGGGCAACCACATGCGGGATCGATGCCGGTGGGCATTCAGGCCCTTCCCGGCTGCAACCGCAAACCCTAAACCCCAAGCCCTAGAGCACCCCCAAACCCTAAACCCTAAACCCTAAACCCTAAACCCTAAACCCTAAACCCTAAACCCTAAAACCAAAACCCCTACCACCAGTTCAGCTGCTCTCTCACATTCTGGGCCTCTGGGCTAGCTCTTGCACAGAAAGAGTCCTCTACTTATAGGGTCTTCGAGTTTCTAAGAGGTTTCAGACCACAAAAGTGAAAAACTTGCATCTCCCGCCCCATCAGGCGAAAGTCCTGAGACTTGCTCAGAGGTTAAAAATTGGGCCTTCAAGGTACCCATCTTCTGGTAAATTCTGGGGCGGAACAAAAGACCCCAAAGACTGATACTCAGCCACAGGCTCGTCTGCATCCTCACCGGGGCCGTCGTCCGGCTCCTCCTCGACCGCATCACCCTGTATGCCAGTAATGTAACTGGGCCTCGCATGCTTCTTGATAAAACCCTTCAAATGAAGGTAGAGGTAGATGGGTTGCCCCAACTCCCGGCTGCGATTTGCGAGGCTCAAACGGACATGCTTGGCCTTCAGAAGCTTTCGAGGAGCGCCTGGAACTCGCACCTGCATCGCGGGCAGAGCGATCGGCAGGGGCAAGTCGGGCACTCCTTGACCTCCTTGATGCACACTCAGAGCATATGTCCTCAGCAGGCTCTGGAGGGTGTCCCACTGATTGATCTTGCTGAGCATCCTCAGAGAAGGCGGCTGCCGCAAATGGTGGCCCCTGTTGAACCTCAAGTGAGCTTCTAGCAGATCCATGCTTGCGGATCCTGGGTCGATAAGAAATGTGGCTTCCGCCAACTCCTGCATTACCTCCAGCACTTCATTGCTTCGCGCACCCGCGGTCGAAGCCGCTTCGGATCTAGACTGGGATGAACTTGAGCTCGCAGAGGGAACTGGCCTGCGGTTCAGGGATCTTCTCACATTGCTCTGCCACTCTGGAAAGCCATGCATAGCCTGCGCAGCCTCCCGGCCCGCCGTGTCCTCCACAAAGGCCAAGATGTGATGTGGCTCGTCAGCACCGAAAAGGCCCGGCAATGCAGCGTGAAAAATGTCCACGGGAACCTCCTGGCCGCCTTCGGATAAGACGACCCGTAGACATGCAGGTAGGGATGCCTCTGTATCATTGGCTTGTGAACTGGCCCCTGTGCGAACTAATGTACCAAACTGCTCCTTACTTTCCGGGCAGGCAATCAACGATATGAAGCTGACATCTTCGAAGTTCTTCTTGGTGGAGAGTAGACGCTGCAAACAGGAGGGAGAACCACGAACCAAGCATCTGGAGTCCAAAATCAAGCTGCCTTCGCAGAGTCCCTTCAGGATCTTCTGGAAGCCAGCCATCAATGTTTTGTCATCATCTTTATCCATCTCTGACTGCAGGTGAGTGCATACCCCAAGTTCTACCGCAGCAAGGATGACGCAGCATACGACTAACTGTGTGACATGGCTGCTGCACAGCAACATGCTGATTTCCACCCTGCCGAACTTGTGCATGAACATGGCAAGGTCGGACATGCACAGCAACACGGCTGATGGGATCCACATCCGAGCGTTCAGGAAGATTAATCCAGCGACTATGTGGGTCGTTGATAGCATACTGAAGGTCATTATATGCTCTGTAGCAGAGGTTGGGCTCAGAAGGCTTGCCATAACCGCGTAGATGTGAATGAGTCCGCACTGGAAAGAGCTGGCACACATTAATGTCCGGCTCGTTAGGCGCATGCTCCCGCTGACCACACTGCAGCAGACAACATATTCGATGAGCGGCATCAAGCTTACGGCCAAGTTTATGATGGTGGACTCCTGAAAAAATCGCCAGGTCATAACCAAAAAGAGGCCAAGGTTGATGTTCACGGTGAAGTTACATACCGCCTTGAAGTTGAATGCTCGAATTGTTGCTAGCCGATGCGAGAGACGGTCATCAGTCTTTGCTTTGGGGTCCTCTACCTGTGTCTCGGGTAGGCTCTGATATGCCCTGGTGAGGGCACGCCAGATGTGTTCTCCCAAGAAGTGGAGGTGCGCGCTGAAGCTGACAACCACGATCGCGGAATAAACAAGGGCATACATGGCTAGATATTGGAAGGATCACTGCTGCTTTTGCAGCAAATCTGTTCTTGAGATCCCTCGCAAGGCTATGGGAAGCGAAGATCTGGGAATGCGGTCCTTATTTTGTTAAAGTACTGGGCGGTTCCGTTCTGGTTACAACCTATTTCGCAACATCATTTTGATCCCAGCTATACGTCCCCCAAAGACAGCTACATGGGTACAGTCAAAAAGAAGTTACAGCCTACTAGTAAGTGGACCTCCTAAACCCTAAACCCTGAACCCCTAACCCTCGCGGCTGTAGGGTTGCCACCTAATCCGAGCTCCTGTTTAATTGGGGGGGCCCCCCCCCCCCCCCACAATAAGGAAGGCAGGGTTCCGCAATAGTTGGACCATGGCCCCGTATGGTTTCTCTATTAAAAAACAATAAGAACCCAAACGTCCCTGCAGAAGAAAAAAGCTTTCCGAAAGGCAGAGTTTCAAAATTTGACAACCCCCCCAAACAACAATTCTTTAAATGTGGGGGGGTTTGGCCCATACGAAATCCATCGTAATGGAAAGTAGTCTTCCGGCGGGAATCCGGGCAAAAAAAATTTCTTTAAATATGGGGGGGGTTTAATTAAACAGGAGCTCGGATTAGGCACAGGAGTTTAACAAAAGGAATTCCAAGCAACCCTAAGACAATAACAATAAGAAGAATAGTAAGTACCAATAATCGTGGTAATAATAATCGTCGCAGTAATGACTACAATCATAAGAAGAGCCCTTTCAGCCTCTAAGGACTGCCAGTACGTAGGCTTGTAAGCAAACAGACCTCCAAGTAAATCCAGACCCCCTGCAAACTATAGACACCACCCATCCACAGCCATTCTCGCAAGCCTCTCGCGCCCTGCATTGCAGTAAAATGGATGGCCGCCCAACGAGACACTGGCTGAAACAACCTGCCTGGGTTTCTATACTTAGGGAATCCTTAAAGGGGCCACATTGTAGGGTATTTAGGGTTTAGGGTTTAAGGGGGTTCAGGGATTTGGGGCCTTGGGTTGAGAGGGCTGCAGGTTCAGGCTGAACCCTAAACCCTAAACCCTAAACCCTAAACCCTAAACCCTAAACCCCAAACCCCAAACCCTAATCTCTCCGAGCTGCAACCTGAATGGCTCCCGTGGACCCTTCTCGCATTGGACACGTCAGCAGCGCCTTTCGGAGGATGCAGTCCTAAACCCTAAGCCCTAAGCCTTTAAGCCCTAAACCCCAAACCCCAAACCCTAAGCCCTATAAGCCCTAAACCCTAAACCCAAAACTAGACGACCGGAAGCCAAAACCCAAAAAAGCCCTGGACCCAAAACCCTAATAACCCTATACACCCAACAAACCCTAAACACCATGCGCTGCAAATCTCCAGAACCCTATATAACCCTATACACCCTGCCCTAAACTCTATACCGGCTCGGGTCAGAGGTCTCAGCGTTTCATGCTTTCAGGGCTTTATAGGGTTTGGGGTTTAGGGAGGCCTTTCAGTTTCCTCACACAATGCGGGGCGACCTTCAAGACGGGCGAGACAGCCTTGAGCACCAAGGAATGCGCGTAGACGGTACCTGCGGTTTCGGGTGGATTCAGGGCTTTGGGCTGAATCCCCACAGCTAGACAAACAGCTGAAGCTATGATTTCCTGCGAGGTCCATACATTGAACAAATGGTGTGGGGAAGGGCAACGGCTGAGATGTAGCTTGACCACGTGGCGCTGCATCGTGTGTGGGGTCATCTGGCCCACGGTGTCGCGACTCATGACGCGACGTGAACCCTAGTTCACCCTAAACCCTAATCCTTAAACCCTAAACGCTAACTCATAAGCATCTTGGGGGTGGGGGGGGGGGGGGGGGGGGCGGGAATTTAGGTTTAGGGGGAACCTGCACCTAGCTTTCTGTTCACATGAGCCTAGACACCAAAGAACGCCCCCCCCCCCCCCTCCCCACCCAGAAAGGAGCTTTATTTGAAGGTATAACTATCTTAAGAGCCCGAAAGGAACCCCAAATCCGAAACCCTACTTTCTGCAGGCGTTTGCAAAAAAAATCAACCCTCGATACGATTCTTAGGTCGCGAATAAGCGAAAGAATAGGCTGCTGGATCTTGTGGTGGAGAGACCCGAGGATTTGGGATTTATGGTTCAGGGCTTCTTTTTGGGTTTAGGGTTTAGGGTTTCGGGTTTAGGGTTTAAGGTTTAGGGTGATGTTTGGACCAGTTTCTATTGTTCTGCAACTTCTCAATAGCTTCTGAGAAGGCGCCGGCCACGGAAACAAAGACCTCATCCTGTGGCGACTGCTTCTCCTCGGTGTATCGGGTTTTAGGGCTTAGGGTTTGGGATAACAGCTGAGATATCACTGGCATTGCAACATGAGGCAGTTGATCACAGGGAACCGGTTCCCCAAACCCCTCCTTTCTATACACCCCGAACCGCAAAGCCCTATAACCCTAAACCCCGAAACCCGAAATCCCCTAAGCCCCCTAAACCCCCCAAACCCTCAGCCCTCAACCCTCAGCCCTCACGCCGACCGTCGCCGAGATTCAACCACCGAGATCTTTACGTCGGCGGCCTCCTCCGCAAGGAAGAGGCTTCCAGGCGCTCAGGGTTTCGGGGTTTAAGGCCAGGGTTTAGGGTCTAGGGTCTAGGGTTTAGGGTTTAGGGTTTGGGGTTTAGGGTTAGGGCTTGGGGCTTAGTTTGGGTTTGGGTTTAGGGGATGTTTGGGGATGTTTAATTAGGGTTTAGTGGGTTGCTACCCCCAAAACTCTGTACACTGAATCTTACACCCGGATGGCCCTAAGCCGTAAATCTTAAGCCGAGCTCATGGTGTTTGGGGCTTAGGGGACTAGGGCTTAGGAGTAAGCCAAAGGGTTTTTAGGGTTGAGGTTTTCTTGGGTGCCTCATCACTTGACCTGAGCCTTAAGCCCTAAAAGCCTTCAACCCTGCACCTTAAACCCTAAACCCTAAACCCCAAACCCTAAACCCCAAACCCCAAACCCTAAACCCTAAACCCTCAACCCTCAACCCCAAACCCCAAACACGTCCTTGTCCCGCAGCACCGTCTCCCACGTGTCCACAGTCGCCTCTGGCACGGAGAGGTCGGCGCCTGAGGCCTCCAGGGTTTGGGGTTTAGGGTTTAGGGCTAGGGTTTAGGGTTTAGGGTTTAGGGTTTAGGGGTTTAGGGGTTTAGGGGTTTAGGGGTTTAGGGGTTTAGGGGTTTAGGGGTTTAAGGGGTTTAAGGGGTTTAAGGGGTTTAAGGGGTTTAAGGGGTTTAGGGGTTTAGGGGTTTAGGGGTTTAGGGGTTTAGGGGTTTAGGGGTTTAGGGGTTTAGGGGTTTAGGGGTTTAGATTTTAAGTTTAGGGTGTGGGGCTTAGGGGTTAAGTTCAGGGTCTAGGGCTTTGGGGCTTGGGGTTCTGGAGTTGAGTGTTTGGGGGTTTGGGGTGTAGGGTCAGAAGGGCCTGCAGAAACACCAAAAAGTTGGAACATCCTCATCCCCAAGTCGGTATGCTACAGGGAATCCCAGTTGCAATCATTCTTAAACCATGTTCCCCCTCTGTGCACAGGGTTTATATACTTCGTGCACAGGGTTTAGGGCCTCCTTCGGTGTAGCGAGGGTTTTCAGAGCTTGGGGTTTTGCTGGGGGGAAAGGGGGGGGGGGGGGGGGGGGGGGGGGATTGCATGGTGCCAGGGCTTTTGGAAGGTCCAAGGTTTTTGAAAGGTTGGGAGGGGGGGGGGGGTGATGCGGGGGGGGTGATGTGATGCTTCTGCGCCAAGACCAAGATCCAAGCAATTTTTCGGTCCAGCCTGAAACTCGGCCAGGATTTTGAGCACCATGTTCGCATTGGTGATCCTGGGCAAGCGTACCCTAACCTTCGAGAGTCTAGGAGCTGAAGCGCCAAGTACGTGTGTTCGGCAGCATGTGCCCTGGTTGTGGTCCTAGTTCGCCCCCACTATCCCATAGAACTCATCCGCCTGGTGCACCTCCGTTTCCATCCGAGCCACCCAGGTTCATGGCCCTCAGATACTACACCTGCATCCCCAGGACCCCGAACAGGTGAAAAAAGGTGCCGGCACACCCCATAACCTAAAACTCTCTGAGCCCTAAACCCTAAACCCTAAACCCTAAACCCTAAACCCTAAACCCTAAAACCTAAACCCTAACCCAAAACCGTAAACCCTAAGCTCCCTGCACCCTACGCGTTGATCTCGGCCCTGAAAGCTGAAGACGTCTCTGCGCAGACATCAACTCCTAGCAGAGCTTCCTCTATCGGGTTTGGGGTTTGGTGTTTGGTGTTTAGGGTTTAGGGTTTCAGGACATCAACTCCGAACAGAGCTTCCTATAAATATATATATATATATATATATATATGGGGTTTGCGGTTTGGGGTCTCAAGGGTTCAGGGTCTAGGTTGGAGTTACAGTTGGGGTTCTCCAGTTGTTGTGCTATTGCTTCCCCCAGAAAACGTAAGAACTAAACTCTATAGACCCAAAGTAAACCCAAAACCTTCCTTTAGAACCATCTCTCGTGTAGGCGCTGCTTCTCGTAGGGCCCGTCGTGCTTGTTGCAGGCCCTGGCATCGGGCAGGTTGCGCTGGCTCGAGGGCATGAACTCGAACTCGGGCTTTATCATCCCATGGGTGGTTCAGGGTTTAGGGTGAAGGGTTTAGGGTGTTGGGGTCGTACAACTCATTCCAAAACCTTGAACAGGGTTTAGGGTTTAGGGTTTATGGTTTTGGGTTTGGGATTTAGGGTAGCATGGCGGAGGGGTTTAGGGGCGTATGGGGGTGAGGGGTGGGGGGGGGGGGTGTGCAGACCTGCAGCCTGACGATGGCAACGGCTTTACGGGCTTAGGGCTTAGGTTTTACGATTCAAGACTCTGTCCGGTACGATCCGGCACCCGAGAAAGCCTTGAACTCAGTTCCCATAACACTTGTTGCTCTCGGATACGATTCTAGACCCGGCAACCTTCGATTAGAAAGGCGACGCGGCATTGAATTCCTCCAATGGGAATCGCAACGTTGACGTCCAGACAACCTTGCTACTTGAAGGGCTTCGGCCTCGAACGCCCTCGATGGAAACCTTAGCGACCGTTCAAAACCTGACAAAGTCGGCATATGAATTTGATTTGGCTGGCTTGGCTTTGGCTGGCCCTGGTTTTCACTCGCTTTGAGTCATGAGCCATATAGGGGTCGGAATAATTTCTCATGATAATCCCTCGTGGTTCCTTTGTACTTCTACGCTAGTAACCCCCATTCTAATTATTCAGGCCCCTATCTTACAGTAGTGTTTAGGGGGGGTCTTTGGGGCAGGCATGCCCTCATGTACAAGCGAGCTCTTCTCAGTGCGCAACCTGGCCCGCACGCCCCAACCCGAAAACCCTAAACCCTAAACCCTTTGAACCCTTAACGCCAAAGGGTTTAGGGTTTATAGGGTCTAGGGTTTAGGGTTTATAGGGTTTTAGGGTTTAGGGTTTAGGGTTTAGGGTTTAGGGTTTAGGGTTTGGGGTTTAGGGTTGAGGGTTTAGGGTTTGGGGTTTAGGGTTTAGGGTTTGGGTTTAGGGCTCTGCTTGGAAACGAACCCGAAACCCCCCGCAACCCAGCGGCCTGCGGATGGCGAAGACGAGCGACAGCGCGGAGTGCCCGGCGAGGTGGATCGCTTCGAGTCTGAAGAGCTTGGGTTTTGGCTAGGGTTCAGGGTTTAGGGTTTAGGGTTTAGGGTTTAGGGTTTAGGGTTTAGGGTTTAGGGTTTAGGGTTTAGGGTTTAGGGTTTAGGGTTTAGTTTTAGGGTTTAGGGTTTAGGGTTTAGGGTTTAGGGTTTAGGGTTTAGGGTTTAGGGTTTAGGGTTTAGGGTTTAGGGTTAGGGTTTAGGGTTTAGGGTTTAGGGTTTAGGGTTCAGGGTTCAGGGTTTAGGGTTTAGGGTTTGGGGTTTGGGGTTTGGGGTTTCGGGTTTCAGAGGTTTAGGGCTTAGGGTGTTAGTTTGGGATCCTCAGCCCGGCCCCTGCAACCTTCTCTCCTCTTGCCAGTCAGGGCCAGCTTCAGGCATCTTCTCCGAAACCCTCAAGCATGGTACCCTAACATTGTCCGTTCTGAAGCCTTGAATAAAATTTCGGACCTCAGAGTCCCCCTCCTGAAAGGTCCAGGTCCTGAAACCCTAAACCCCCAAACCCCAAACCCTCGACCCTAAATCTCCTGGGGGCCCCCACTTCGGAAACGTGTCGCTGCCGCCCCAGGGGCCCACTTTGCCAGGGATGGTCCTGCTCATATTGCGGGTGAATGATTTCGGGTTTAGGGTTTAGGGTTTAGGAGTGATGGGATGGGGGGGGGGGGCATCATTTGAGGCTCTTGGGTTACTACTGCTTCATGATGACTCTTAATACGTGTCAGTAACCCTCCAGCCCCAGTGTTTCGGGTGTCGTCTCCCCGTAACTTTCCTGACATGCCCACGTGTCTTCATTGACCCGTTGCCCCAAACCTGTGCCTCCAATGACAATTAGGCAAGGCTTCTGCTCCAAAACGTATCGCGTCTGGATTTCCAAAGGAACTGTTGCCTTGACGTCCGCCGTGACTTCCGACAAGAGATCCTGCACGGAGACGTTCAGAATAGTGTAGCTTTCGCCTTCCGCCCTTGTCCGGGCTGGATACTTCGATGCCCGCACCAAAGCCAACGGAGCCCCGACACTCAAGTTGCCAACCTTCATTTTTCCAAACGCTTCTAAACCTTAACTATTTCGGGGCTTTGGGTTGAGGATCGTCCACTACCCACTGAAGCAACCCTTCATCGGGGAGCGAAACATGCAGATGTCACGCGCCCGCACCCGGAATGCAAAGCTCAGACAGCCCAAGCTGCGACACCCCTAAACCCTAAACCCCAAACCCTAAACCCTAAACCTGAAATAGAACTCCCAAAACAGGAAGGTTTAGGGTTGAAAGCCAGGTTTGGCTCGTATTCTGGGGTTTAGGATGTAGAGCTCAATGGCTTACGAAAATGAGGATCCATGGTAAGGACTTTGGCTTCCTTCGGCCTTCCTGGAGGTTTAGGGTTTAGGGTTTAGGGTTTAGGGTTTAGGGTTTAGGGTTTAGGGTCCAACCCTAAACCCTGAACCCTCTCGGCCTGACTGCAACGCGGGGGTCGGCGCCCTGCGCCAAGCCTCAGTGTGAAGGGGCGTTGGCTTCACGATGAAAACCTAAACCCTCAAACCCTCAAACCCTCAAACCCTCAAACCCTAAAACCCTAAAACCCTAAAACCCTAAAGCCCTAAAACCCTAAAGCCCTAAAGCCCTAAAGCCCTAAAACCCTAAAACCCTAAAACCCTAAAACCCTAAAACCCTAAAACCCTAAAACCCTAAAACCCTAAAACCCTAAACCCTAAACCCCAAACCTAAACCGTTCGCGATTCGGGGGCTTGGACGGCTAGGAACACAGGGGTTTAGGGTTTAGGGTCCTGAAGGAGTGGGGTTCAAGGGGTTTCGGGCTGGGCTTAGGTTTAAGTGTTGGGGTTTAGGGCCGCCGTTTAGGGTAACCTAAGGTTCCCCACAACACCCCACTACTCCCTGTGGCTAGCTTCCCTAAGCTTTCTTTATGAGGACCCCTCCTGATTAAGCTAGGGTTTATAGGGGTTCATCTCGGTTGTGCACAAGGTCCACTTCTAAGGGCTGCATGGCAACCCCAAAACCGAAAAAAAACTCCTAAACCGTCACTCTCTCCACCTCAACAAAAGTGCAAGACCTCAAGTCAGCCCCCTGTCTTACTGCTTAGGCAAACAATGGCAGCCTACACTCCAGCATCAGTTTGTCCACTTCTTTAGAGTTTAGGGTTTGGGTCTAGGGTTTAGAGTTTGGGTTTGTATAATGCTATCGGGCGTAGGTTGAAGGGCATAGGAGCTCATCCCAAGTTTGGGGCTTTCGGGCTTTCGTGGTGGCCAGCGGCCAAGAAAGGCTATCAAGAGCCCATTCGATTGAGGATTTCAGGTTCGAGGTTTAAGGAGGAATGCGGGTTGAAACCCTTATGTTCCATCCAGTTTGAACCGAGCAGCAATAGCGGATAAGCTTCCAATGTGATTCCTGCCAGGACCGTCTGGAGTGAGCTCTAACTGCTGGGTGCTCGCGTTGTTGCTTTGGAGTTCTCGTTGGCTTTTGCGACGTGAGGCTCGCTCTATAGGACGGGACGTAGGGTGGGGCATTTTGTCGTGCAGGGAGGTGCCCCTGTGTAATAACTAGACGAAGATAGCGTCCTGAGCGCTCATAAGCAAGACAACGCAGGTTCTCTGTCGGTGTACTTTGTGTGGCTCAGCAGGGTGGGCATGACTCAGGCCATTCAGATTACGAGACTTGTGGCAGGCAAGCGCAAGAAGCGGGTAACGACTGACGTGTCCCCAAAGTGTCCCGGTTGTCGCAGCACCATGAGACGACCAAGTTCCGTGATTAGAGTCCTACAACCTAAACCCTGACCCCCTAAACCTAAACCCGAAGCCCTGAACTACCCCAAACCCCAAACCCCAAACCCCAAACCCCAAACCCGAAACCCTAAACCTCTCCGGGCTCCTTCACGTCCTTGACCTTGCCGATCCGGATGGCCTTCGCAGGGTCCATCTCTCCAGTGGCTTGGGGGGTTCTGGCTGGGTCCCCGGGCATTTACCTTCGCCCCAAACCCTAAACCCTAAACCCTAAACCCTAAACCCGAAACCCGAAACCCGAAACCCTGAACCCTTTAGTGCAAGAGCACCTGTGGGCTGCTTAGGGTTTAGGGCTTCGGGCTTACAATGGGCATTGCAGTATGAGTCAGTATATGAGGTATGTTGCCTTCAAGCTTGGAACTTTCACGCTTCCAGGCGAGCAGAGACATTGGCCTCCAAAAGAACCCTCGCCTCTTCAGACTTTAGGGTTTATAGGTAGGGTTTGCAGCAAGAGATTGCCCTACACTTCCAGGACCTAATCATTGGGCTACTAGAACCCTTAAGGGCACAATCATGAGGCCCCTGGAAGAATGGGGTTATAGATTTAAAGTTTAAGCCTCCGTCACGTCTTGGCTGTGTTCGCATCGCAACGCCTGTTCAAAACCCCGACATTGCAAACTGAACCTGGGATCAGGTAAACCCCAAGACCCGAGCACCCTCAAACCTCGACCCCAATACAATGAACCCTCACGACCCAACCCAAACCACACCTCTATTTTTCTCTGTCTCTGTCTCTGTCTCGGTCTCCGCCTCTGTCTCTGTCTCTGCCTCTGTCTCTGTCTCTCTCTCGCGCAGCGCCCTTTTAACAAGAACACCCTGATGTGCGGTTCCCGTTCCTTTCCCCGGTGGGCGTCCAAGGTGACCCAAACGGCCAAATGTCCCAAGTCACCCAACCCAAGTGGCCTCTGGGTCTCCCGTATCCACAGCTGTACAAAAGTGCCCCTCCACGTGATGCGAATGAGTCCCAGCCCCCAAGTTTCCCAAATGTCCCAAGAATCGTAGGCGTCTCAAGTGGCCCCCAGCAACCGAAGTGCTCTTGGAACATCTTCCGACACGCGAAGTTCGTTCAGCCGCAGCTCCGCTCTTCTTTTGGCTGGCTCTGGTCTTGGGCTCATCTTGAGTAGCATTCGGGTGGTCCTCAGGTGCCCTAAACCCTAAAGCCTAAACCCTAAACTCGAAACCCCAAACCCTGAACCCTACAGGCCCGAAGGCCCAAAAGACACCACGGGCCTCGGCCACTACAGCCATGAGCGGAGTGCCATGGTGATCGTGGACCTTCTGAGCTTTAGGGGTTTAGGGGTTTTAGGGGTTTAGCGTTTTGGGGTTTAGGGTTTAAGGGTTTTGGGATTTAAGGGTTTCAGGGTTTTGGGGTTTCGGGTTTAAGCGTTTTAGGGTTTAGGGGGCTCAAGGGGTTTAAGGGGATTAGGGGTACAAGGAGTTGAAGGATCGAGGGCTTAAGAGGCTTGGGATTGAGGATGGAGGATGCGGGGGCTTCGAAGTGTGGCGAGGGTCTAAGAGTCTTGTGGATATCCTGTGGGATATGGAAGCTTTCCCTCTAAGCCCCAAACACCAGACCCTACTCTGAGCATATACACCCTGCACCCTAAACCCTACACCCTGAAAATGTGCCTGGCTATCTTGAGACCCAAAGGTGGCAACTTTCAAGGTGTACCCTACAACCTATAAACCCGACACCCCTCACCCGTGAACCCGAAACCCAAGCCCTACACCCCTCAATCCTAATCCCTGGACCCCGAACTCCCAAACCTCTTAGGCCTTTCAAACTCCGAACACCACCCTAATCCCAAACCCTAAACCCCAAACCCTAAACCCTAAACCCCAAACCCTAAACCCTCAACAGACTGGGAAGGGCCTGGTTCCAGTCCCAGTCCGCAGGGATCAGCGTGGACATCACGAGCTCCGTCTGATGTGGGCGGAAGTGGCTTTTTGGGGTTGAAAATTAATAGGGTTTAGGGTTTAGGGTTTAGGGTTTAGGGTTTAGGGTTTAGGGTTTAGGGTTTAGGGTTTAGGGTTTAGGGTTTTTAGGGTTTAGGGTTTAGGGTTTAGGGTTTAGGGTTTAGGGTTTAGGGTTTAGGGTTTAGGGTTTAGGGTTTAGGGTTTAGGGTTTAGGGTTTAGGGTTTAGGGTTTAGGGTTTAGGGTTTAGGGTTTAGGGTTTAGGGTTTAGGGTTTAGGGTTTAGGGTTTAGGGTTTAGGGTTTAGGGTTTAGGGTTTAGGGTTTAGGGTTTAGGGTTTAGGGTTTAGGGTTTAGTTAGGGGTTAGGGGTTATAGGGTCTGGGTTATTCCCCCTTATACTAACAGTCCTCAATAGGGATTGTAGTAGGGGGTACTATAATCCCTATTACGGATTGTGGATTTAGGGTAAAGGGTTGGAAGGACTGCTTCAGGATTGGCTAGTCTGCACATGGCAGTCCACAACGGTCGCGTGAGTTCGAAGTAGAAAGAGGAGCCCACCTCCATGAGCGTGATCTTGCCGATGTGTGGGCTCGGCCCTAAACCCTAAACCCTAAACCCTAAAGCCTAAACCGTAAACCCTAAACCCTAAACCCCCTTTGTATTCTTGGTGCGTGGAGGACTTGCCGGAGCCAGGTCGGCCGTATCCTCAGTGCACGATACATCTCGGGTGAATCAGAGGACAAAAAATCTTGGCATTGGCGGCTGGTTTGCAGGCGTGGGGGCGGGCGGCCCAGCCGACCCCGTCGGCCCATAGGCGGTTCACAGCTGTGCCAAATACGGTGTCCGTGCCACGGGTTCGGGCTCGTAGGGTGCGGCAGGTGAAGGCAGCTAAGGCCAGAACAGAACAAAACCAGCATGAAACAGCAGGAAGCCATGTAGGAATACCCCACACCAAAGAAAAAGACAACTAAATCCCAAATACCCAAACCCAAGCCCTAAGTCCTAAGCCCTAAACCCCAATGCGCCCTCGGTCTCGTGATGCTTCAGGGACTGTTCGATGAACCTCGAACTTATTTCTTGCAGCTAAGGGCCCCCTAAACCCGAAACCCTAAACCTCAAAGCCCCCAAACCCCAAACCCTCAGCCCAATCCTGAAACCCCAACCCCTAAACACTAAGCAAAGCCCCGAAACCAGAAATCCCAAGCTTCAGAGACTCTTGGAGGGCTTAGGGTTTAGGGTTTCGGGTTTAGGGTTTACAGTTTGGGGTTTAGGGTCTTAGGGTTTTAGGGTTTAGGGTTTACAGTTAAGGGTTTTAGGGTTGCAGGATTGTAGCTGTTTAGGGTTCAGGGTCTGGAGTTTACAGTTTAGGCGCGAGGGTTTTGGGGTTTACGGTTTGGGGGTGTGTAGCTTACGCTCTTGAGTTTAGGGTTTAGGGCCAGGACGCTGAAGTCGGTCCGATGGACCAAAACAAACAGAGGGACCATGAAACACAACAAACTAGTAACTAGAGGCACCGAGGTTGCTGAAATTAGGGGTCAGTCACCTTTTGGGGGTCCTTAGTATAAGGGAATCCACGGAATCCTGCTATTTGGGGGTTGAAATCAGGGGTCCCTTATTTTCGTACACCCCCCACATGTGCACACAGCAAGTTCATGTCACTCATACACACCCCATATGCAGGTCTATGTTGCATGTACACACATAGGTCTTTGCCCGGAAGAAGTCCTGAATGGAAAATTGGGGCCTTGTACACCCCCAAGAATTAAGGGTTCCTCCCGAATACCAGGCCAAAGTTTAGGGTTTAAGGCTTAGGATTTAGGATGTTTTGCTTTACACCCCATGTTGCCTAAACCCTAGAAAGGGCCCACAAGGACCCATGGTGGTTTCGAGAAGGCTTTGCTTGGACTACAAAGGGCTACCGGGGTTTAGGGTTTATAAGGGTTGGAATGTACCCCCCTATACTAACAGTCCTTGATAGGGATTACAGTGTATAATCCCTATGAGGGACTGTTAGTACAAAGGGAACATCCCAAGGTTTAGGGTTCACGGTTAAAAGGTTTCAGGGTTTTCTGGACTGTTGGTTCCTCAAGGTCTCGCAGCGCGTCCCAGATCCAGTTCGACGTCATGGCTTTGGTGGTTTACCAGTAACCTCCTAAACCCTGCAGCAACCTCTTAAACCGAAACCCTAAACCCTAAACCCTTAAACCCGAACCCCCCCAAAAGAGTAGGTAGGTGGAGCGGTAGTGTTTGGGGCTGAGGAGTTTCCAATACCTCTTTGGGGGATGTTGGGAGGGTGCTGTCTATAAGTTCCTGGGGCAGGCGTCGCAGCTTTAGGGCTCAGCAGTTTCGGGTTTAGGGTTTAGGGTTTAGGGTTCTAGGGTTTAGGGTTTAGGTTTTTGGGCTCCTGCTTGCTTGCTAGGGTTGAGATGCCCGGCTAAATTTGCTCAAGAACAACTGCGGCAAGGGCAGGCCGGGTTGCTGTAAGCCCTACATCCTACACCATAAACACCTAAAACCCTAAACCCTGAACGCTAAAACCCCAAAACATTATGACCTAAAAGCCTAAAACCCTCAAACCCTCAAACCCTAAACCCTAGAACCCTAAATCCTAAACCCTAAACCCTAGGACCCAAAACCCAAAACCCTAACCCCGAAACACAGAAACCTGAACCCCAACGAGCGAAGGGTTCCTAGCTTCGATTGGAAGAGAAGCAGCGTCACCCTGAGCAATGTAGAGGGACCTGGAGAAGCTGCCGCTGAAACCCCAAAACGTTATTAACCAACCCTAAACCCTGTAGCCTAAGCGCTTGAGACGGAACCCTCGAATTAAGAGCGAACTTCAGCCCTAAACCCTAAACCCTAAACTCTAAACCCTTAAAGCTTCATCTCCGTGGGGCTGAGGTCTAGGGTCCCAAACTCGGGGTTTGAGACCTGATGGGAAATGCCATGGCCGGCAAGAATGCAAAACAACCTCAGGATTTAGGGTTTAGGGTTTAGGGACCCTAAACCCTAAACCCTCAAAGACTCTAAACCCTTAACCCTAAAACTCTAAACCCGAAGCCCCCTAAAGCCCGAACGCCTGACCCGGTTGAGCGTGGCGCCTGTAGTCCAAATGCACAGTCTGGAACAACTCTACACCCTCAATGCCCAAAGTTTGTCTTATGAGCAAAGGCTCATCGTAGACTCGTAGACACTAAACTAGACCTAGGATTTTGAAGGTGCCCTTTTTGGTTCACAGAGTCTCAGAAGGGAACCGAAACCCCAAAAGCGGGAATAGTGAAGGGCCCGCCGCGTTTTGTCCAAACGAGCCTTGGGCACTCGCATTGTGAGACAATCAATCCTTCTCCTCGGCAGCTGAATCCCGAAACCCTAAGGCCCAAACCCTAAACCCTAAACCCTAAACAACCCTAACCCTAAAACCCTAAAAGGCAAAAACCCTAAAACCCTAGAACCCTAACGTTTCCTTGCCCCGCAAAAGCCGAGGCAATCTCGAAGCAGCTTGCATCTTGTTCCGGATGGTAACAACGCCTAACCCTAAACCCTAAACGATAAACCCTAAACCCTCAACCCTAAACTACCCTACACCACAAGCTGGGCAGAACTTGCAGCTGCGCTCCGATTGGACAACAGTCACTCCCAAGCCTCTCACTTAGGTGCCATGAACTGTACAAGCAGCTGTTTAGGGTTTAGGGTTTAGGGTTTAGGGTTGAGGGTTTAGGGTTGAGGGTTTAGGGTTTAGGGTTTCGGGCTTAGGGTTGAGGGTGCCCTAAACCCCAAACCCATAAGCCTAAAGCCTTAAGATGGGAAGCTGATCTACCCCAAATCTCGATGGAGTTGTTTTTCTGCTTGAAGCATGGGCTGCCAGCTGGTTTAGGGCTTAGGCTAAGGCCACTGGTTACCCCCCCAGCCCCCATATTCGGACATATGGGATGCTGTACTCTCTACATCTACTGTATACCCTACACGCCAAACCCTAAACCCTAAACCCTAAACCCTAAACCCTAAACCCTAAACCCTAAACCCTAGACCTTAAACCCTAAACCCTAAACCCTAAACCCTAAACCCTAAACCCTAAACCCCAAGCACTCCTTGACAACCCGCCCCCTCATCCACCGCCCCGGCGCAGCGCCCAGGGCTGCCAGAACCGTGGGCGCCACGTCGAGGAGGCTCACGCACACCTCGGCCTCAGGGAGCCAAGCGGGATTAGGGCTTAGGGCTTAGGGCTTAGGGCTTAGGGCTTAGGGCTTAGGGTTTAGGGTTTAGGGTTTAGGGTTTAGGGTTTAGGTTTTAGGGTTTAGGGCTTGGGGTTTAGGGTTTCGGATTTAGGGTTTAGGTGGCTCCCCCTCTGTGTTGTCGATCGCATGAACACCCCTATTCCTTGACCTCTGACCTTTGGGAACCTTCGTCAGGGCCATGTCCGGGAGTGTTCTGTAGACTACTGCTACTACTTAGACCCCAGAGTAACCTAGAAACAAAAGGTACGTACTATTTTGGGGCCGAAAGGGGCTTATAAGGGAACCTCAACTGACTCAACCCTTAGACAGGGGAATAAGGGCATACCCCGCCCGCAGAGCAGCAAACATACTGCGCAAACTGCCCCAAACCCTAAACCCTAAACCCTAAACCCTAAACCCTAAACCTTAAACCCTAAACCCTAAACCCTAAACCTTAAACCCTAAACCCTAAACCTAAACCCTAAACCCTAAACTCTAAACCCTAAACCCTAATTTCCCAAACCCTAAGCCCTAAACCCTAAGCCCTAAACCCTAAACCCTAAACCCTAAACCCTAAACCCTAAACCCTAAACCCTAAACCCTAAACCCTAAACCCTAACCCGCAACCCGAAAACTATGATCCCTCCTTGGCCTATTTATAGGAAGTATTTAGGGTTTAGAGGTTTAGGCCCTTCTTGGCCCCTTGTAGCAAGTTTTAGGGTTTTGTTTAGGGTTTAGGGTTTAGGGTTTAGGGTTTAGGGTTTAGGGTTTAGGGTTTAGGGTTTAGGGTTTAGGGTTTAGGGTTTAGGGTTTAGGGTTTAGGGTTTAGGGTTTAGGGTTTAGGGTTTAGGGTTTAGGGTTTAGGGTTTAGGGTTTGGGGCTGTTTAGGGTTTGAAGGGCTTTGTGATCCCTCTCCTTCGGCACCCCTGGAGCCCGAAAAGGCGTGGAGCCCCAACCTGAACCTTCAACCCTAAACCCTCAACTCTCAACCCTAAACCCTAAACCCTCAACCCTAAACCCTAAACCCTAAACCCTAAACCCTAAACCCTAAACCCTGAATCCTGAACCCCAAATCATAAACCCTATAGATCCTGAACCCCACGTACTCCCGATAGCTCCACAAGCCCTTGAGTCGACGCCTCCGAGAGTACCTGGCCAGAAGGGACTCCGGGCCCGCGCGCCAGAAAGGGAACGAAAAGCTCCGCCTCGAGAAAAATTAGAGCTTGGGGCGAGGCTGAGGGTTTATTTATATGGCTTAAAGGTTTTTTTTTTTTTTTGGGGGGGGGGGGGGGGTTATAGGGTTTATAGTGCCTATTAGGGCTTACAGGGTTGATAGGGTTTAGAGGGTTTATGGGGTTCAAACTGTATATAGGGTTGTGTCTTTGTGGGCCAGGAGTTCTACTTATGCGTTAGGGTAGTCTCACGGTCCCTTGGGACCCTTTATATACCACTCATATACCCTTTACAACCCAGGGCCCATACATCAGAATCCTTTAAAGAGGGTAAGGGACCATGCTAAGGTATGAAACAACCCGTAGATTATACTAGACCCAGGAAAAATGGGTGACGTTTGCTTAGCCTGGCTCTTGGGCAGTTGTCAAACATCCACACGACAAGTGACAGGTAAATTCGAGCAAGTAAGAAACCAGATGCCTAAACCCTAAACCCTAAACCCTAAACCCTAAACCCTAAACCCTAAACCCTAAACCCTAAACCCTAGAGCAGCAGTTGTTGAGGAAAAACTGCAAAGCTTTTGGCACATTGCTTTGAAAGGTTTGGGAGCCGGAGGCTGTAAACTCGATGGGAGCACACTATCCCCTTTCGAGATGCGATTAGGGTTTAGGGCTTAGGGCTTAGGGTTTAGGGTTAAGGGTTTGGGGCTCAGGGTGTAGGGTTTAGAGTCCTCTCAGTCCTCTCTGACTCTCGCAAGCTACGGCGTTTCGCTTTCCAGTTGCTTTGCCATGTTCGCGACTGAGAAAGGGTGAGACCGTGAGACTTTGTCTTTGGAACGCCACCGTCAAGCGACGCTCCTCTGCTGATTCGCGCGAATTCAGGTTTGCTGCGGCTCGGATTCCGCCACGCCGCCAAGGAGCCTGGCAGTGTATGGTAACTTTCAGGCAACCTGTACCAGCATATGGGGGGTTCCGAAATTAGGGGCACCTTATTCTTATTGGGGTCCTTATCATAAGGGAATCCCACATTTGGGGTTCTACATTAGGGGTCACTAGGGTTCGTAGACCCCCATATTCCCATATGGTGCCTCAGGAAGAGCCTCTGTCTGTCCTTGTAACCACGAGCTGTGTCTCAAACACCATGGCAGTGGAGACAGGCAGCTCCACAGCCTAATGCAGAAACCAGCATGGGCCATTTTACCCTAGAAGCCCCTACGAAAAGCCCTCTTATGGCCCTTTATGGGGTTGACTGTGGAGATTATAGGCCCGAATTGGCCCATCCAGGGGAGGGATGCATCATCTTCCCAACTGGGAGCTTGCCTGGCCTTGCCAGTTCACAGCAAAACGCTGTCCCATCACACATCCCGGCCTGTAGGGTTTAGGGTTTATCGGGTATAGGGTATATAGGGTTTATAGGGCTGACAGGAATTTATAGGGTTTATGGGGTTTAGGGCCTCAGGGCTTCGGGTTCAGGGTTCGCCGAAGTCCAGCCTCAGCGCCTCCTCGGCACGCTTCCGGGCCTCCTCCTGCCATGGGGCGTGTTTTTCATTTTTGTTTTTTCCCTTCTTTTTTTCCGCCAGTCAGCTGAGGGCTTGGAAATGCCCCCAAAGTACCCAAGATCTGCTAAGGATGGCCCCTTAAGACCCTCTGAAACAATGTTCCAGAGTCTGATCCTCTCAAACCCAACAAGGGGAAACATGAAATGTCCCAGGGTAGGGTTTAGGGTTTCGGAAGAAGCCTAGGTCTAAGTCTCAACAGAATTATGGTACGGAATTACAGAGGGTAGTTTGGGGGTCCAACCGGCTCCAGCATGATGCAAAGTCAGGTCTGCCTCTGTGTGGAGCTGCTGCTGTAGAGGCTTGACAACCTCAGGCGCTGAGGAACAACCTTCCCAAACGGCCCATGTACCCGGAAGATACTCCAACCCAAAAGGGACTACATGGTGCCCAGTTGGCTTCTGTGTGGGCTACGTCATACCCGCCTTGGCCACTTCTTCCTTCACAGCCTTTTCCACCTGAGTTTCTTACGTGCTGGTTTCATGTACAGCGCAACGCTAGCACACAAACAGCTCCCAGTGTGTCAGCCTCCATCCACAAGGAAGATGACGCGCTCAACTGCGAGTACGAGCTACGAATCGAGGGAGTCTTTTCTCGATGCCTTGGGAGGGCAAGTCTCTGGAACTTGTGCATGGCATAGCAAACGCACACTCTATCTGCATGCAGAGGCCACGGCTGATTGTTGAAAAACAGCAACCCCGCTTCTTCTCCGCTCCGGCTTTGCCTCAGCATTGTGGCTGCACTGCCTGGCAGCTTTCAACAAGTTAAGGGTTGCCGGTTGACTTTTCGGGGGCCCAATCATTTCAATACGATGTCTGCCACAGTGTCACAGTGGTAGGTGAGGGTGGGCTTCGGGTTTAGGGGCTTACGGTCCCTAAACACTAAACCCTAAACCCTAAGCCCTAAACCCTAAACCCTAAACCACAAGGAAACGGCACACTGAGGTCCGTAGCCCACCGCTGGACCCAAGCCGAGCACTGACTCTCCTGTCAAGGCTCCAGAAGGCCGAAAGGCCCGAATCCTTATCATGACACCCTACTTGAAGGGTTTAGGGTTTAGGGTTTAGGGTTTAGGATTTGGGGTTTAGGGTTTAGGGTTTGGGGTTTGGGGTTTAGGGTCATGGGTAATGATAGGTGAGGCTACAGGCACCCTAACTAAGGTCATAGCCACAGTTGCCCGACTTGGAACCCGACTCAGAAGTACCCAAGAACCTCCAAATATCATGAAACGCTATAGACCCTACACCTTGGTAGCCCAGAAAACATCTTATAAGCAGGGTACCCGCTTTTAGTTGGTTACTTCAGAAGCCAGAACAAGAAGAAAAAGGGCAAGGGTACCACTGGGCTAACACCCTAGTCCCTAGTGGCTGCACAGCAGAAGAAACTCTGCATGCCAACCCTAAACCCTAAACCCTAAACCCTAAACCCTAAACCCTAAACCCTAAACCCTAAACCCTGAACCCTAAACGCTAAACCTCTGCCAGTCCTTGAATGGCTAGAGCTGGCTCTGCTCACCGCGCCGCTGGCTACGGGCCTCCGCGCTTCCAAAGCGCGGACCGGGGTATGAGTGTTAGGGTTTAGGGTTTAGGGTTTGGGGTTTAGGGTTTAGGGTTTGGGGTTTGGGGTTTAGAATTTGGGGTGCCCGCGAACCAACTGTCAGTCTAGAATTTGGGGCCGAATCTGTACTCTCATCATACTCAGCAGATTCCTCTCCCCTCCCCCCCGGGAGGATGTCACAAAAAAGCCCCCTGAAGGGCTCTTCTGTGATTGCCCACCCATATCAAAGGTACCTCAGCCCCATGTCCCGAAACCGCATGCCGCTACTGCGCCAGTAGATGCATGAACCCTGACTTGGGCCAACTTTACTTTCTAGATCCTCCTAAGCCCCACCTTGAACCCTAAACCCTGAACCCTATAATAAACCCTAATCCCGAAACCCTAAATCCGAACCCCTAAACCCTAAACCCGAAACCCCAAATCCGAAACCCTAAACCCTTAACCCCAAACACCGAACCCGAGGCCTGGTTCCACGCTGCTACACCCAAGGCCCGAGCACCAAGGCATTCTTCCCCGACGACGGCAGTGGTGTCTTCGGGTACAAAAGCCGGCTGTTGGGCCTCCACACAGCGCTTTTTGTAGGGGTTCAGGGTTTAGGGTTTAAAGTGTAGAGTTTGGGGTTTAAGGTGTAGAGTTAAGGGTTTAGGGTTTAAGGTGTAGACTGTAGGGTTTAGGGTTGAGGAGAGGGGTTTGGAGGTTTGGTACCAGGGTTAGACGGCTTGAAAAGGTGGCTGATGACCAACCTCGCCTCTAAACTCATGTCTGTGAGGGTTCTAAGTAGGGTAACTGCACACCCTTATTCAGTGAATCTGTGAACCTCCAAGTACTTCCAAACAACCTAAACCCTAAACCCTAAACCCTAGACCCTAACCCCTAGACCCTCAACCCTAAACCCTAACCCTAAACCCCAAAACCCTAAACCCTAAACCCTAAGCCCGAACCCCCCCAGCATTTCCACAAGCGGCCTCCCGCTCCGCACACTTCCATCCTCCGATGGTGTCTTTCCCAAGACCTCGAAGTCTGCTGCTGTCAGAACTGGGAGGGGAAACTTCGAGTTTAGGGTTTAGGGTTTAGGGTTTAGGGTTTAGGGTTTAGGGTTTAGGGTTTAGGGAACCCTAAACTTCAAACCGCGGAAAGCTGGGCGTGCCGCAGGCAGCGAACCTGCCCGGTAGAGCCTGTCGAACATCACCTCAAGCAGAAGCAAGGCGGTCCAGGGCGAGCATTTCACATATGGAAACCAGTTTAGGGTTTAGGGTTTAGGGTTTTGGGTTTGGGTTTAGGGTTGGGGTTCATGGGGGGGGGGGTAGGTACCTAGGGGGAGTAGCAGGGAGTATTACGGAACCTTGGTTTATATGCCCCCCTTGAACCACCCTCCCTTAGGAACCCTATAATTCACATATGGAAACCACAGTTGTGTTCATGAGGCGGATGCAACAATAAGAGACGCCTCTATATCAGGCCATATCATAGGGCTGAAGATCCTTCACTGTGAGCTGAACGTCCTTCAGGACAAAGCATAGGGAACATGTAGAATCCAATTCATGAGAAATATTGGGTAACATGATGTGGTGTCTACAAGAGCATGTCATCATGATTGTTGCTAGCCGGCAATGCAATAATGAACATAACGAAAATGATAAGCCTGATAAGCATGTAAACAAGTTTGCTCAGCAACAATGGCAAAATGGCAACCTCATATACACACGCATTTAGCTTTTGAGTTTATAAGTATACACACATACATATATATATATATAATATAGCACATAAATACAACATGTGTCTGTACCCCTAACCCTAAAACCTAAACCCTAACCCCTAAACCCTAAACCCGAACTCATGTCGGCCGGCCTTGCTAACATCCTCCACTGTGGGTGCAGGGGGAACTTTGGGCGCCAAGATCTCAGCGCCACCTCTTCGGCCGTAGTACCTTGGCCGTTACGTTTCAGGTTTCATGGGTAACTCAAAACTTATGACTCGCAACCACCGACTAAGTTCAAGTTGTGCCCCGGACAGGCCCCCAAGCCCAGCTTCAATTCGGAGCCAATGCCCCTAAACCCTAAACCCTAAACCCTGAACCCTAAACCCTAGACCCTGAACCCTGAACCCTAAACCCTAAACCCCTATGCAAACAACAAAGTCTCTGCAAGTCGGCACTTGCATGCGCCCCGTAACGCTGAAAGGCTCAAAGACCATTTCAACATCCGCTGCAAGCCTCCGGCGTCAATTCACGAAACCCTGCCCACTGACAAGAACGTGCAGCACGGAGCAATCAACGCAAAGAATGTCTCTATTTTTCTTGTTGCCTGGCCGATGTTCTATTGGCTATTGCATTCATGCAGTGATTCTGGTTGTATCAAGTCTTGTGTTTTCTACTAAACCCTAAACTCTAAATGCTAAACCCCAAACCCTAAGTTCTAAAACCTAAACCCTAAATTCTAAACCCTAAAGGTCCTAAATCCTAAACCCTAAACCCCCAACCTTGGGCTTCTCAGAGTCCAACCTTCAATGATCACGACCCTAGCTTGGAAACACGGCACCTTTGGCTGCTAACAGCCTCGAGCGACAGACGCACCCGAAAACCCAAAGACATGGAAACAAAAACCTTGGTGTAGGGTTTAGGGTTTAGGGCTTAGGGAATTGGGTGCGAATGTATATGGGCAGCTCTCTATATTCTTGTGGCGCACAAAGTCCTGTGTAGTTAGTCTATACATATATATATATATATAATTTGGATCCCTTTTTGGATCCCCTATATAGTAGGGCACCCTTAATTAGAAAGGATCCCAAAAGGGACCCTAGGTCCGAGAACTACCCACATGAATAGAAGTATTATTAACAGCATAACAGAAGTAGCAATCGCGGCCATGTTTAGAAATATTTTGCGCAGAGGTGTGACTCTCAGACTGAGAAAGGGACGCCAGTGTGACCTTCTTTCTGGCGTTCCTCTCTCTGTTCAGATGCTGCCTCAGACGGGCAGATTGATGTCCCATGCTGGTTAGGAGGCAAGAGCCGGAGCGCCGTCAACCCGAAGCCCTAACCCCCTAAACCCTTAACTAAGCCACAACCCCCCAAAACCCAAAAGCCCATGAACCCCTGAACTTTACCCCCTCAACCTTGATTGGAGCCTCTTGAGGGTCTAGGCCGGGAGTTATCCGGCGAAGCTTAAGCAACCTTCGGGAGCTTTGGGAGAGCTCTGCTGGAAGGTTCATGAGTACTCATAAGTTTGTGCTAGAAGTACCCTAACCAAGGTTACAACCATAAAACTATCATACTTGCCGCACTTAGAACCCTGCTTATAGGCGCCCCACGAAGCTCCAAAGTAAGGATCCATCCGAGCTCCCGGCTGCCATGAGGTGTGATCTGCCGCAAAGTTGTTCATGGCTACGCGGCATCCTTCCTGAAGCCTCTACGGCGAAACCGGGTCAAAGATCGCCAAATCTGCAAGGAGCAGCTGCCACATGCGCGAATGGTGTGGTGCCCTAAACCCTAAACCCTAAACCCACCCTAAACCCTGAACTCTGAACTCTGAACTCTGAACCCTGAACCCTGAACCCTGAACCCTAACCCTAGGGCACTGATCCCCACCAATTCACACCTGGACCCCCCAAGTACCCCGTAATCAGGGGTATTTAGGGTGTCTTGAAGGGCACGGATCTCGGGAAACCCTCCTAGGGCCTGTAGGCTTATGTGAAGATTTCCACTCCCCACCCGCATGTAGGGCTTTATTCTTGTCGCAGTAACTGTTGTGTTCGCGCGCAGAGCTTGAAGAATTCAGCCCGACAACCCTAAACTGCAAAAGCTCTCCACCCCTCTCTTTGCGGTTCACTTTCTGCTTCTTTTCTGGTTTGCGGTTGGCTCACTTGCTGCTTTTCTGGTTTACCGTTGCTCAGATGATTCTCGCAGCTCTACTTAACAACCACCGTGCAACTTAATTAGTAGGGACATGGATGTAAGTACCATCTGTGATCTTTTTAAATGGGTTCCAAAGGGGGGCACAAGGTATCAATTAGCTACAGCTTTAGGTCTCCAATATTCAACGGGATACTCCGTCAGGGAACTGATGACAAGTTGCCATAATTCGGAGATACATGTACCCTACATCCTAAACCCTAACTGTAAACATACCTCAGAGAACTACCCACAGGTAGTTCAGAAAGTAGTTTCCTTCTGGTGCAGTTACGAAGCCCCGCCTGAGTGAAACCACCGTGGTCGTGCTCGACGCCTTGCGTCGGGTGTAGGTTTTAGGGATTCGGGTTGAGGGTTTAGGGTGTAGGTTTTAGGGCTTAGGGTCCGAGGTTTGAGGTTTAGGGTTTAGGGCTTTGGGGCGCTGATGGAAAGTCTCGTTGGAACCGCATTTGGGCTTCTCAAAGTACACGGGGCGGTACTGAAAACAATAACTAGGGTTATGAGTACCCTAGATGAGGCTATAATAAGTACACATGAACTCTCCAAGTGTGGAAGCGCGGGTCCTTCCCAGACAGGCCTGCTTTTGTCCATGGGTAGCCAGAGGCTCCCACACCCCTTAATCAAGGAATCTTCCTTACATCATACAAGGAAAACTCTTATACTTTAATTCCAGGAATATTCTTTACTTGAGGGGTGTGTGGTTATGAATGGAGAAACTATGGGTGTAGCCTTGTTTCGGGTACGTAATACCATACTTACTTTTACCCATGAACCCTCCAGTCGACACTCAGATCTCCCAAGGCTTCGTCGGATATAGGGAAGAAGGGCGTGGTTCTTAGGGTTTAGGGTTTAGGGCTGAAGGTCTAGGAATCGGGGCTCACCCCACAAACGGGAACAACGTTCAGCCTCGCAGCCTTCCTCTCAGCAAAGGGCTACGCCTCCTCTTACAATACGGGTACCCTTGTGGCTACGTTCCTAAGGGAACCCCAAACCCAAAAAAGGGCAAAAAGGCAGCACTGGGCTGTCAAGACACTCTGAACCCTTGAAGCACCAAATAAAGACAACACCCTGAATTGAACATGAAAACCCGAAACCCTAAACTTAAACCCTGAACCCTAAACCCTAAACCCTAAACCCTATACCTAAACCCTAAACCCTCAACCCTCAACCCTAAACCCGAAACCCTAAACCCTAAACCCTATACCTAAACCCTAAACCCTCAACCCTCAACCCTAAACCCGAAACCCTAAACCCTAAACCCTAACTCTAAACTCTAAACCCTAGACTCGGGGGAGGAGGCATTTTTGGGCCTCCATGGTCGGCCACAACGAGGACCAAGGTTTCCTCCGGCTCAGGAACCGTAAAAAACGTTCTTGCTGGAGGGGTTTTGGGGTTTAGAGTTTAGGGTTTAGGGTTTACGGCTGCAGGGTTTTGGAGTTCGGGGTTTTGGGCTTTTGGGGGTTTAGGGCTGCAGGGTTTTGGGGATTTAGGGTTTTGGGGTTTAGGGGTTTTAGGGGTGTTAGCATTTAGGGCTTAGGGCTGCAAGGGTTTGGGGGCTTTGGGGGCGTTTAGGGCGTTTAGAGTTTAGGTTGTCAGGGCTTCAGGAGGACTTTTTATAGGGCTTTAGAGTTTTAAGGTTTTAGTGTTTAGAGGTTCTTGGGTCTTCGTGTTCAGGGGTTGAGGGCTTCAGACAGGCTTCAGAGTTCGGGTTGAGGTTTAAGCATAAAGCTACAAGAGGGCGGGGCGGGGGGGTGGGGAGTGGCTCCTCAAACCCTACAGGAACCCCCCACATAGCCTCAACCCAAACCCTCAAACAGTGATCGCCGAAACTTCTACGTAAACTTCATCTGGCTGGTTTTTAGTAGGGAATGAGGGAATGAGGTACCCTATGTAATCCCTTCAAGGGTATATATGGGGCCCTGCGTTCTTGATTCCATGCTAAGAACCAGAGGGTCTTGTAGATTGTGGGGTTTAGGACTGTGCGTAACCCGGTAACTCCCAAAATGTAAACAACAAGTTAACCAACATGTACACCCTGAACCCCTGAGGTTTGCAAAAACCCTAAACACCATTGAGAACCCTTGAACCCTAAACCCCACACGCAAAAAACGCAACTGAACAAAGCCTCGAATAACATGGAACCTTTCACCTAAGCCTACTAGACTCGACACTGCGACAGCAAAAAAAAAGAAACCCTAACCCCCAAAGCCCTAGCTCCCTAAACCCTCGAAGCCAAAACAGGCCGGATCCTCAATGAGACCGACATCACTTAGGGCTTGCAGCAGGGACCCCAGGCGGCGGTCCTGCCGACATTTTTCGGGTTTTAGGGCCTAGGGTCTAGGGTGTAGGTGTTAGGGTTTAGGGTCTAGGGTTTAGGTTTTCGGGTTTGGTGCTTTGTTGTTTCTGGGCCCGGTTCTGAAGGATTCGGGGTTTGAGGCCCCGTGTGGTGGAATCATGATTGTAAAGGTCCTAAACGGGGAACGACTTCGCTCAGCAGCCCTAAACCCTAAACCCCCTAACCCCCTTGAGCCAGAGGACAAGGAACAAAGGCCTCAAGCAAAGCCTGTACAGCGCTCCCTCTTTCAAACCCTGAGGTGGTGGAGATATGTTTTGGGTTTAGGGTTTAATTAGGGTTTAGGGTGTCTGTCTGTCAGCAGAGAGATGTATTTCAAGACTCGTGAGGGGAGGGGGACTGATCCCAACCCCTACACCCCAAATCCCTCACAAAAGCACACTGAGCTCCGCGTCGCGCATGGCCGCGAAGTACCTGCACAGGCCAGGGGGTTTAGGGTTCAAGGTTGTGGGCTGACAGGGCTTTGAGGGTTTAAAGTTTAGGCTTCTGGGTTTGGAGTTTAGGGTTTTGGGTGTAGGGTTTAGGCTCAAATGACAAAGTCCCTCAAGCGGTATTCGGGTTTAGGGTTTAGCAAGTCTAGGGTTCAGGGTTGAAGGTTAAAGCCCCAGAATCGTGAACGCTCCTTTTCTCGACCGCTGAAAGTGCTCAGCACTGGACTTGGGTTGCCCATGCACTACCAGGAAACGCGCGGCCCTGGGGCAGCAGAAACGACAGCACGCTGCACCGGAAGGAAACATTGGCCCAGCCGAACTCACACCCTTCCTGCATGCTCGACACCTGGGTAAGGGCCTGGTGCGCGCGGAAGGCTTCACGATTCCTTGCCAGGACGCCTTCAATACCACTTCCCAGAGGCAGCGCGTCTGCTTCGGACACGGCTCTCTGCACCATGGTCCTAAACTGAACTTGGAACCCTAGCAAAGATGATAATTTCAGCTGTTTCGTAGGAATTTCTCTGCCCACAAACACACAAAACATATTCCCAAGAATCCCTAAGGGTCAGGCTCTTTATGGACAAGTTCAGCAAGCAGGCGTCCAGGATCTCCTTGCTGTCCTCTGCACTCATGGCCGCGGGGTCCTCCACCGCCACGTGAAGGGACTGAAGAGCAGACCTGGGACCCTCTTTACCTAGCATAGGGTTTAGGGTTTAGGGTTTAGGGTTTAGGGTTTAGGGTTTAGGGTTTAGGGTTTAGGGTTTAGGGTTTAGGGTTTAGGGTTTAGGGTTTAGGGTTTAGGGTTTAGGGTTTAGGGTTTAGGGTTTAGGGTTTAGGGGTTAGGGTTTAGGTTAGGGTTTAGGGTTTAGGGTTTAGGGTTTAGGGTTTAGGGTTAGGGTTAGGGTTTTTAGGTTAGGGTTTAGGGTTTAGGGTTTAGGGTTTAGGGTTTAGGGTTTAGGGTTTAGGGTTTAGGGTTTAGGGTTTAGGGTTTAGGGTTTAGGGTTTAGTCCCAGGGACTTCTCACGCAGCAGCTCTGCGATGGAACTCCAGAACTGTGGTGCAGCGCGAGGCACCTGGGGCAGTGATCTCCGTAAACACTGACAACCAGCTGACTTCACGAAGATTAATGACCTAAACCCCCTAAACCCTAAACCCTAAACCCTGAACCCTGAACCCTAAACCCTAAACCCTAAATCCTAAACCTAAAACCTGCAAAAAACCCTGAGCGCTCCACAGTTCAAGGCCCTCTCCTGAAGGAACAAGGAGGAAACTCGAGCGTTCCCGACGAAGGCTTGCGCCACCGCCACACTGGCCAGCGCCCCGCATGGCTGCAGGCCCAAGGACGCGCGGAAGCCTCGAGTGGGAGTTTAGGGTTTAGGGTTTAGGGTTTAGGGTTTAGGGTTTAGGGTTTAGGGTTTAGGGTTTAGGGTTTAGGGTTTAGGGTTTAGGGTTTAGGGTTTAGGGTTTAGGGTTTAGGGTTTAGGGTTTAGGGTTTAGGCTAAAGGGTTTAGGGCTTAGGGTCTAGGGTTTAGGGTTTAGGGTTTAGGGTTTAGGCTAAAGGGTTTAGGGCTTAGGGTTTAGGGTTTAGGGTTTAGGGTTTAGGGTTTAGGGTTTAGGGTTTAGGGTTTAGGGTTTAGGGTTTAGGGTTTAGGGTTTAGGGTTTAGGGTTTAGGGTTTAGGGTTTAGGGTTTAGGCTAAAGGGTTTAGGGCTTAGGGTTTAGGGTTTAGGGTTTAGGGTTTAGGGTTTAGGGTTTACGGCTATTTTGGGCTGGGATTGACAGAGCTTAGGGGTTGAGGGGTGCAAGGGGCCCTGAAAAAAGTTGGGGCTGAATTAGAGAGTTCTTGTGGGAGGGGCAACTCTTCCCCCCCCCCCCAACATAAACAAAAAACTCAGTCCTAAGCCCTAAACTCGAAACCGAAAAAGAAGACCTTAAGCCCTAACCCGTAAACTTTGACACTTTGCCTTAAAACCCTGAAGCGCCAAATCCTAAACCCCCCACAACCACACCCTGAACCCCTATTCACCAAACTCCAAAACCACAAAAGAACCCCTCAAAACCTAGTCATCCTGGTGTAACAAGGGGCTTATACGGGAGCCCCCGAAAACAAGGAAGAAGGGCCTCCTAACCAAGCAGCTTTCTTCTCTGCCCTCCAAGCAGGTGAACTCGGCGTGCGCTCTCTCGGATGTGGGGCCCTTCCTCGGCCCCCAACACAGGGCTGTAAGGTCTTTTGGGACTTTAAAGGACCCTAAGAGCCTTTAGGGTTTAGGGTTTAGGGTTGAGGCTTCACCACCTAGGGGGGGGGGGGGGGGGGATCCCCTTCAGTCGCCAAAATACCCACCAGGGGGGTTTCCGAAAATGGTGGTGCCCTTTTTGGGGGTCCCTTTCCCGAAGCCCTAAACCCCACATGCGAAGCCCCAAAACCTAAACCCCAAGATCCCAAACCCTAAACTTAACGCTGTGGGGCCCCTGCGTTTGTAAACCCTACTCGTGGTGTTGTTCATGGCTCTTGGTCTATAGACCCGTGAACCAATGCATGAGGAGAAATGTTTCTGAAAGTCAAAAGGCTTCTTTTTTAAAACCAATCCCGTCAAGACTCGCAAATCCATAAACGATTCTGTTGAGTTCTGTGGAAGCTGGGCATAGAAAATGTACGGGAGAAAAGCTGTTTATCTAGCAGGCATATTTCCTTTGCTGAGATCACTCCAAGCGCAGAGACAACAACCCAAGATTTACGTTTGCCGTAGGAGACAAGCCCATACAAATACGTACACATCGCTTCAGCAGGAAATGCAAATTCCCCTCCAAAATCATAATCCCAAGCCTGCCCACGGATTCCATCGATTTACGCGAAAACAATCCTCTTGCAAACCGCGAATGTCCCCCAGCAAGAAGGCTTGGAAAGACAGTCACCCCCTTGGATGTACACATGCTCACACACTGGTGAGACACGTGAGACACGTGCTCACACGTCCCTTCTCCGAAATCGATCCCAAGCCAAAAATTGCTGCGGATGTGACTACAGCTAAATGATAGGAGGGAGTACGTGTTCTGTTCCAAGGACCCTTCAAGATGAATTCGCATGTCCACCGCGCCGACACTATGAAGAGAATGAAGCCTCCTACACATACTGAAAAACACTGTGCAGATCAAGATATCCACATTGAAGATAATTGCTGGCAGGCTTTTGGGAGGTGTCGGAAATATTGAAAAGACATTTGTTCACAGTGTTCTCATTTCGCCGGCACGTAAGTTTCATGGAATAACTTCCATGCCCCCCCTACCTATTCCCTGGAACATTTATAGGCATGTTCTTGGGAGAAGGGCTCGTCTTGGACAGCATTCCTGTCGAGACTCACACATCCTAAGCAAAATCTCAGCCGTCCAAAGCTGGCAATGCTGCTGGCAAACCAGAACTGTAACAAACCAGACATGAAAAAAACACAGGCCTCCGCAGCGTCCCTTTCTGAAACTTAAAGCCCTGCTGGCCGCGACCTGCCAACACCGCCTCAAACAGAACCCTATACGCACGAAACCCACAAATCCAAACCCCCTACAACCCTCAACCCTACAAACCCGACACTCCGGGGGTTGTTCAAGCCAAAACTCGGCGAAATTCCCACAGAGATGACCTGAAGGGCTGTTCTTTCGGGTTGGGGTTTCGGGTTTAGGGTCTAGGTACGTAGTTCTGGTTTTGCTTAAGGGCTGGGCTTTGGGGTATTTTGCTTTGGGGGTTCAGGGTGAGGCCTGTCGAGCAATGTGCAGCGCTTAGGCTTAAGGGAGGAGGGTTCATAGAAAATAGGTACAGTACCTAAGGAATCTTCGGAAGGCTTAGGGAGCTTTAGGGAGTAGTGGGAAGTAGCAAGGAAGCCTGGGTTGCATACCCCTTGAACCTCCCCCTTAAGGTTGGGCAGACTTGCCCTTAGGCCCCGAACCCCCCCGGTTGGAAGGCCTGCTGCAGGCCACGGCGGATAGGTGTGCCATAGGGCGATCGGTCTCGCAACACCTCATGAGCTTCTTGACAGGGGGCGGGGGGGGGGGGGGCTTAGAGGTAGGGTTGATAGGGCTTACAGGGTTGAATTTGAAGGGGTGGGGGGACGCCGGTGCTTTTGAGGGGGTGAAGAAACCTAAACTTTCTGCACTAAACAGCAGCACGCACAAATGTCTTGGGACACAGGGCCACGAGAACACTGGAAGATCGTAAACGCCGCACAAAATTCTGTATTCTCGCCACATCACAAACACCAATCTCTCTACGAAACCTCCCAAATCCTACGCCCTGAAACGAGAAAACCACGGACACCCAGAACCCTTACAACCCCAGAGGCCCTGACCCCTAAACCGCTGAAACCCTGCACCCCAATGACCTTCCTGAGCCTTAACCCTGAACCCTAAACCCTAAACCTGAGCCCTAAGCCCTGAGCCCTAATGTCGGTCCGTGCCACCTTGACCTGCCAGCTCTGGCAACAGCTTGCTAAGCCCAGCACCTGGACATTCTTAAGGGGTTTTAGGGTGCAGCGTTTAGGGTTAAGGGCTTTGTATGGTCTTGAGGGTTAGGGTTTCGGGTTTTGGGTAGGGTCTAGGGTTTTGGGGTAAAGGCCTTGTTTAGCCTTTATTAAGTATCTCTGCGAGCATAGGGTACGACTGCATTACGACGATTATCTCGGGGCTCATGGTTCGGGTTCATTAGGGTTCCAGGTTTCGGCTTCGACCCACTGAAAGAGGCTGTGGGGGTTTGGGTGTATAGTGAACTTCGCCCAACACCGGAGGACTGAGGCCCTGAACCCCAAGCGGCCCCAAACGTAGACCCCAAACAGCGTAAGACCGCTTTCAAGTGCATTCAATCTAGCACTCCAGGTGCACTGGCAGCCCCGCCACAAGCACACCTGACCACAGTCCCAGAGCACTCGAAGAGGATCCCAAAGAGCAGTACAAGACCGCTCTACAAGACCAAGAGCACCCCGGAAAGCGACCACAAATCTGCACTCCACAATGTGCAGGCGCACAGGAAAGTATATGCAAGAGCGCCAAAGGGAAGCCCGTCGCTTGGCAAGGGTTCTGGATGGTCTTGCTATGGGCCCGAATGTACCTGGTCGCTTTACAGGGTTTGTGCTACGGGCCAGCAAACTGTGGAAGTCAGATATTCAAGCCTTCCAAATGGGTGTCGCTAGGTCGTCGCTTTGGGCGTCGCTCTGGAGGGGCATGTTTCTGCTATGGTTACTATAAGTGGCGTCGCTTTTCGGTGATCCCCGTCGCTTTACGAGTTTTTGACACTTTAGCATGCAATGTCCTACCGAGATAAAGCCGCAATTCCCATAGGTTTGCTATATTTATATATAATTATGAATAACAATAGCAATAATGATGATGATAATAATAAACTGCCATCAGAGGTCTAGGTATAGCTAGGAAAGGCAACATACGAAACAAAGACAAAAAATGTATATCTACATATAGAGAGAGAGATATATATATATAGATATATAGATGGATGGATAGATAGAGATAGACGGTACCCCAAAAACATCTGCAATCGGAGGTCTTCATAAAGGCATGGCAAGGGACCTGGTTAATGGTGTTCGTGGCCAGTCCGGCTAGTAGGTCCACCAAGCCTTGGTAGCCCGGCCACCACTGCATAATGAGCCCTAGCCCTAAACCCTAAACCCTAAACCCTAAACCCTAATCCGCAAACCCCAAACCTCAAACCCTAAACCCCAAACCCCAAACCCTAAACCCTAAACCCTAACCCTGAACCTAAACCCTTTCTGGCGTTGCTTACGTTTGTCGAAGGGAACCCGAGTCAACGCCCTATGAACCCTGAAGCTCAGAACCCAAGAAAGGGGCCAAAGAATGCCCCAAACAACCAAGGGTTTAGGGTTTAGGTTTAGGGTTTAGGATTTAGGGTTTAGGGTTTAGGGCTTAGGGTTTAGGGTTTATACAGGGCTTAGGGTTTAGGGTCCCAAACAACCAAGGGGTTGAAAGGGCAAGAAGCGTACAGGCACGATGGTCTCCCCAGTCATCCCGATGCCTCCTTAGGTCGCCAAGTGCGCGGTCGAGCTCTGTCCATGGCTCAATGTTGAGGGCTTAGGGTTTGGGGTTTGGGGTTTAGGGTTTAGGGTTTAGGGTTTAGGGTTTAGGGTTTAGGGTTTCGGGTTTAGGGTATCTTGGGCGCTCGGGGGGTGTTTTGGGGTGTTTAGGGTGTATATTAAGGTTGAATAGGGCATGTGGGTGTCTAGGGTAAGCAGGGTGGTTATAGGTGCATAAGACGTGTAGGGTGCATAGGGTTTAGGGTTCTCAGGCTTCAGAGAACCATCGTGGGGGCTTGCAGCCCTCCATTGTCACAGCTTGATCCGCCGAGATCTGGATGACAGGCGAATTGAGCAGCATGCCACTTGGGTAGTTCTCAAACTCAGGGTCCCCTTTTGGGATCCCCTAAATAGCAAGGAACGATTTAAGTTAAGGACCCCCCAAAAAGACCCTAACTCCTTGCTGCTCACGACTCACCCCAGGGTGCCAGCAGCGTAAAAAAAGGCGAAGAGCAAACCGACTGCATCCATGCGGGAAATGCTCAAAATACCCTAATCAAGCCTAAACCCCTAAACCCCAAACCCTAAACCCTGAACCCTAGACGATAGGTTCCCTTGTTGGTAGCATTCTGCTAGCGTTAAGTGACCTTTAGAGTAACCCGCTCTTAGCTTGCCAAAAGCCCCCTGTCTAAGCCCAAAATTAGAGGGGTAGTTAGGGTTTAGGGCTTAGGGTTTAGGGTTTAGGGTAGTTACATGGTTCCTTGGGATGGGCCGTTAAATGTCACCTTATATACCCCCCCCCCCATATGCCCTCCCAAGGCGAAGGGCCCATGCCCCAGAACCCTTTAACGAAGGTAAGGGAGCACAAAAGAGGACCATGAGACTACCCTTAGAAAAGCCCTAAACCCGAAACCAGAAACTCTCAGACCATCACATGGGTACGTACCCAACTCGGAACTCGGAAAGAGAGGGAGAACACGAGAATTCCTAGGCCTTGTACGCCCTTAAACCCTGTAAACCCTATTCCCTACAACCATGATGCCTTTGAGGACCCGCCCCCTGCTACAAAAAAAAAGCTATCCATTGTTTCTTGAAAGCCATTATACATACAGGCAAATACATATACAGCTGTTTTTTTAATCTATTGACTTGTGTATTTATTCTCCTGAAGCAAATCAATGGCAAAAGTACTTAACATCTGTGAAACCCCAAAACCCTAAACCTCCTACACATAAACCCTAAACCCTAAACCCTAAACCCTAAACCCGAAACCCTAAACCCTAAACCCTAAACCTAAACCCTAAACAGTAAACCCTAAACCCTAAACCCAGTTGGGGAACTGCAGCGCGCACTTCTGGGAACCCCAGCCGTGCTCGTGCCCCTCATGGTCGACCTCGTCCTGGGCGGCCATGGGGCTACAGGCTACAGGGGTTTTAGGGGGTTTAGGGTTTTAGGGTTTAGGGTTTAGGGTTTAGGGTTTCGGGTTTAGGGTTTAGGGTTTAGGGTTCAAGTGTCTCTTTGGTGAAGGGTATAAAGTTTAAGGGTTCAGGGTTCCATGGTTTAGGGTTTAGGGTTCCGCATCTCAAGTCCAAGCATCCACTGATGAAGCTCGCTACTCAGGTGTCGAACATCTACCCATCCTCCCTTTGAATGGGAAACTAATCTATCATTATCTTAATCTTAAGCCCTAGGAGGGTTTAGGGGGCGACGACGAAGTAGGCAAATTTGCCGACTGCTCGTCGACGACGAGTGAGGCAAAACTTGCACTGGCCGATGACGAATTAGGCAACCTTGCCTGACGACTTGGGCGCTAACGTTTGTATACATAGGACAGCGAGGTTTCGGGCTTACGGGGGAGTTTAGGGTTTAGGGGTGCATTAGGGGCGGCAAGTTAGGGGATTAGGGTTATCTTATATGGGGTTTCGATTTTTTTTGGGTTGCGGGTTCATGGGACATGACACACCATAACCCAAACTCTTTACAAGCAAGTAGATGGCGCTGGTCGACCCTGTGGGTTTAGGGTTTAGGGTTTAGGGTTTAGGGTTTAGGGTTTAGGGTTTAGGGTTTAGGGTTTAGGGTTTAGGGTTTAGGGTTTAGGGTTTAGGGTTTAGGGTTTAGGGTGCGGTCTCTGATAGGGTTCCGGGTTTGAGGTTTAGGACTTAGGGTTCAGCTTCTTCATCACAGTTGAGGGTGCCAGCAACGGCCTCCCATGATGCCGATCGGCTCCCAGCACATGGGCCCGAAGACCTCAACGCCTAACCCCCCCCCCCCCCCCCCCGAAACGTCAAACCCCAAACCCCAAACCCTAAACCGAAACCCCCCCCCCCCCCCAAAAAAAAAAAATTAAAAAAAACAAAATAAAAAAATGTATTGAAGGCATAATACCTCAACCAAACCGCAGCTCCTTGGAACCCAACCACGATTTCTGGAGTACCTTGCGTCTGCGCCTAGGCCCTGCGCGCCGTCCCAATTTGTTTCAGCGCCATGCCAGAGGCATGTTAAAGCTTGGCAGCCGTCAAAAAAACCCTAAACCCCAAACCCCAAACCCTAAACCCCATAAACCCCAAACCCTAAACCCCTGAGTGCGTCGTCTTCAGCCCAGACTCCAGGTGCAAGAACATGAGTTCGGGGACATCGTGGCTTCGGATGAGCTGCACCATTTCGCTGGTCTCGGCGGTGGGGTCGGCAGAGGGTTGAGGACTTACCCTAAACCCTAAACCCTAACCCCTAAACCCTAAACCCTGAACCCTAAACCCTAAACCCTAGACCTCATGCTTGAAGTTTAGGGATTGATTTAGGCTTCAAGGCTATGGGCGCAGAGGAGCTACCCGCATTCTTCTGGTTGACGTAGTGGATGATATGCAGGCCAAGGAGCTTAGGGTCTAGCGTTTCTAGAGTGTTTAGCGTTCATGGCTGTTAACACCTCGAACTCTAAACCCTTTCCCAGAGAGGTCCAGGTACCCGTGTAGCAGACTCTGCTGTGGGGGGTGTGCCATACATGCATACATACATACATACATACATACATATATGTATATATGTATATATATATATATAGAGATCAGCATCATCATCATGATCATCATGATCATCATGATCATCATCATCATCATCATCATCATCATCATCATCATCATTCGGAATATTGCCATAAATAGGCCAAAACAAGATGCCTCAACGGATCTTGACCCTTTAACCTCAGCGAGCCCGCCTCACAAATCCCACAGCACGAAACACCTGCTACTGAGGACGGTTTCGGGATTAGGGTTTAGGAACCTCCTCTCAGTCATGACCTTGAGCCACACACCACCAGCCCCACACTCTGTTCTGTTGAGGGCTGGAGTTTAGTATATGCGCGCTTTCGGCTCTTGGTCTTCCGGTTGAAGGTATGCGCAAAAACAACAATGATCATGCTCATTATCAGAATCATGACCAATAACAATTGAATTTGCATAGACTTAAAACCGCCCGCTCACATTTTGCCCGGGGAGTGTAGTCAGGCTGCTAGCTCAACCACATGAAAGGCAGTAAAGTCTGAGCACCCTAAATCCTAAGTCCCAAAATCAGGCCTGGGGCAAATAAAGCACAACAGGAACGAGTGGCAGCATCCTCATCCTCCTCAGCCGCCGCAAACCAGTTCAGGGTTAGGGGTCTGGAGCTACAAGCCGGACGTTTAGGTGGGTAAGAAGCAGCTCTCAAGCATGTCTCCTGCACCTGCAGCACCTCACTGCCTAAACCCTCTAAACCGCTCAAGGTCTGCGAGCAGTCCTTATGACGGATGAGCACATCGCACTCGGAACAGAGGTAATGGATCCAGTCCCAACCAAGCACAGCAGCTGTCCTGAAAGCACTACTTGGAGGTTCATGGGCACTTATCAGTAGCGTTCTCAGCAGGGTAACTATGGCAACCCGATCGAGGGTATGTAAAACCCTGCTTCTGAGTACCAATGAAACTTCAAGTATGCTCTGGTTGGAGGATTGGTTCTGCAAAGGGGGCGCAAGTGTCTGCATGGCTTAGGAACTAGGGTTTATGTGGCCTGGGGTTTAGGGTGCAAGGCTTTATCGGGCTTGGGGCTTTCATAGCCCATGCTGGTTTCATGACCCTGTTGCATGGAAGAGGGCTTCGATATGTGCCCATGCCCAAAATCCCTGTCGGGTTGCTTTAGGCTTTAGGGGTTAGGGTTGGGATGTTCCCCCTTATACTAACAGTCCTTCATAGGGATTGTAGTACCTCCTACCCTAAGCCCTAAACCCTAAACCCTAACCCCTAAATGGGACTTAGGGCTTATGGCTGAAGACTTTCTTGCTGCAGAAGCACGAACCTGCAAGCTGGGGATCGAGCGCACAGCAAACATCTTCGGAATCCGCAGAGCAACATGGGCGACGGGGGTGCCGGCAAATAAGCCCGGACCCTAAACCCTAAACCCTAAACCCTAAACCCTAAACCCTAGACCCTAGACCCTAAACCCTAAACCCTAAACCCTAAACCCTAAACCTGAACCCTAAAGCCTACCCCCTGCCTCTCCCCCCTGCACGTCACGAGGCCTGAAAGGCTCGCCGCGGGCAGCAAAGGCATCTTTGGCCACTGCCCAAATCCTCAATGGGTGCGCTTTTCCAGGTTTAGGGTTTAGGGTTTAGGGTTTAGGGTTGAGGGTTGAGGGTTTAGGGTTTAGGGTTATAGGGTTTAGGGTTATAACCCTTTCCCACTGGGCGGCTACTCCTGAAGAACGCTAAGTTGCAAGTCATGCGGATATGTAAACCACCCAAGCGTAGACCCCCAACGGTGTGCACCAGACCAAGCGGCCATGACGACGCATCGCTAGTGTCACTCGCAGTCACTCGCATGAGCACAATCCAAGGCCCAGAAGCCACAACCGTTCTGACGATGTGGGGCGATTAGACTTTATAACCCTTAAACAAAGCCACTTACCCTTCCACTTACCCTTTACTTTGCGACGAGCGCACGGGTGGTGGGAGCACAGTCAATGGACAGATTTGTACTTCAGGTGGAGCATGCGTATGGGATAGAGGCGGGTGCCCGATTGCGAACGCCGCGAAGTACAACTCCCCTTGTGTGTTTGGAGCAAATGTACGAGCGGCACGAGTAGCTGTCCGGAGACCCCGAACTAAAGGCCGGAAAGTGCCTGCCTGCCACATTTGCGTGTCCCACAGTGATTGAGGTTTTGCGACGAAAGGCGCGACCCTGCAAAACTCGCAGCCTGCCTACGGCCTGAAAAGAGGAGCTCGAAACAACCCACAGCTATGGCAGCTTAGGCCCGTTAGGCTAAAGGGGAGCTACTTCGAGGTTCATGGGTAGTTACAAGTAGGGCTTATAAGTACCCTAACAACCCTACGTGCTACCCATGAACCTCCAAGTACAGAGAAACAGCAACAAGGAGGGCAGCAGCATGCCCGCCAGGACGACCTTCCAACCACGTATTTCCCGACCGACGTTGAAACCAAAATCCTTTCCAGCGCCTCCAAACCCTGCAGCCCCCTTGGCGCCTGAAATTCGGGAAAAAATCCGAAAAACAAGATCCTCAGAAGTCCAAAAAGGACAAAATACAAACGATTTCAACCTGTCCTGCCAAGAAGAAACCCAAGCCCCAAGCCCAAAACCCTGACCGTTGCAAGGCGCGTCTCTGGCACTCTACCACGCCCGCTGGACGGGGGCATCGCATTGAACTGCGCAATCCCGTAGGGTTCAAGGATCCGTATGGGGATGTCCCCCCCAACTTATACGAACACCTTCGTAGGGATCATAGCAGTAGCACCCCCATTGTAATCCATATTAAGGATGGTCAGTTTAAGGGGGAACATCCCAAGATCCATACATAGAGTTTTACGGTTTTGGGGTTTAGGGTTGAGCGTTTGGGGTCCTAGTGACTCCCAGAGAGCCGAAGTGCCTTGATGGTGAATACTTGGTACCCAAACTACTATAGACGCCCTTTTCACTTGAAGAGAAGGTTTTGGGTTTCTGCGGCTGAAGCCAACTATGTTTGAGATCCAGAACAGACAGCTGACGTAGCTCCCCAAAACCTTCAGCCATACGCCAGAAAATTACAAGCAAATACACAAAAACAAATCTACATTTTTGTCTATACGCATTTATTCAATTATTCGTTTGTGTATCGGGATTAAATATTGTATATATATATACACACTTATATATATATATAAGACTGTATTTACAGTTATACTAATATTTATATTGATATCTATATGTTTATGTATATTCATCGAGTGCAACCTCCGCGAGCCTCGACGAACTACAACCTCCAAAGTTCACCTCTTGCATGCTTCCACAACGGCATCGAAATTCGCAACGGACCAACCCAACCCGCACACACACACACAAGAAGATATCCCGAGAAACCCCCAACTCCTCAGCCCTAAACCCCCCTAAACCGCCAAAGCCCCTGAACCCCCTAAATCCATACAAGCACCTTAGCCTTGGGCCCCTGATGCATCCTCAGCCCCTACACTCTTGGACTCATGTACAAAGATGCTTCCGAAAATGGGGGTCCATAGAGTTTTGGGCTGAGAGCTTAGGGTTTCGGGTTTGGGCGTGCCCCCTCAGGTTGGTTTAAATAGTAGAATTATTAGGTGTGTAGAAAGATAGGGCTTTGGGTTCAACAGGGTTCGGCATGGGTTTGGGATTGAGACTTTGGGATCAAGGGCCAAGCATAAAAAATCTGAAACACCTTCGTCGGGCCTCACCCCCGCCAGTGCCTGGACTCAGCGGTAGCGCCTGGCCGGTGAGTTTCGCGTTTGCGGGGTTTGAGGGGTGTATATGAGCCAGCATAGCTGCTGTGGTTCATGGTGGGTTTTGGGTTGCCCCCCCTCCCCCCCGCCCTGTGGTTGATGGTCTGTGGTTCATGGGTTTAGGGTTTAGGGTTAGGCTGTAGAGTTCAGGATTTTCAGTCTGACCCCCTTAGTCCATTGGTTCACGCCGGGTTTGGAGTTTAGGGTTCAAGGTTTGGGCTATCCCCCCTGTGGTTCGTGCTGGGCTTACGATTCGGGGTTTGAAGCGGTTCAGGTTTCGGGTTTACCCTTCTCCCCCCTGCGATTTTTCTTGGTGGGTTTAGGTTTTAGGGCTTAGGGTTCAGGGTTTGGGGTTTGTGGCGTTTTTAGGGTTAACGGGCAGGGTTTGGGGGGCGGGATACCATGGGGGGGGATACCATTTGAGGGGGGGGGGGGGGGGGGGGGGGGCGATTACGCGGAACGCGGGCGCATCTAAAGGTATTGGGGAGTCTCTTGCCTGGCCTCAAGGCAGCACTGCCTCACACTGTAGCTCTCACAACATCTTGGCAACTTTTGGCTCAGAAACCGCTTGCCCAATGGAGTCCAATCGGGTTTAGGGCTTGGGACTTAGGGTTCAAAGGGTTCGGAGGGTTCATAGGGCTCATGGGGTTCGGATTTAGGGTTTAGGCACATGCGCATAGGCACATGTCCCCCTCCCCATTTCATGAATCGCGTATAGTGGCAAAACCCTAACCCTAAACCCTCAACCCCAAAAGCCTAAGCCCAATACTTCCACAGCAGGGCCTGTCGGATGCTCTTGGAGTGTCCATGTGATCTTTCACCCTCAACAGCCCGCGTGCCCAGTTCCTATACGCTTGAGCCTTACAGAGGTTCCGACATAGTACCTTTTCGGGCGCAAGTGCAACCTATACAGGTGTACGAAGAAGGTATTTATGCAAATTGTATTGCAGGATTCATGTTTATGGTGCTTGGTGAGTGCATAGAGTATGTGGGGTTCCTCCGACAGATATGTGAGTGTAGTATGGGGTGCCAATTGACCCTAAACCTTGGAACCTCCATCCCGGAACCCTCAACCTGATGTCGAAAAGTTTGGGGAACCCTGAACCCTAAACCCTAAGCCCAAAAACCTATCAACCCTGTAAACCCTATCAACCCTGTAAACCCTGTAAACCCTGTAAACCCTCTAAACCCTGTAAACCCTATACACCCTATAAACCCTCTAACCCGTTGAAGGGCTTAAGCATCCCTGTAGACTGCTTTCCCTTTCCGGGCCTCGGAGACACCTCTCAGAGGCATTTTAGGGCTGAGGGGTGGTCCTGTTCAGGGTTTAGGGTTTAGGGTTTAGGGTTTAGGATTTAGGGTTTAGGGTTTAGGGTGTAGGGTGTAGGGTTTAGGGTCTTCCAAGAAACGTAGTCAAAAGAACGAAGCTAAACTTAGAAAACCTCAGCCCTCTGGATTTTGTGACAGGCCTTATTAGGGTTTAGGGTTTAGGGGTCAGGCTCAAAAATGGAGTGGAGGGGGGCTGGTGGTTGATCTGCAATTTTGGGTATGGGAACTCGCGTGTAGGGTTTGGGGACTACAGTATAGTCTCTTCCTTTTCGTCCGGGCATGAGCAAAGGAGTCCACGTCAGTCTGCACGATTTCAACTCCCGGAATCACACATCTCTGCCCAAACCCCCCCGAAGCCTAAGCCCCAAACCCCAAGAGGTTTTTGCCTGCATCTTCATCGCCTGGAGGGTCCGTCCTTCCGAGCTCAGAAACAGATTTAAGGTTTATAGGTTGAGGGCTTAGCTGGTGCAAAGCTCTTGCCGTCAATCTTCCTAAACCCTAAACCCTAAACCCCAAACCCGAAAGGGGACAGAATCACATGCCCAAGCACCCACGTCCTATGCCCACAGCTCCAAGCGTTCGGGTTTCGGGTTTAGGTGTTTAGGGTTTAAGCCTGGTTTAGGGCTTACTCAAGAACTTTAGCAAGCTCTGCGCTTTACAGTGCATAAATCAAGAACTTTAGCAAGCTCTGCGCTTTACAGTGCATAAACCCCATGTTGCCTTCGATTCTTCTCCCAAAACTGTACATCCCTGAAACCAACTCAAAAGCTCGTACCAAAAACTCCTAAATCCCACTCCATCTGCCTCTAAACTCCCCTGAGGCCACCCTCCACCGCTCTCCGTTGGGGTAGGGGCGCAGTCGAACGCTCAGCGAGACCAGGCTGGCCTTGCCCCTGAAAGGCCCGGAAGCCCCTGACAGGCAACCCGCCCCCTGCGCCAATGCTGAAAGGGGGTGTCCTTTGCCCTCTGGCCAAGTGACCCCAGAGGCCTCCCGCCTTTCGCTCCTGAAGCCTAATCTTGGATCAGGGTTCCCCTGCGACTGCCCCTACACCAGCGCAAACGCCCGGGTTGCGGTTTGTAGAGGCAGTCAGCATTTGGAACTGCTCTGGCTTGAATTTTGGCTCCGGCTTGGCATTGCGTTTGGGTGGCCTTGGGGTGAAAAAGTCTTCAAACAACTGCGCGCTTATCAGCGTGCCCTGGAAAAACCGAAACCTAAACCCACCCAAAATCTCCCGAATGCCCCCCGCGGTCCAGCATGCTTCTGGCGTCCACTCGTTGCCCAAAACACCGGACTCCGGTGGCGCCTCCGACTCACCACTGGGTCAGGGAGATTAGGAGCGCTTCGGGGGGAGGGGGGGGGAAGGGGGGGAAAGGGGGGCGGGGGGGAGATAGAGAGGCTTTAGGGAATCTAGAGACGCGGGGGCGCGGGAGAGCGCATGTCTTTCTTGACGCTCTTGACGCTTCTTTAGGCCCTCTTGACCTTCTTGACGTCCCGAGGAGAGAAGGTCAAGGCGTTCAAGCCGACCCTCTTGACCTTCTTGACGATCTTGAGATCGCCGATGGGGGTCAAGGCAATCAAGACGGTCAATGCGATCTAGCGCACCCCTTTTGATGCACTCAATGTAGCCTGCAGGGCTTGGCGGGTTCAGGGTACAGGCGCTTAGGTTTTGAGGGGGTTTGGAGGCAGCATGGGATCAGGGTCGAGGTAGCGTTTCGCATTTGGGTCTTGGGGTTTATAGGGCTTGGGGCTTTCAGTTTGTTTGGAGGGTGTGTGTTGCTAGGCGTACGCAGTTTGATCTAGATCCACAGAACGACCAACCCCCTAACATCCAAAGGTCTAAGCCCGACACATCCTAAAGCCTATAAAGCCGTGAACTCCCTCGTTGCAGAAGCTCCCGTGAATGAAGCCCTGCATAAACCCTAAACCCTCAACCCTATAAACCCAAAACGCTCAACCATAAACGCTGAACCCTCAACCCTATAATAAACCCTGAACCCTAAACCCTGAACCCTGAAGGCCTAAACCCTAAACCCTGAAGCCCGAACCGTGCTTGGTTTCTATTGGGTGTGCCGTATGGGTTGCCTCCGAACCGAACATCCGAAGTCCTGCACCCCGAAACCTTACTTGGAGGTTCATTTAAATACCTATAAGTAAGGTTACAAGCAGGGTTTTTCTAGCCAAAACCTCATTTAGGGCACTTGCCACCCTACTTAAAAGTACCCATGAACCTTCAAGTAGGCCCTAAACTTGAAAACGCTGAATATCCCTGAGTCCTCAACCCAAAAAGCGACAGCCAGAACCGCATTCCTAAACCCTAAGCCCCCTAAACCCTAAATCCTGAACCAAAGTCCTGGACTCTAAGCACTAAAACTCTAAAGCCCTAAAAACAACCAAGAATGTACCTTGGGATGCTCCCCTTTAGACTTACAGTCCTGAATCGGGATTATAGTACCCCCGAGTATATTCCCTATTAAGGGCTGTTAAGGGGGAACATCCCAAAGTGTACCCCTTGGATGTCTAATCTTCTGGAGAGCGCACCTGACTGCACAACACCGCGCACCACGCCTGCTGAGGGTTCAGTGGTTTTGGTGTACTAGAGGTATACATCATAGGGTTCAGGGTCTTAGGGTTTGGGGGTTATCTTTAATTTTTTGTTTTTTTTTTTGGGGGGGGGGGTGGGAGTTGACAGATGGACTTGGTCATTGGCGGGGGAGGGGGGAGGGGAGGGGGAGGAGGGGTCCTAATCTTGCACGTTGATCCGTAAACCCAAGCCCCAAACGATCACAAGCCAGCAGGCTGGCTCAGCAGCATCGTCGGTGCGTTTAATGATATATGGATGCTTCCATGTTGGCAGGGACACTACATGGTGTCACTACATGTAGCGGTCTGGCGGTATAATACAAAGGGGTTCCTAACTTTGGACACCACCATGAAGCCCCCCAGTTCTGCACAGGTTGGTGACCAGAACCTTGATTCCCTCACCCCTTGTTGAGGGTTTCTCGGGTTCAGTGGTGATTCAAGAGCTTCACGGGGTTATCTTGGGGCCTGGATGCCCCCAAATCCTAAACCCTAAACCCTAAACCCTAAACCCTAAACCCTAAACGGGTTCTAGGGTTCAAGGGCCCCGGCCGGCGCAGAGACGGATGGAAAAACAGTCCTCGCGCGCAGCGTGGATGTTCCCTGTGCGAAACGGGAAGCGGTGTTGATGAGGGTTTAGGGTGTAGGCTTTAGGCGATTTAGGGTTTAGGGTTTAGGGTTTAGGGCTTAGGGTTTAGGGTTTAGGGTTTAGGGTTTAGGGTTTAGGGTTTAGGGTTTAGGGTTTAGGGTTTAGGGTTTAGGGTTTAAGGCGAAGTTCGGTCACAGGGTTGGAGCGCCCCAGACTTGGCTATGAGGATTTGGGTGGGCTTCTGGGGTTGAGGATTTGGATTTCAACGATAAGTTGCATTGGGTAGGTGAGTAGGTGAAGGTGCGCAGCTTTCACTTCTAAGGGTAGGTTTCAACCCTATACCCTAAATCCTATTCATAAGTGACCTGAAGCCTTAAACACCAAGCCTTCTTGATCCTTATCACTAAACCCTAAACCTGATTGTAACCCGAAATCCAGAACCCCACCCCTGTTGATACGTAACCCAAAACCTTAAACCCCAAAGCCTGCTGACACTTAACCCTGACCCTGTAAACCCTAACCCTCAAGCCCTCTTGATACTTGGCCCCACACTACAAATCACAAGCCGCCCTAGACCCCAGGCGCCAAACCCTAAACCCTAAACCCTAAACCCTAAACCCTCAACCCTCAACCCTAAACCCTCAACCCGAAACCCCACCCCCCTGGGCCTCAGCAAGTAGCCGAGACAAGTTCGGAAGCTGCCCGAGGTCCCTTTCCTGAGAGGCCACTTTATGTTGCCCCGCGGGGCGGTGTTTCTAGTCTTCAAGTCTCCATAGGGTTTAGGGTTTAGGGTTTAGGGTTTAGGGTTTAGGGTTTCGGGTTTGGGGTTTAGGGTTCTTGGTAGCCCAGTAACCATATTACAACGAGAGCACCCTTCCTTTGGCTGGTTACTTTAGAAGGGAACCTGGAACCCCAAAAACAAAACCCTAAACCCTAAACCCTGATTTGACTGTATCTTTCACTTTCAACAGGGGTATACACATTACTCTAGGCAGGATGTTCGCCGCTTCGGGAGTCACCTAGAGCAAGCCTGGCCCTTTCATACCCTTCAATCAATGTACTCATTGTGTATGAACTATAGTTACGTACTTTGAACGCAAAAGGTTCCTCTAGTAGATTGGAAAGGGAGCGTTTGATTCAGAGCGATCTGCGATGTGGCCAATGCGGACATGCCGGAGAGAAGCGGCAGAGCCATGTGGTACTGGCCGCCTCTCTCGCAAACGGTGGCAGCCGCAGTGAAACTGATGACATTGGCCAGAACTTCTGACACCGTCATCGCAAAGAGAAGGCTCAATGCCGATTGCCATGCAGCCAGTGCCGCGCACGCGCTGATGGCGGCACTGAAGCTGATAACGTTTGGTGTTATCGTGCCATCCCGCATGTCTGCGAGCAGTTGAAGGGACCGCTGCCACTGCGAAGCCTTCTCACATGCACTGACAGCGGCATTGAAGCAGATGCTGTTTAGGTCGACTCTCGCTTGCAGCATCTCGGCAATGAGCTGGAGCGCTACTTGCCAATGCCCACAGCTCTCACAGCAGCTGATTGCAGAACCGTAAGTGATTACATCGGCTCCTACCCGTGCCCTTGACATCTGCGCGAGAAGATTTAGGGCCAACTGCCACTGCCCTCCCTTGTCGAAGGCACCAATGCAAGCATTGAAGCTTATCACATTTCTGGCATGTCCAGTTGCGGTCATCTCCTGAACAAGGTGCAGTGCCACATTCCACGGGCCACCTCCTTTGTCAACCGCACTTATCGCGGCATTGAAGCTAATGACCTCCGCCACCACGGTGGCCGCGGGCATTTCTCGCAGGAGCTCCAGCGCCATCTGCCAGTCTCCGCTGCTGGCGCAGGCGCTGATGGTAGCGGTGTAGCTGATGAGGTCCGGGGCAAGGCGTGCAAGGGGCATCTGAGCAAGGAGTGCCAAGGCCAGGTGATGCTTTCCCTGCAAATCCAAGGAGCTGATGACCGAGTTGTAGCTGATGACATCGGGTACGACTTCACACTCCGGCATCTCCGACAATAGCTGTAGACCCGCCTGCCACTGCGGACTCATGCAGGCACTGAAGCTCACCACGTTTGCACGGAGACCGGCTTCCGACATTTCCGACAACAGATGGAGAGATAAGTCCCAGTGACCTGCTCCACCACAAGCACTCATTGTCGCATTGAAGCTGATCTCACCTGGCAGAAGTCTGGCTTCCGGCATGTGGGAAAGAAGCTGAGTAGCAATCTGCCACTCACCGGCCTTTTCACAAGCGCTAACGGCCGCATTGAAGCTGATCTCGTTTGGTTCAACTTCATGCCTTTGCATTTCTGACAATAAGCACAGAGCCAGCCGCCACTGACTCCTTTTCTCGAAGGCACTGATACTGGCACTGAAACTGACCACATTTGCCGAAGCCTTGGACGCGGGGATCTCTGATAAGAGCTGAAGGGCCAACTGCCATTGACCACCTTTCTCGCAGGCGCTGATGGCAGCGTTAAAGGAAATCACGTTGGGTGCGACTCGTTGTGTTTGCATCTCCTCGAGCAGGCACAGTGCCAACTGCCAATGCCCCACTTTCCTTAGAAAATTCTCTTATAAGGGATTCCAGGGAGCTCAGTCGTTCCGTTCAGGGATGGCGCGCAGGGATGTTTTTTGCAACAAAGGGGTTTCCGAAATTAGGGGTATCGTATTGGGGTCCTTTCTATACGGGAGTCCTACTACTTGGGGGTCTATTATTAGGGCCTTAATTGTAAACCCCCACAAACCAAATTGGAAACTCCCTGCTGTGAGCCGGTCTCAGTTTCGCACAGCAGTGGATGCCAGCACTGAAGCTGACCACGTCGGGAGTCAGGCGAGCACGCGGCATTTGCTGCAGAGTCTCCAAGCCCAGCTGCCACTCCTTGGCCTGCACACCGTGTTCCCACACGGGTTTCAGCAACTGGTAAGCAACTATAATTCTACTGCCACCCATTTCCTTGCCTTACTTGCTCACACAGACGGGAAACACATGCAGACACTCTCTCTGTCTCTCTCTCTCTCTCTGTCTCTCTGGGCTCTCTGAACGTGCCGCCTTCCCATGGGCGCTGATGGCTTTGTTGCAGTCACTCGGCCGAAGTTGGTCTCCGCAGGACGGGGCCTCCTGTAGCTGTGGCCCGGGGCTCTGCATGGCGGCGGTTCAGGGTTGTGGGGCTTAGGGGTTTAGGGGGTTTAGGGGGTTTAGGGGTTTAGGGGTTTAGGGGTTTAGGGGTTTAGGGGTTTAGGGGTTTAGGGGTTTAGGGGTTTAGGGGTTTAGGGGTTTAGGGGTTTAGGGGTTTGCCTGGAGTTGGTGGTTTGGCATCCTGATTGTGGGCGCTTACGGGGTTTCGGGAGCTCGTGGGGAGTGTTTAAGGGGCTTGGTGCTTTAATGAGTTAAAGCTCATTTGGGGTTTCGGTGCTCATGCTCTGGTGATTCTGCGTCGGCCTCGGAGGGCTTATGGCTGCATCAAATACAGGCTTTGGGGCAGGGCTTGAGGGTTTGGGGTTTGCAGTTTCGGGCTGGGCCTCAGGTTCTTTGGGGTGGGTTTTAGGGTTTTGGGTCTCGGGTTTAGGGGCAAGGGCGGAGGGGTAGAGATTTGGGCTTAGGGGTGGAGGGTTTCAGTGATAGCCCCATGCGACTCGGTAAAGGCGATGCCCCTGCACCCTGCCTAAACCCTAAACCCGGAACCCTAAGCCCTATAAACCTTAAACCCTAAACGCTAAACCCTAAACCCTAAACGCTAAACCCTAAACCCTAATCCCTCAACCCTAAACCCATACATAAACCCTGAATCCTAAACGGCTCAAACCCTCTTCATGTTCGATACATGGCGGCTTGTAGCCGCAGAACAGGTTTGGGGTTCAGGGTTTAGGGTTTAGGCTAATGGTTTGGGGTTTAGGGTTAGTTTGGGGCGTTCGGGAGCAGCTACTTATGAAAGGGCCTAGCAGGGTTTATGAGGTCAGGGACTCAGGATTTATATAAAGTTCGGCCGGAAGGATCTAGGACACGTGTTTGGGCCCTAAACCCTAAACCTGCACCCTAAACCCTAAACCCCAAATAGAGTAGAATCCCCTGGGGTTCAGGGGCTCAAGGGCTCCACTCTCACCGTTTTGCACGCCGAACTCGTGGGGGCTTCCCGCCCAAGGGAGCTCCGGAGTCCAGAATATCGGGAGCACGGCTCCAATTCTAAAGGGACAAAAAACAAGCACCATAAAAACCCGGCCTCTCGGTTTGGGGCCTCTAGCCCTAAACCCTAAACCCGAAACCCTAAACCCCAAACCAAAAACCCTGAACCTAAAGCCCTGAAAATGTCTCAGGGGGCACCTCGGCACCCTCCCCTCAGGGGCAACGGGAACATGGCGTCGCCAAAGGCAACATCGGTGGCCGCCACGCCGGCCTGCTCGCAGGCGCTGATGCCCGCGCTATAGCCTTGATTATGGGAGGGTTTAGGGTTTAGGGTTTAGGGTTTAGGGTTTAGGGTTTAGGGTTTATAGGGTTTAGGGTTTAGGGCTTAGGGTTTCGGGTTTCGGGTTTCGAGTTTCGGGTTTCGGGTTTCGGGTTTAGGGTTTAGGGTTTAGGGTTTAGAAGACTACAACAAAGCCCTTGGGCCCTTAGCCCTAGAAAGGCTAACCTACGGAACCCTACACTCAGAAACTTAGCAACCCTGATCCCTGCGAACCCTGAACCCTCTAAACCCTAAGTCCGGAGCCTTAAGCCCTACTAATGAGTCGGGGCCTGCTTCTTCGAGAGGACCCTATACACCCTAAACCCTAAACCCTAAACCCTAAACCCTAAACCCTAAACCCTAAACCCTAAACCCTAAACCTCAAACCCAAGTAGCTCAACACGTCAGCGGGAATTGTCGCGGCGCGCATCTCGGAGAGCAAGCGGCCGGTTTCTTGCCACTTCCGGCCTCTGCTTATCGGGTTTAGGGTTTCGGGTTTAGGGTTTAATTAGGGTTTAGGGTTTAGGGTTTAGGGTCTAGGGTTTAGGGTTTAGGGTTTAGGGTTTAGGGTTTAGGGTTTAGGGTTTTTAGGGTTTTTAGGGTTTATAGGGTTTATACGGTTTAGGGTTTTAGGGTTTAGGGTTTAGGGTTTAGGGTTTAGGGTTTAGGGTTTAGGGTTTAGGGTCTAGGGTTAGAACCCCAATTCTATAAGTCTACTTAGAACATACTTGGAGTGCTCAGGGGGCTTCTAGGTAGAGTTGGAGTTGCGGTTCTAAGTGCCAAAACCTCCAAGTACTGTAGGGTTCTTAGGGTTTATATAGTTGGAGGTTCAAGGCTTGCAACTTAGAAGTTAGGGTAACTATCATCTTACTTGGGGTACTTCGAGCCCTACGTATAAGTACATGAACCTTCAAGATACGCTTTTTTTCCTCTAAACCTAGAGGGTTCTAGGGCTTTTGTCGAGTCGCCCTCGCTAGGAGCTCATGACGGCGTTGGTGCCGTGTTGCTGTTTTTTTGGTGCTTTTTTGGTGGGAGAAGGGGCGGGCGTGGGCCCTGTAAAATCGAATGTGTCTAGAGGGGGTCCCCTCTTCTAAGGAGAGATGAGAAAAAACAAAAAAAAACAACGCCTTTGCAGGCAAAGTTAGCCATGGAACTCTCCGTAAACCTATCCCCCCGCCACCCCCCCCCCCCCCCCCCCCACTCCCCTAATCCCTCAACCCCAAATCCCAAACCCTAAACCCCAAAACATACTCCCACCCGCCCCCCCTGAACCTTACACCTACTGCTAGCCTACTTAGGAGGGATTGTTAGGTGGCTTATCTGTGCAGTTAAAATTGGGGCGATAAGTGCCCTGAGCCTCCAAGTGGCTCTAACCCTATGCCAAAAACCCTAAACCCTAAGCTCTAAACCCTATAGGCCCTACACCCTGAACCTCCCCTCCGTTCTAAGCCAGGATCCCCCTGTAATCGTAACCCTGCCTAAAACAAATTCAGAGGTACCTTGAAACGATAACTACTCATGAGTCTTTCAAGTAGACCCCAAATCCTGAACTTAGGGTTTAGGGTTGGGGGGGGTTTAGGGCTTTTAAAGGCCTAAAACTCCCCTAAACCTAAACCCTAAACCCTAAACTTTACTAAGCCCTATAAACCCTAAAGAAACCCCAAACACCAAACCCCAAACCCTAAACCCCCCTGTCCCCTTCAGGGCCCTCACCCTTTGCCAGAGCAGACATGGCGGAGTTGTATGTGATGGAATTGCCCGCCATCCGCGCGTCCCCAATCGCGCCCAAGAGTTCGAGGGCCGCCTCTGAGGGGTTTACCTATACCCTACTTTCTATGGGTTTCGGGTTTGGGGTTTGGGGTTTAGGGTTTAGGGTTTGGGGTTTAGGGTTTGGGGTTTAGGGGTTAAACACCTGATTCTGAAGGGGTACTGTCGAACCCCAACCCGCTCTAACCCCCTACGCCCTATGCCCGCTGCTCTCAAGCCGTCAGAAACGAAGACATTTCCATCAACCCCAGCAGCCCCAAAACCCTAAACCCTAAGCCGAGGACACTGAGGGCTTAGGGTTTAGGGCTAAAAACCGAAACACGTTGAGTGTTTCGTGGGGATTCTGCAACAACCACCTCAAACCAATGGAATACGGGTTCTACGGGGGTCCGAGAGCAACAACAAAAAAAAGAGGCCCGTCCTGCCATTGTCCGGCTTTTTCGCAAGAGCTGATGGCCGATCCGAACGTCACCACTGTGGCTGGCAGCTGGGCATCTAAGCCTTCGTTGCTGAGTTCATAAGCCCCAAAAATTGTACACTTGCAGTTCTATAGGGGAGTAGAGCATCTCAAACAGTGCAAAGTGTATTCAACTAAGAAGCCGAAGAGGATTGCCAAGGCCAACTGCCACAATCCTTGACCTTCGCAGGCGTTGATCGCTCCATTGAAGCCTCCACCCAAGAGTGGCTGAGAAATAAAAGGGTGTCCTTTTGGGCTACAGGGGCTTCTATAAGGGAACCTAAACGCAAAAGAAAGGAAAAAGTGCCTAGTCTGGGTGCTAGAAGCTGATGATGTCCGGCACCAGTTGCTTGCAGCGCATGGCATCAAGCAAGTGAAGTGCCATTTCCCAGGGGCCATTCTTGGCACAGGCCGTGATCGAAGCGTTGAAGCTGATCTCGTCCGCCAAGACTCTGAGCGCCTGCATCGTGCACAGGAGATCAATGGCCAACTGCCAATTGCCCGCCTTTTCGCAGGCACTGATGGTGGTGTTAAAGCTGATAACGTTCGCGGTCGCCCTTGCTGCCGGCATCTGCAGCAGCAACTGATGTGCCAACTGCCATTGCGCGCCCTCCTCACAAGCGCCAATGACGGCGTTGAAGTTGATCGCATCTGTCTCAAGCTGTCCGTCCGTCATGTCTGAGAAGAGCAGGAGTGCCAGCTGCCACTCGCTGCCAGCGCGACACGTGCTGATGCTTGCGCTGTAGGTGATCCTGTTGGGGGCGACTCGGAGTTGTACCATGTCAGCTAAGAGTTGCAAAACCTGCTCCCACTGACCCTGAGACTCGCATGCACTCATAGCTGCACTGAAGCTGATGACATCTGCTGACAGGCTGGCGCGTGGCATCGCAAACAGGAGCTCAAGTGATAGTTGCCACTGCCCACCTTTTTGGCAGGCGCTGATGGCTGCATTGAAAGTTGTAACATTTGCTGAAACTGCGTCGGTTGATGATAGAAGGTGAAGGGCCATCTGCCACTGTCCACCCTTCTCGCATGCGCTAATCGCTGAGTTCAGGGTGATCACGTTACAGGGAATTCTCGTCTGGCCCATCTCTGAAATCAGTTGCAGGGCCATCTGCCACCTGCCGCTGGCCTCACATGCGCTGATGGCAGTGCTGAAGCTCACGACCGTTACCGGAATTCGTTCTCTGGGCATGTTTGAAAGCAGGTAGTGCGCAAGCTGCCACAGTCCATGTGTGGCACATGCGCTCATGCTCGCATTCAGGCTGATGGAGTCGGCAGCAACATGAGCATCTGGCATGTCTGACAGCGCCTGAAGCGCCCATCTCCACTGCCCACCCTTCTGACAAGCAGAAATGGACGCGTTGAAGCTAATCACATCCGCAACTCGCAGGCTGACCATGTCTGCACATAGCCCCAGCGCCATGCGCCACTGCCCCTTCGCGGCGCTGATAGCCACGTTGAAGGCCACGGTGTTGGCAACGAGCCCGAACATCGGCATGCCTGATAGCAAAAGGAGGGCTTCTTTCCAGTTCCTCTCGCAACTCATAGCCGCTCAGAAATCAATCAAAGATGGTCGGCACGCCAACCGGTAAGGCGACAAGAAGCTTCCGGGCAAGCGAGGTGTCACAAACCTTCCCTTCCTCTTCGCGCTGCCTGTGAACCCTACACCTTACTTAAACCCTAAGTTTCCTAAAGCGCGTGCCCTATAAGCCCTAGGGCCTGTGCGCATGTGTGCCGCCATCTGAACGACAACATCGAGCCGAGGGCGGAAAAGCAAACGCAGAGATACACTTTCGGGTTTTGAAACTTAGGGTGTCGGGGTTTATTTGGGTTTGGGGGGACAAGATATACCAGCGGGGGGGGGCGGGGGGGGCGGGGGTTCGAAATTAGGGCCCCTCATGCTTTTCCTGCGAGAATCCCATAGCTGAGCCCGTCAAAAGCCCTCGAAGCCTAAGCGGCCCTTATTGGCGCTTAGGGTTTCGAGTTTAGGGTTTGCTGTCATATGGCGCAGATGCTGCGAAGGTCGGAGTGCCAAATAACAAGCTCGAAAGCTTCGTTAGGTGCGAAAAGGCCGTCTAAGGCCGCAAAGCGACACAAACCCATTCCTTTCAAGATTTTGGCCAAAACTCAGTTGTTTGCAGGGTTTTCCTGACCTCAGGAGGCGACAAAAAGATTAAGATGAACAGCCAAGGTTCCAGGTTCCAGGGAGGGTTTGGAGGGAACCCACTGTAGGGCGACCTAAGCCTTGAGTTTAGGGTTTAGGGTTTAGGGTTTAGGGTTTTTGAATTTAATTCAACATTGGAACATCTGATGCAAGCCTCTGACAATGCTCGCGGAAGGGTCCCCGCGCTGACTGTAGGGTGGATCTGGAAATCTTGGGCTGTATACGTCTATATGTAGCTACCCATGGTCCCTTCATATGAGCCCAACCTGTACATACCCTATAATTCCTTATAATCCCCAACACCCATATTTCAGAACCCTTTACGAGGGCAAGGGGCCTCATTAAGGGACCATGTAACTTTTCTCAGATTTATGACAATGTGAACACTGCATCACTAAACCTAATGAGAAGCCCCACAAGAAAGAACTGCAATTTGTTGTCTTGGTAGGACTTAGCAAAGTTGAACTTTGATCTGCGATGTGGCCAATGCGGACATGCCGGAGAGAAGCGGCAGAGCCATGTGGTACTGGCCGCCTCTCTCGCAAACGGTGGCAGCCGCAGTGAAACTGATGACATTGGCCAGAACTTCTGACACCGTCATCGCAAAGAGAAGGCTCAATGCCGATTGCCATGCAGCCAGTGCCGCGCACGCGCTGATGGCGGCACTGAAGCTGATGACGTTTGGTGTTGTCCTGCCATCCCGCATGTCTGCGAGCAGTTGAAGGGACCGCTGCCACTGCGAAGCCTTCTCACAGGCACTGACGGCGGCATTGAAGCAGATGCTGTTTGGGTCGACTCTCGCTTGCAGCATCTCGGCAAGGAGCTGCAGCGCTACTTGCCAGTGCCCACAGCTCTCACAGCAGCTGATTGCAGAACCGTAAGTGATTACGTCGGCTCCTACCTGTGCCCTTGACATCTGCGCGAGAAGATCAAGGGCCAACTGCCACTGCCCTCCCTTGTCGAAGGCACCAATGCAAGCATTGAAGCTTATCACATTTCTGGCATGTTCAGCTGCGGTCATCTCCTGAACAAGGTGCAGCGCAACATTCCACGGGCCACCTTTGTCAACGGCACTTATCGCGGCATTGAAACTAATCACATCTGCCGCCACGGTGGCCATGGGCATTTCCCGCAGGAGCTCCAGTGCCGTCTGCCAGTCTCCGTTGCCAGCGCAGGCGCTGATGGTGGCGTTGTAACTGATGAGGTCCGGGACAAGGCTTGCAAGGGGCATCTGAGCAAGAAGCGCCAAAGCCAGGTGATGCTTTCCCTGCTCTAAATCCAAGGAGCTGATGACCGAGTTGTAGCTGATGACGTCGGGTACTACTTCAGACTCCGGCATCTCCTGCAGCATTGTTGGGGTACTATTGAGAAATTTGACCATGTTTGTTCCTCATTGGGTTTATAAGTATATTCATAAGAATAGATATGCATAAACTGTGATTTCAACAATGACCCAGTCTCCGACAGAAGCTCGAGAGCCGCCTGCCACTCGCAGGCACTGATGGCCGCGTTGAAACTCACAACGTCCGCCTGGGCTGTTCAGAAGATAGAAGCTGGAATATGTTGGAATGACTGCATGAACACAAGAGGACTACATGGCCCCCCTTTTTTTTTGCGTTGAATGGCGTAAAAAAGTAAGTCTGGAAAGTCGGAAGAGTGTGAGTGACATACGTGGCAATTGACGCAAAGTTACAAGATTGTTCAGTCGCATGCTTGTCAGCAGCTCGAGCGCTCGCTCCCACTCTTTACCTTTCCCCAAAGAGCTGAGGGCGGCATTGAAACTTATCGTGTTGGGTCTCAGTGTTGATTCTCGCATGCCTTCCAGAAGCTGGAGCGCCATCTCCCAACACTCGTCCTTCTCGCATGCGCTGATGACGGAGCTAACGCTGACCACATCTGCACTCAGGCGGGCTCTGGGCATACTCCCAAGCAAAGAGAGCGAAACCTGCCACCGGCTGCACCCGCTACCTGCTCCAAGGGCAGCATTGAAACTCACGACGTTGGCGCCGACTCTGGACACGCGCATTCCTCCCAGCAGTGCAATTGCCAGCATCCACTGCTCTCCTCGCTCGTAGGCGGTGATGCCGGCGCTGTAGCTAAAGATGTTGGGCTCCACTTCAGCACTCGACATGCGCAAGAGCTGCAAAAGTGCCATCTCCCAGTGATTCGACTTCGCACATGACGTCATGCCGGAGCTGAAGCTGATCACATCCGGCTTTAGCCGGCTGTCGCCCATGCTTTCCAGGAGTAGAAGGCCCTCATCCCAGCGCCCTTCCTTACCAAGACGGCTGATGGCTTTGTTGCACACCTTCCTGCGACGAGCCTCTGACACATGAATGCTTCGGACTGCAAGCTGCCACTGCCCATGCCCAGCAGAAGTATTCAGCAGCTCCATGCAGCCTACGACAGCCTTTTGTCAAAGAGGCGCTCAGAACCAAAGCAGCCCATCCCTAAACCCTAAACCCTAACCCTAAACCCTAAACCCTAAACCCTCAACCCTACCACAATCTTAGCACACCTTCGAAAACACGAGCTTCTCCGTGAATGGGTCTGGCCGCCATTCATTAGCTTGCTGAGGGTGTGCGGGGGGGGGGGGGGGGGGGGGGGGGGGGGGGGGGGGGGGGAGGGGGTGAGGGTTCAGAGTTTTGGGTTTTGGGTTTAGGGTGGTATAAAATGTATGTTGGGTGCGAGGCTATAGGAGTTTGGGGATAGAAGGAGCGATACGTGAAGCCCCCCTCCCCTGCCCAACCAAAAGGAGCCGATGCCCTGCGAGAGGCCCCTGGCCCGAGATAAATTCCGATTTGTTCAGTCTAGGGTTTTGGGGTTTGGGGTTCAGGAATTTAGGGGGACCCTAAGCCCTAAACCCTAAACCTAAACCCTAAAAGCTTTAGTTCGCTGAGGCCACGCCTTCCAGAACTTCCTATACTCACGTGCTTGCACAGAGTTACACCTTAATGGCATTCGTGGGCATGTGTCATTTCTTCGTGGGCAAGTCTCAGGGTTTACGGGCTGGGGTTTCGGTTTAAGTCCGAGAAGTTGCGGCCTAAACCCTAAACCCTAAACTCTAAGGCTTGGGGCTTAGGGTTTAGGGGCGTGGGCCTTGGGGTTTTGGGTTTAGGGCCACCTGTGGGCCTTCGGCTTTAGGGTCTAGGGTTCAGGGCCGACTGGGCCTGGGGAATGGATAGAGTGAACTGTGTATGTTCTCGACGTTGTGGGATTCTCTGGGTGGGTCGGTGTTGTCCTGTTTCCAGACACATTGGTTGACTCGTCTAAATGCCTGGACTTGAGATGCTGAACCCTGGACCCTAAACCCTCCCAAACCCCCAAACCCTGAACCCCACACCCCAAACCCGAAACCCTAAACCCCAAACCCTAAACCCCAAACCCTAAACCCCAAACCCGAAACCCCAAACCCGAAACCCCAAACCCTAAACCCCAAACCCTGAACCCCGGACAGTAAACCCCAAACCCTAAACCCGAAGCCCCAAACTCACAACCTGATGGCCGGCGCCATTCTAAGAGATGTGCATGTCGCGTGTCCTGAGGGATGTGATGTAACCTGTAATCCCTTCATGAGTATGTATGTATAAGGACTCCGTAAGAACCGATAGGTTGAGACAGACCCTGAAACCCTGAAACCCTGAACCCCCCGAAACCCCAAGACCCCAAAACCCCAAAACCCCAAAACCCCAAAACCCCAAAACCCCAAGACCCCAAGACCCCAAAACCCCAAAACCCCAAAACCCCAAAACCCCAAAACCCCAAAACCCCAAAACCCCAAGACCCCAAAACCCCCAAAACCCCAAAAACCCGGCACCTGACACCCTATAGAGGCCCTTTTCAAGGCCGTCATGGCGGGCATCTCATGGAGGAGCCGTGCCGCGAAGCGGCTCTGCCCGCCTTCCTCACCTGCACCATTGGGTACTATGTCAAAGCGGTCATTTTTGTTCCTTATTGGGTTTAGGGCTTAGGGCTTAGGGTTTAGGGTTTAATTGGGGTTTAGGGTTTAGGGTTTAGGGTAACAATGACCAAGTCACAGGCAGACAAGGCGGACTCGCAGATGACAGCGTCTGGGGCGATCCAGGCCTCTCAGGCTGATCTCGGAGCTTCGGCTTTCTTGTGCGTGGGATTTTTGGGGGCTTAGTGTTTAGTGTTTAGGGTTTAGGGTTTAGGGTTAAGGGTTAAGGGTTGGGGAGTACACTTCTTCTGTGTAGGCTTCAGGGTTAACATGTACATTCCTGAGTTGGTGTGCCCAACCCTAAACCCCTATACACCCGAAACCCTAAATCCTATAAACCCTAAACCCTAAAAACCCTAAACCCCAAACCCTAAACCCTGAACCCTAGACCCTATAAACCCGAAACCCTAAACCCTGTTCTTACGGGACAGAAATGCGGTCCTTGTTGAGGGCCTTCACAGCAGGAGCTGTGTGCTCGCCACTTGCATCACGTGCATACATATACTTATACATAAAAGTTCTGCTTGTTGTCAATGTGGTTACATATTCATATATGTCTGCATACATATGCATGTCTCTATATATATATATATATGTATAGAATCAGTGTTATTCTACGATACGTCTTGATATTCCATACTGTGAGACAATCCTGGAACATCTTGTGCCGGTATACACTTCTGTACACATTGGCAGCCCTACTACAGGGGCCTGAAAATTAGAGTTTTTTTTGGGTGGGGTTTCCAGCATAAAGATAAAGAGACCATAAGGGAAATACTCTTACCAATCATTTCGACCCCTGTATTACACCCCTAAGCCCTAAGCCCTAAGCCCTAAGCCCTAAGCCCTAAACCCTAAAACCTAAACCCTAAACCCTGCACCCTAAACCCTAAACCTTAAACCCTAACCAAAAACCCTGAAGCCACCTGGAGCATGTCCACGTACAGGCAAAGTGCCACCGCCCACTGCGAGGCGTGCACGGAGGCGCTCAAAAGCGGCGCAACGCCTGGTGGGTTTGGGGTTTAGGATTTGTAGGGTTTAGGGTTTAGGGTTTATAGGGTTTGTAGGCTTTAGGGTTTAGGGTTTAGGGTTTAGGGCTTAGGGGTTTTTAGGATTTTGGGTTTCGGGTGTATAGGGGTTTTGGGTTGGTCAAACCTAGGAATCTGAAAGCCCGGCTCCTGGGAGTTGAGGGTGCAAGGCCTCTGGGATCCCAAGGGTTTTAGGGTTTAGGGTTTAGGATTTAGGGTTTAGGGTTTAGGGTTTAGGGTTTAGGGTTAGTGCTATAGGAACCTGATATCTCTCTTGTTGCCATTTTAGGGTTTAGGGATTATAGGTTGGGATGTTCCCCGTTATACTAACAGCTCCTCTAGTCGGAGGGTATAATAATCCCTATGGAGGACTGTTAGTTTAAGGGCAACATCCCAATTCATAGGGTTTCGGGCCAAGTAAGTCCTCCCACACCCACTTTTCCTCCCCCCACACCCCCTTTTGGGTTACCCTCTAAACCCTAAACCCTCAAGCCTAAACCCGAAACATCCCGAAACCCTAAACCCTAAACCCTAAATATTGGGCATCCAGGCTGCTGACAGCGCTGACTCGAATTCGCGCGGCCAACATGTCCAGCAGCAGGCAAATGGCCCTCTGCCACTGTCGGCCTTTCTCACAAGCCTCACTTGGGTAGAACATGGGCATTCATGATTAGTATTAGTAATAAAGGGAGCATCAGGGAGATACTGTTGGCCTTTCTCAACAGCCTCACTTGGGTAGTAGACGGGCCTTCATGGTTAGAATAGGATTTTTTTTTGTGGAGGGGGGGGGGGATAAAAGGACCATCAGGGAAATACTGTTCATGATTCTTCCGACCCCTGTATTAGTTCTGTAAATTCTGATACCTTTTCGGGCACACTATACCGTACGGCACCCTGAAAAGCAGGACCCCAACAAGAGTTACCCTAAACCCTAAACCCTATGCAGGCTGACGGAAGACACGAGGCACAATCGCAGGTAAGGTTTGCATGGTGCCACCTATGCAGACCCAGTTCCACCTAACTAAGCGGCTTTCAACTTCTCAACATCCTGGTAGCAGGGGTTTAGGGTTTAGGGTTGAGGACTGAGGGGTTCAGCATCTCATGTGCTGGCTTTCCCTAGTCGAGCTTTCATCGTGTGATGGAGGAATGCCCACCCACCCAGAGAATACTATAACATGAGGAACATACAAACTTATCATTTTCAGCTGCGCCTTAAACCCAATGCCTTGAGCCAAAAATGTTTTTATTCCTAAGCCTGGGTGGGGGCGGGGTTGGGGGTGGGGTGGGGCAGCTGAGCGGGGGGGGGGGGGGTGGGGCTGCATTGCCCACTAAGGTTTGTGCATTGCCCACGAAGGTTTCTGCCTTGCCCGCTGAGGTTTGTGCCCATGCCCACGAAGTCATTATGGCTTATTTTCATATATATAAATATATATATATATATATATACATTGTATTTATATTATTTATATTATCTAGGCTGCCCAGTAACCAAGGCTTAAAAAGGGTGCCCTTTTTGCTTGAAGGGGTTTATAAGGGAACCTACCCCCCCCCCCCCCCCCCCAAAAAAAAAAAAAAGGAATAAGGGTACTACTGGGCATCCTAGTTATGTTTTATCTATATATGTAGTAAGAGAGGTTTAGTGTTTAGGGTTTGGGGGGGGGGGGGGGGGCGGGCTTCGGAACACAAGCTAACAAGGTTGTGAAAAAATGCAGTTTAGAGGCACTTATGCTGGCATTGAAGCTGATTGGCGTCCTCGCTACACGCTGCGCCGACATCTCTGAAAGCAGATGCAGCGCCATTCGCCACTTCCCGCGTTTCTCCAGTGAGCTAAGGCCGGCGTTGAACGTGATGGTGTTCGCTCTTACCTGTAGCCCAGAAGACCTACCTTTTTAGGGGTTCCTTGATTATGATTTCTTTTATATGTATCCTCTTAAAACGGTAGAGGCTGTTTGGGGTACAGGTGCTGTAGAGGCTGGTAGTTCCGAAAGAATCTGCAGGGCCGCCTGCCACTGTGAGCCCTTCTCGCAGGCACTCACAGCAGAGCTAAGGCAGACGACATCCGGCTCCGTGGAAAGTGAGAGCTGGGCCAAGAGCTGGAGGGCAGCCTGCCATTCCCCGCCCTTCTCACACGCACTGATGGAGGCACTGAAAGTGAAAACATCCGGAAGAATCATTGCGCCTGACATGGCAGACAACAGGAGCAAGGCAAACTCCCATTGGCCACCCTTCTCACAGGTGCTGATGATGGCACTGAAGGTGATGACGTCGGGCTGCAGGCTTGCGAGGCGCATGCTGGCCATGAGCTCGAGTGCCATCTGCCAACATCCCTCTTTCTCGCAGGCGCTGATGGCAGCATTATAGCTGACCGCGGTTGGGGCAAGGACTCTAGCCCGGATCTCAGAAAACGCCTGCAGGGCCTGCGGCCACCCCCCCCGCTTCCCTCGCATGGCAGACACCAGGGCATTGAAGCTGATGACCGTTGCGGTGACTGAGGCTTCATGCAACTTCGAGAGCAAAGCGGCTGCCCATCTCCAGGAGTTGCTCTCTTCACAAGCACTGATGCCTCTTGGGATGTTCCCCCCTTAGACTACCCGTCCTTCATAGGGATTATAGTAGGGGGGGGTACTACAATCCCTGCTAAGGACGGTTGCAGTAACGTAGTATAAGGGGGCACATCCCAAAGATGCCTGCATTGAAGCTGACTGTATTGGCCTCAAGCTGTGTCCCAGGCATCTCCCACAGCAGCTGCAACGCCGCACTCCACTCGCCACCTTCCTCCAGCGCGCCGACTCCTGCGGAGTAGCTGACAACCTCGGTTCCTCCCCCCGCAGCAACCTCATAGCAGAAAGGGTGCCCCTGCTTTTGCTACATGGAGCATACGAGCATACTGTATATAAGGGAACCTCCCCCCCCCCAAACAAAATCAAAACAAAAAAAGAAACAAGGCTACCACTGGGCATCCTCAACACCGTGGGCAGGATGTGCGAGGGAGGCATCTTGGACAGGAGTCCCAGCCCAAGGCGCCAAAAACTGCTTCTACTGCAGGCAGTGATGTTCGTGTTGAGGCAGACGGCATTGGCCCGCACCTGACATGCGTAGAAAACCTGGCTAGACCCCCCCCCCCCTCTCAACCTCAAACCCCCCTATCCCCCCCCCCCCCCCCCCCCCCGCATATCCCCTAAACCTCCTGCAGCCGATAACACCCCCTAAGCCCTGAATCCTGAACTCTATCCCCTGAACCCTAAACTCTAAGCCCTGAACCCCAAACCCTAAACCCTAAACCCTGAACCCCAAACCCTAAACCCTAAACCCTAAACCCCCTACCCGGAACTGCAAAGTCGTGGCGGCTGCACGCGTCTTCCGGGCATGGCGGCCAGCAGCTGCAAAGCCTCCACCCAGCGGCCGGCTCGGGCACCTGAGCTGCTTGGGGTTTAGGGCTTAGGGCTTAGGGCTTAGGGTTTAGGGTTTAGGGTTTAGGGTTTAGGGTTTAGGGTTTAGGGTTCAGGGTTTAGGGTTTAGGGTTTAGGGTTTAGGGTTTAGGGTTTAGGGTTTAGGGTTTGGGGTTTGGGGTTTGGGGTTTAGGGTGGGTTGAATTAGGATTTAATGGCAGGGGGCTCTGGGATGCTTAGGGTGTTTAGGGTTTAGAGCTGTTTATAGGGTTTAAGGGCTTAGGTTGACGGATACCCCAGAACCCAACAGTCTCCTTTGGTCCGCGTCAGCAAAGAACCTACCGGTCCTTGGGGTTTCGGCCTTAGGGCCTGTTAGGGCACATGGGCCGTTCAGGGTTTAGGGTGTAGGGTTCAGAGTTTAGGGTGTACGGTTGAAGAAAGATGGAAGCTGTCTTGAGGAGTCCTAAGTAAAGCGGAATATTTTCTGAATGTTGTGGGACCCAACGGGGTGGGTGGGCGTGCCTCCGTCACTTGAACACTGCTTGACTAGTGAATGCTTTAGCTTGAGATGCTGAACCGTAACCCAAAACCCAACACCCTAGACCCAAAAACCCACAACCCAAAACCCACAACCCTAAACCCCAACCTCTGTGGAAGACCGGTGTCTTTGAATATTTCTGAGTACTTCCGGCCCTGCCACAGCAAGTACCACCGACGCCATAGCTGACCACGTCGAGCTGAAGAAGGCTCTGAGGCATCGCAAAGAGCTCATGGAGTCCCAACTCCCACCGTCGGCCTCTTCAGGGGCTAAAAAGGACCCTTATTAATCATAATCCCCTACATAGACCTTATATGTATGTACCTTCTATAGTCCCTATGAGTCCCTATATCCCAAAGTAGCCCCTCAAGAACCCCCAAATAACCCCCTTTCGGAAGGTCCCTTACAAGGGTCCCCCCCGTTCGTCCCCTGAGCCTCTGCCAGCTTGGCTGTCTGTGACGGCCCGGGTCCGGAGAACCGGTGCCATGGCATGGTCTGTGGCATGGTTCCAATGGGGGAGGGCATGCAGAACTCAAGGACCTTGCTCATCCGTAAACCCTAAACCCTAAACCCTAAATCCTAAACCCTAAATCCTAAACCCTTAACCACAAGAGGGATCTTCCGAAGTCTTGGGGTACCTGTCTTGCTGCCTTGAGGTACAGGTAAGAGGATTATATCTCTATCATTTTGGGATGCATCAGGGGGACATGCCCATGATCAGCCTGCGACCCAAAACGCAAGGGATCCCGCAACAAAAAACATCCAAGGCCCTTATCGTCACAGGGCACCGGCTGTGTGCATGAGTTGTTGTGGGGTTGGGGTGAGTAGGGTGGCTGGTGTGGCTGGGGTCTTTGAGGTGCTTGGGGTGTTTAGGGTGTTTCGGGTGAGTGGGCGTTTGGGGTGTTAGTTTCAGGTTGTCATGTCTGTAGGGACTTTGGGGTTTAGGATTTTGAGTGGGCTACAGAAGTTCGATCCAGCCACTCGCTCTGAAACAAACCCTCAACCCTTAAACTCTACCCCTGAAACAAGGCTGCCGCCTAAACCCTATGCGCCCAAACCACGCGGACTTGGGCTCTTTCCTGCCTCAAACTCTGCCTCAAACCCTAAACTACTATTTGCTTAAGAACCCCGCAAAAGTAAAAAAGAATCTTCCTTGTAAGGGTAGTACAGGGACTATTTTCTTTTGATTTTTTTGACCAGTAAGCCCACCCGACCCCTGTTTGGCCCATGCCCCAAAGGCCACTTGAGCCCGAAAGCGAACCCCTGCCCCCGGCAGCTCATGCCGGCTAGCTGGCCAAGGACTTTGAGGTTTTGGATCTTTGTGGGGTTAGGGTGTTCTGGAATGCGCTTCTAGGGCCTTTGCCTTAACTCTAAACCCTAAACCCGAAACCTTAAACGCCGCTTTAGTCGGCTTCAGTGCGCCCATTACTCAGGTGCGGTGGTCTGCAAGAACCTTTTTCAGATGTCAAAGACTCAAGGGTTTAGGGTTTAGGGTGTCGTCTCAATGGCAGGCAAGTGCCGCCACAGAACTAGGGTGGCTGCACCCGTCACTATGAGCAGCGCAATGTTCGCAGGCATCCAGTTCCCAAAGAGATCGTCCGAAAGCCGTTTAATCGCATGCTCGCACCAAAAGTATGCCACGAAAATCAGCGACCCGACCTTATGGGGCCCTAGACCTAGAAACCACTTGGGAGGAAAAACGCCAAGCATACGACGTCTCCACAAAGCAAATCTGGAAAAGATGTTGAACAAAGATATAGCTGCGGCCAGGAGTGCAACAGCAAGCAGCCACTGTGTCCACTTGCTGTGTCCAAGGTTGCGCACTCTGTATGCCAAGCGAAGTAGAATCAGAGAGATACTTGGTGCATAGCAGAAAACATAAGTCACAGCTGCAAGTGACGTCTGCGGCACTGCAAGCGTTATGCCAAAAAGGTTCCGGTCAAGCATATCCAATATGGCCCATGCAACTGGGCTTGCTGCCTGCACGATGCGCCAATATGAGAACACCTGATTCGCAAGCTGGTAGACCAACATTTTCGAAACCTGTGTCCGAACCAGGGCCTCGAAGGTTTCCACAGACCCGAACCAAGCAGAAATGCACCGAAGAATCGTGAGGCGGTCGCAGGTTATTTCCCCGCCATTGGCGCCCACGTGACCGTTGTCACAGCAATGGCAGAAGGACTGTTCAACAGTGAAGTGACGGACTTGATGTTGCATCACGTCAATGCTTCGACAATGCGCAAGGACCACATAGGCAAGAAACACCAGGCATGGGAACACCATAGCAGATATGAAGATTCCACCCCACGGAAACAGCTGCAAGTCCGCACACAACAGTGCAAGCAGCAGCACGCTGACACCAAGGTGACCCACAAAAAGTGCGGGGCCAGTAAACACTGGGCAAACCAGCACAGACTTGTCTGCGTTAGGACCTTTGCTGTGTAAGAAACCTGCCATCTCCTTACTGCGACTGCGACCCTAATGTCAAAAGTCGGAACTCGTAGGAGACAGTAGAGTGCCAAATTTTCCAGAGTTTGGGATACGCTATACATGCGCGAGGGAAAAACACCACAACAGACCAGGTTGCGAACATGCACCACAATCTCGTGACGACAGTCTCATCCCAAAGGACGAGTAGCGACTGTGAACCTTGAAAAGGATTACGCTAGCTTTATGGTTGTTAAATGACACTAGAATCCGCCGAGCCCGGCAAGCTGGGGGCGAGCGCCAGTGAAGGGCTTTTTCCGCTCTCGCATGGGGAGGAGCCAGGCTTGTAAGAACCACAGACTGCCAGGTCTGACGACCCGTTACCTGACCCCTCCCCCATCCCTGCTTCCCTACTCCAACGACCCCAACCTGCATACCCGTACCCACCCCCCCTACCAGCCTCCCTGCTCTCCCAAACCTGTTTGCTTCTTGACTCGCCCCCCACGCTTTGTTCCGGATGCCGGTCATGGAGGCCCGACGGTGCAGCTGTGCAAAGCCCTTCCGACGGCTTGTTGGCTATGGGCTCTGTTTAGTGAGGGCACTCGCCATGCACCACGCCATGCACGCATGACGCAATGTCGTTTCGGAGGCCACTTGCCGGCTCTGACTGCTGCCACCTTCACCGATGAGGGGCCTCTTCCAGTTCTAGGCCTTGTAAGGCCTGTGAGGTTCGGGAGGTCCGGCGGCCCAAGCGGCGCATGCAATCGTGTACATATTGCATATTCTCAGGGAGGGTTTAGGGCTTAGGCTTAGGGTTTAGGGCATAAAAAACCATCGCATGAAAAGATAAAACTTCTTTTGTCCACAGAATGCGGAGTCCCAAACGCCCAAACCCTAAACCCTAAACCCAAAAAGACTTTGCTTTTGGTCAGGAAGGAAGCATCTCAGAAATCCACCCATGCCTCGGATTTGCTCACAAGGAAAGTAGTTGGCCAAGGACATGACTAGACTGATCGAGTACTAATTCAGGGTTAGGGTTTAGGGTTTAGGGTTGAAGGTCTTAAAACGACAGCGCGCTTTGTGAGAGCGCATTACTCGGCAGACCACCCGCCCCAAGACCGCCCACGTACAACTCTCATGGCATCAAGGCCTTCTTCTCATTTTTGAAAAGCACCATGTACTTGATGCAAGGTGCCTAATATGAAACTCTTCACTGAAGCTACAGGGTCGCTTGGAGCACTTGGGACGCTTGGGTCGCTTGGGTCAGACTTGGCACACTTGAAATTGTGGGAGAATTGGCAACACTTGGCTGACTTGGATCACTTGGGTCGCTTGCAACACTTAGGGCGCTGGATCACTTAGGATGCGTGGCACACTTTCGTCACCACTGGGAACATTCGCGTTGCTGGGGTCACTGCAAACACTTCATTCACTCGGTCGCTTGGGACACTCGGGTCACCTGGGTCACTTGCGACACTTGGGCCACTTTGGGCACTTGGAGCACGTGCACTCGGTTAGCGTGTTACAAAGTTCACGTGGGGCACTTGGGTCACTTGCGTCACTTTGTGAAACTCGAGACACAACTGAGACCTAGGTGCCACTAGGGTCAGAAGACTGGGAGCACTTGGAGCACACTTTGCGCCACACTTTGGGCCTCTTGAACTTCATTCGGAACACTTGGAGCACTTGGGGGCACTGGCACTGGGTTCACTCGGTCACTTGGGACACTTGCGTCACTTCGGGGCACTGGCACTGGGGACACCTCCTTCACTTGGCCTGGGGCACTCATGTCACGGGGCAAGTCACTTGTGACATGTAGGGCACTGGGTCGCAGCACTTGGGAGCCTCACAGATACTCCCTCATGGGCCTATAATCCCCTGCCACAGGTTCAAATTCGGTTTAGGGATTCTGATGAGAGTAGGGCTTAGCGTTTAGGGTGTAGGGATTAGGGTTTAGGGTTTAGGGTTTAGGGTTTGGGGTTTGGGGTTTGGGGTTTAGGGGCATATTCAATTCGAAGGGGTGCTTTGGAAGTGTACAGTCAATTGTATAAGGGTTTGAAAGGGGATCATACGGTAATTGTCGCAGCTCATTGCAACCCGTTTCTCTAAACACCCTAAACACCTACTAAACCCCCTAAACACCCTGCACACCCTCAGCAGCCCAAACACCCTAACCCCCCAAACCCCCTAAACAGCCTCAACACACTGACCCCCTAAACCCCTAGACCCCTAAAGCCCTAAACAGTCCCTAAACCCCTAAACACCCTAAACCTCCTAAAAGCCCCTGCGCGGCCTGAACAGCCTCAACCCCCTAAACCCCCAAAGCTCTAAACCCCCTAAAACGCTGAAGCCCTAAACAGCCTAAACCCCATAAAACCCCGAACCCCTACACCCCTGGCCCCTAAACCCCCTAAACCCTCAACCCGTTGTAAGAGGCACTGAGCGGCCAAGACAGTTCAGCTCGAAGCTCATTGCAACCCCTAAACCCCTAAACACCCAAACGCCCACACAACCCAAACCCTAAACCCCCTAAACCCCTAAACCCCCAGACCCCGCAAACCCCCGCACACCCCCGCAAACCCTGCAAACCCCCTAAACCCCCTAAACCCCCTAAACCCCCTGAACAACTAAACCCCCTTAAACCCCCTAAACACCCTGAACCCCCTGCACCCCCTAAGCCCCTAAACCCCCTAAACACCCTGAACCCTCCTAAACCCCCTAAGCCCCCTAAGCCCCCTTAAACCTCCTAAACCTCCTGAATCCGAAGAGGCACTGAGAAGGCCGAGACCGTTCAGCTCCCGATCAGTCTGGCTGATGCAAGCGACATCAAGGAAGGCAAGTTTCCTGCTCTTGGGGTAGTTACATGGTCTCTTAGTAGTGGGCCCGAAATTGGGGAAGAATCATATACCCCTTATATACCCTAAAAAAACCTACGGGCCCACACTTCAGAACATGCGGAGTTGTTAAGGGTTTTAAGGGCTTCGGGGGCTTCGGGCTTTAGGATTTCTAGGCCTTGAAGGGCTTAGGCTGTTGCGTTTAGGGGTCTAAAAGCTTGGGGGCTTCGGGGCTTCGTCGGTCTTGGGGGTTCGGAGGTTGCGGCCTTGAGGGGCCCGGGGGGGGTTTTGGAGTTTGGGAGGTTTGGGAGGTTTGGGGGTTTTGGGGAGTTTTCGGGCTTGGGGGGATTGGGGGCCATCCCGCCCTCCAACACTCAGAACTCTGCGAAATCATGCGCGCGCCGTACTAAACCTTATAAGCCCTATCAACCCTAAAGCCCTAAACCCTAAGCCCTAAACCCAGCCATAAGCCATAAACCCTCTTTCACTTCCTCCGCAACCATCCGATTCTACTTGAAGCCTTTATCAGGGCGAAAACCCCCCAAAAAAGGGTTCAGGGTTTATATGTTTTTGTTTCGAGCCCTGCTATCATCGAGCAGCTGAGCCAGCCCTAAACCCTCAACCCTGACGCCAGGTGTCCTGCTCCGCCAGAGTAGAAGAGTCACGTAGTAGCCGATAACTCCAGATGTGGTGCACCACGCATTTGCTGGGCCCGCAACGGACTCTTTCGGCAAGATGCCAGCCAAATTTAAACTGAAAGCCACCAGGGCACAAAGAGTGCCAACCACAAATGCTGGGAAGCCGTTGTTCAGGAAGAGGATGTTGACATACCTGAAGTAGCAAACGAACCTTCATATAACTTAATAGGAATGATAGTAGTACTGGGTGTATGACCCTTAAATCCTAAACCCTAAACCCTAAACCCGAACCCCTCCAATTTCAGGGTTCATGTGGTCCCCCCCAAGGTACTTGAGACCCGCATTCGTGCGCCAGCTGTGAGACCAGAACTCATCCAGCTGATTTGTCACCTTTGGGGTTGGATCTGAGGCCTTGGAAACCTGACATGAATTTCTTAAACTCTGTTGGGCTTTAGGGTGCAGGGTTTAGGGTCTGTCATGGGGTCCAAAAGGATTAGAATCGAGGTCCATACGGGTGGTTGTCAAAATTATAATCCCTTTTGGGGTGCCCTAAATGTTTGGTGCCGTATGATAATCAGGATCCAAAAAGGGACCAGATTTTTGACACCCACCCATACAGAACATTAACAACTTGTTTCCATAGCGTGTCAGCCCCCAGCCTGACTGAGTCCGTAAAAATTTCGCTTCTCTCTCGCTAACCACTTGCAGGGCATTCGCTGCAGGAATCGGTGCACCGGGATCCCGCGCACGATATCGGGACTGATGGCTCTCATGTCGGTCATGATGCGATCGAAGTACTGCGAATCCAGGGAGATTGGCGGACATTTTTCGGACTCACTGGGGCTTCCCAGGACGATCTGCAAGCCGCTCGCGGACATGGCAGCAAAACGACAACTTGCGATCCCCTGCTCTGCCTCAGAATCACCAACAGGGTTTAGGGTCTAGGGTTTAGAGTTTATGGTTTAGGATGACAAAAAACGCGGTGTTGATCTTGACGTGCTGCTTTTGCAGCAATGGGTGAAACAGGTAAATCCCCTGCAGCCGAAACAGCACGCCCGCTTCTCTGCCACGAAGCTGCCCTTGATATGTGGCATGCTGGTTTCGGAAAATTGCGGCGCTAAGCCCCAAACCCTAAACCTCAAAATGAAGGGGGTCCCAAGGGGCGCCCATAAACCTTAAACCCTAAGCAGGGCATAAGGGTTTCAGGCCTTTATGCAAGATGTCAGAAATTTAGGGTTTTAGGGTTGTAGGCTTTAGGGAAAGCAGGCACTTGAACCCTTCAAGGGGCCGAGTAGCTACTTTGCGACCAGTGTATTCCCGAACAAGGCAGCTTGGCCCATATCAAGGAGGGTTGATGGTTGAGGTGATTCTCCGTGGAAAAATACCCTCACCGTGTCCTTATGACATCTAGGTAATGAAGAGCCCACAGGCAAAGCCAATGGAAGAATGAGGGTCGTTATACATGGTCCTTTCATATGGTCTCTTACCTTCTTCAAAGGGGTTCTGAAGTATGTGCTCTTTTGTTTTATAGGTTAGAAAGGGGGCATTAAGGGGTGTGTCAGTCCCCATTTAAGAGCCAGACTATGGAACCATGTAGCTACTCTAAGAAAGAAGATAAACCTTTGAACTTGGAAGAGGAACGACGAAACAGCAAATCCAACATATAGAGGTGCGAACCGAAATGGGACGAGAACTCCTCTGCATCTAATCTAGCATGTGTACAAAGCCCTGACGCTGAAAACAACATGACAATCCGGAACGTAACTGGCTCAGCACCCTTTTTGGTTTAGAGGGGCTTATAAGGGAACCTATACCCAAGAAGGATAAGAAGCTGTCTTATCCGACGAGCAAATCGAAAGGTTCCGATAGATCAACCCTAAACCCTAAATCCCAAACCCTAAACCTTAAACCGCAGTTTTGCCATGAAACACAGCGGGCTGCAGAGGCGGCACGGCCGTACGCTCTAGGATGCTTCAGCCGGCCGCCACTGTACAAGGCCTCCAGTCGATCACTGCGCTCCGGAGCGCGCCTGCCATGCTACTCGCGGCCGAAAACCTACTTCAGGTCTCAAGCCATTCAGCAGGCTCACTGAATTGTCAGAAATCTGCAGGTATCTACAAAAGCTCTCCTTGGAGCGTCGAAACAACCATGAGCCGGTAAAGTACAGGTTGGGGGGGGTTGTGGAGGGAGCGGGGCGGCGGAGGAAGCAACATGGCCAAGCTGGCACAATAGGAGTGGTGGGCACTCATCCCTAAACCCTAAACCCTAAACCCTAAACCCGAAACCCTAAACCCTAAACCCGAAACCCCAAACCCTAAACCCTAAACCCTAAACCACTCCACTTGCAGCAAGAAGATCTTAAAAACTGGAGGAATCTTGGGGCATCTCAATGGCCGGCAAGTGCCGCCACAGAACCAGAGTGACGGTACCCATGAAGGTCAAAGCCACCAGGTGCGCAGCCACCCAGTTCCCGAAGTGATCGGCCGAGAGCTGGCGAAGAGCGTGCTCGCAAAAAAAGTAGGCGCCAAACATCAGCGACCCGACCTTGGTTGGACCCTATCATGTCTTTTCCTATCTACAAGCAACACCACCATCTTTGCCTGCAGTTTTATGGGTTCTACCTACTAGTTAAGGGTACTTGCTACTACACTGTAGGTAAATAGAGTCCGAGGAAGTCATCGTAAAGATCTGGAAAATGTGTGCCAACGACGGTACGGTTGCGGCCACGAGCGCGGCAGAAAGCAGCCATTGCATCCATTTGCTGTGTCCAAGGTTGCGTACTCTGTAAGCCACGCGAAGCATAATCAGAGCAAAACTTGGAAGCGCGTTTTGCTCGGATAATTTACCGCTGCGAGCATGACCTGCAGCAGCACTGCAGCCGGCAGGTCCTGATAGTTCCAGTCGAGCAGATCCAGTACGGCCCATGCAACAGGGATCGCTACCTGCACGATGCGCCAGTATGAGAACACCTGGTTCGCAAGCTGGTAGACCAACGTTTTCAACAGCCGTGTCCGAACGAGGGACTCGAAGGCGTCCACAGACCCGAACCAAGCAGAAATGCATCGAAGGATGATGAGGCGGTCGCACATCAGTTGCCCACCGTTGGCATTCACATGACCGCTTTCACAGCAGTGACACAAGGAGTGTTCAACAGTGAAGTGACGGACTTGATGTTGCATCACGTCAATGCTTCGACAGTGCGCAAGGATCACATAGGCAAGAAACACCATGCATGGGAACACCATAGCAGAGATGAAAATTCCAGCCCACGGAAACAACGGCAGGCCGGAACACAACAGCGCAAGCAGTAGCACGCTGGAACCGATGTTACCCACAAGAAGCGCGGGGCCAACGAACACTGGGCAAACCAGAACAGACGTGTCCGAGCGAGGACCTTTGCTGTGTAAGAAACCTGCCATCTCCTTACTGCAACCCTAATGTCAAAGTCGGAACGCAGACCAACGAATATCTGTGTAGGAGAATATCGTTCGGTACGGAACTGTACCCGATTCAACTCTCCAGAGTTTGCGATGCAGTATTCTAGCATACATAAAAGCAGAACACCTTCCAGAAAGAACCTAGTCGCGAATACGCACCACAGTCTCGCGACAAATGTCTCATCCCAAAGGACGAGTAGCGACTGTGAGCCTTTCAGCGGTTTGCACGAACTGAGGACCCGAAAGTGTTTAATTAGTCCTTGTTGTTGCAACCGACCAAAAACAACCCAGTTTGCGGACACCCCCATACATACATACATACATACATACATACATACATACATACATACATACATACATACATACATACATACATATACAATAGATAGATCTATCTCTATATATATATATATATACATACACATTTTGCTGTTTATTTATTTTTTATCTAATTATTTATATCCATAGAGATCCCGGGTCCCCGGGCTCCACCCCCACTTCTCCGCCATCCTCTTCACGGTGGTCGCTGGTTGGAGGGGCTCAGCTTCTTGGCATTCTAAACGTGCGCAGTTGCACGAAGATCCTAAACCCTAAACCCTTAACCCTAAACCCTAAACCCTAAACACCCCTAAACCCTAAACCCTGAACCCCCCAAACTAGGAGAAAAAAAAAACCTAAAGCCCGATCCCTAAACCGTCATTGGGGCGACCTGAAGCCCGAAGCCAGAGAGTAGGGGCACTTCTCGCAGGGTTTAGGGCGGATGCCTCAATGTCCTGAGCCCAAACCCGGAACCCGAAGCAAAACGGTAAACCACAGACCCTCCTTGCCCCTTCAACCGCCCCACAGCCACAGGGGGCAGGGGGAGTAAAGCCTAAACCCAAAAACCCCACCAAATACCCGAAAACCCTTGCAACTATTGGGTCCGTCCTTGCGACTCGGGAAACCAAAACGCACGCTTTCGGGCCCAGCCAGCAAGAGCCCCTCCCCCACTCCAACCCGCCCCGCAGACACTAAGCGATGGATAGACACATGCGTTGGTGCATCAGGGGGTTAACCTGAATCACAGGGCCGTGCGCTGCCAAAAGCAACCATACGAGTACCTTCCTGTGTAGGCCCACAAACCCCGCCAGAACCCCCCGAAGTGCAAAAGTCTGCTGTTGAGCATGAAAGGAGCATCTCAGAAATGCACCCATGCCTTGGATCCGCACCAGGGAGTTGGGCTTTGGACTTGCGACGGTTAGGGCTTGAGGAGAACTGTTTCTGCATTCAGGGTGCTTTGTTGAACAACCCTGATTCTGTTGTGTAGCAATTTCGGCTGCTTCCTCTGCTTGTGTCTTGGATGCGCCAAGAAGGCCAAGTCCTAAATCCTTAACACCACCAAAAGGCAGAGGCACTGAGCAGGGCCTCACTTTTCTGGATTTCGTCACGTTGGTTGATGCAGGCGATGTCAAAGAAAGCCAGCTTCCTACGCCATGGTTTAAGCTTTCGGGGTTTAGGGGACCAACCCTTCGGAGTGAACATCGCCAAAGAAGCGCTCAACAAACCCTTAACTTACGCCCTGCTCCTGCGCTTTCCCTCTTCTTGAAGAGGTTTGTGGTATCTGGCCTTCATCGACTTACACCTGCCTGGCAAGCCGATGAAGCCCCTGCACTTGGGATGCTCCCCCTCATAGTAGCACTCCTCATTTTTAATAGGGGTTGTAGTACCCCTAATAAAATCCCTGCCAAGGACTGTTAGTGTAAGGGGAACATCCCAAACTCTACACCCTAAAGGCGCTTGACGAAGTTCCCAAGTTTTTCACGAGCTCGTTGTGGCCACCCGCTGGAAACTCCCCTCAAGAACATCCAAATTCCATGTAGGCTCTTGGCACATGGTCATCCTAGATCCCAGAGCCACCTAGGGACTCAAGGGTACCCCCTTTTGAAGGGGTTGTTAAGAGGGGCCCTCTATGGAAGCTCTCCTCCTTGGTACCATAGTGTGGTTGGACCAAACCCTGGATTCAAGCTGCTGTCCTGCTAGGCCAGAGGAGAAGAGTCACGTAGTAGCCGATGCTGCCAGCTATGGTGCACCACGCGTTTGCGGGGCCCGCGACGCGTTGCAGTGGCAAGATGCCTGCCAAACTTAGAGAGAAAGCCACAAGGGCACAAAGAGTGCCAACGACAAAGGCTGGGAAGCCGTTGTTCAAGAAGAGGATGTTGACATACTTGAGCCACGCCTTGGTGCGCCAGCTGTGAGACCAGAACTCATCCAGCTGCTTCGTCACCTCTGGGCTGGATTTTGAAGCCCCTAGAAAACATTACTTTCTATGAGGCATGAGAAGTTGCAGAGAGTTTGGGGCTAACAAAACTGTCAAACTGTTTCAAAAACAGCCCAGGCCTTACTGAGTCCATAAAACATCCTTTGCTGCTTCGCCAACCCCTTGCACGGCATGCGCTGCAGGAATCGGTGCACTGGGATCCCTCGCACGATCTCGGGTCTGATGGCTTTCATCTGGGTCATCATCTCAAGGAGGCTCTCAACAAGCTGCGAATCCAGACAGTCTTGCGCAGAGTCTTCACTGAGTTCACTGGGAGTTCCCACGACGGCCTGCAAGCCACTCTCCGTCATGGCGGCCAGAAGACACGACAACTTTTGCAAATCTGCTTTCTCTGCGGCAGCGCGCAATGATTGGAACAGTCTTCTTCCCATTAAACAAAACCTGACAGCATGAAGTACGCGCCGTTTATCTTGAAATGCTGCTTTTGCAGAGGGTGAAACCGGTCATTCGCTGCAGCCAGAAAAAAGTCCAACGACTCCACTAAGAGGCTTGCCCTTCTGCGAAGACTCTGACATGGAGGCTTCCGGGTACCTTAGGCAAGATCACCCTCTTTATCATAAAAAGAAGCTCCGACATGATCATATTTCGGGGAAGCACAGGAGGGATCCTGCAGCATCCCACTAATTTCCCCACAATCTTACGACCCCCACAGCCTGACGTTGCAAACCCCGTGCGGGTATGCTGTGATTTGTAGGGTTCGTGTTCAAAAAAAGTAATGAATATTGGAAGCGAACTTAAGATCAGATAGGTAGGTAATGGTAGGTAACAGGGGCTTGCAAGACTTACTGGTCCTTCAAATGGAACTAGGTACCGATTATCATCCTTTGAAGGGCAACATTATGTTGGCGGTTCTGAGGTACAGTACCGAATTCCCTAATTCCCTGCTAAGCACACATAAGAAAAGGGTTGAGATATGCAGAGCGACTGATGCATAGGTGCGGGTGAAATTCGCGTTTGCTTAGTGGCTTAGTGGCGCTTGATTCTCACCCGGACGCGGCCTAATGTCGGATGGCAGAGAGAACATAAGTTACATCTGTCTCAAGTCTATATCCTCAAGGTCCTAAAAAGGGTTGGGATTGAGGAAAAGCAGGCGCTTGAACCATAAAAGGAACCAGTAATCACCTAGGTTGAGGGTTTGGTTTAGGGCTTAGGTTCAGGGCTACCATGAGGACAAGCATTTTCCCGAATACCTGAATACCTGATCCTCAAGGAATCGAGCATACCTTTCCCGAAAATTGGATGGCTCCTCTCGCCGCTGTCGCTGTATCTTGCGCTACTACCTATGGAACGAAGTGTAGCCAACAAGCAAAATCGATGACAGGAGAAGATAAACAATTGAGAGCTTGCAACGAGAGATAAGAAGCATGAAGCCAAGAAACAAGAACCGAACCGTGGATGATAAATCCTGAAAGCCCATCTAACTATATGTGTCCAACAAAGTTCATGCTGAAAGCAGAACGAAAAGTCAGAACAACGAATTGTCAACACACCATGAAAAATTGATATGTCGAAGATGCAACATGTATTTGACAGGCTGAAGAAGACAAGGATTGAGACTTCGGGAGCGGGTTTACGTGGTGTCTGGCGTCATTGACGTGAAGATGGAGATGCAGAAAACAATTGCGAAAGTAACTTCGATACTGAGGCGACAATTGGGAATGGGATGGCAATCGATACCTCACGAAATGATACTTTAAGCCTCAACGCAGCAAGCGTGGCTGCATGGATGGTCATACCACGAGTCAGCCATCTACTGTACAAGGCGGCATTGTGAAAACTTGAAAACTTCCTAGGCGGGCTTACAATACGAATCAAGTGTTACAAAAATCCTCCGGTATCTACATATAGCTCTCCAAGAGCAGTTAGTAGGCACGGTTGAGAGTACAGGTAGGCAAATCCTAAACTTGCCTAGCCGTGCACAATCGCACTGCTAGAAGCAGAAGTGGGGCTGTTGGACGAGCGCGAAGGTTCCGGAACTGGCGCGGCAGGCCGCTTGCTCAGCAACCAGGCCTCAAGAATTCGATGTAGAATCCCAGTGCATCTCAATAGCAGGCAAGTGCCGCCACAGAACCAGGGTGACGGCACCCATCAAGATCAGAGCCACTAGGTGGGCAGGCAACCAGTTTCCAAAGTGATCGTCCGAAAGCTGGCGAAGAGCTTGCTCACACAAAAAGTAGGCGCCAAACAGCAGTGATTCTACCTACGTTGGCCCCTATAGCCATCGTCATTTCTTTTCCTACTGTATCCCCAGCGAATTACCTTTTAAGGGATTCTAATTCTCGCATTCCATACTAAGAACCAGTAAGCAAAGAAAATTAGGCGAGAAAAAAAGATCTGGTCAGGAAAATGTGTGCCAACGACGGTACGGCTGCGGCAATGAGCGTGGTAGAAAGCAGCCATTGCGTCCATTTGCTGTGTCCAAGGCTACGTACTCCGTAAGCCATGCGCAGCATAAGCAGAGAACAAATTGGAAGCACGCAGAAGGGATAATTCACCGCTGCAAGCATGGTCTGCAGCACCGCTGCAGCCGCGTCCTGACGGCTCTCGTGCAGATCCAATATGGCCCATGCAGCTGGGATTGTTGCCTGCACGATGCGCCAGTATGAGAACACCTGGTTCGCAAGCTGGCAGACCAATGTCTTCAACAGCCGCGTCTGAACGAGGGACTCGAAGGCGTCCACAGACCCAAACCAAGCAGAAATGCATCGAAAGATGATGAGGCGGTCGCACGATACTTCCCCGCCATTGTCGTCCACATGACCGCTTTCACAGCAGTGACACAAGGAGTGTTCAAAAGTGAAGTGACGGACTTGGTGCTGCACCACGTCAATGCTTCGACAGTGCACAAGGACCACATAGGCGAACAACACCATGCATGGGAACACCATAGCAGAGATGAAGATTCCAGCCCACGGAAACAGCGGCAAGTCCGCACACAAGAGCGCAAGCAGTAGCACGCTGAGCCCGAGGTTGCCCGCAAAAAGAGCGGGGCCCACGAACACTGGGCAAACCAGCACAGACTTGTCCGCACGAGGCCCTTTGCTATGTAAGAAACCTGCCATCTCCTTACTGCGACCCTAATGTCAAAGTCGGAACACAGACCAACGAAATTTTGTGTAGGATAATATCGCTCAGTACAGAACTCTACCCGACGCTCTTCTCCAGAGTTTGCGATGCAGTATTCCATAATACACAGAAGCGGAACACCTTCCACAAAGAGCCTAGTCGCGAATATGCACCACAGTCGCGCAACATATGTCTCATCCCAAAGGACGAGCAGCGACTTTGAGCCTGAGGCAGGGAAGACCGGTCTAGGTCCTGACAACCACCTAAACCCGAAAAAAGCCTAAGCCCTAACAAGGCAAGCCCTAAAACCAAAAATCCTGGAACCAATTAGGGAGACAGGGTTTTCGGGCTTCGCGTTTTCGGGCTTGGGAGTTTTGGGTCTAGGTGTTAGGGTATGAGTGAGGGTTCAGGCTTTAGGATTTTACGGTCATGATCTAGGTACTCCCCCTTCTCTCCCGCCCCCTCGTGGCTGTGGGGCGGTTTTCGGGGTTAGGGTTTAGGGCTTTATACCCAGATAGCCCAATACCCCTTAATTATGTTTTATACCTTAAACTATATAGGGATGCTGATTACGATTAAGGTCTATTGCTTGTTTAAGGGCATTGGACACTTATGTATATCTATATACATTATTTATGTATACATATATATATATATGTTGCACATTCGAAAGTCTGCTGTTGATCACGACAGGAGCATCTCAGAAATGCACCCATGCCTTGGCGCGCTCCAGGGAGGAATTGGGCTTGGGACTTGTGAGGGTTAGGGCTTGAGGACTTCTGCATTCAGGCTGTTGAACGATGTAGCAATTTCGGCTGTTCCTTCTGCTTGTGTCTGGGATGCGCCAACAAGGCCAAGTCCTAAATCCTCAACACCCCCACAAGTAGAGGCACTGAGTAGGGCCTCACTTTTCTGGGTTTCGTCCTCCTGGTTGATGCAGGCGATGTCTAAGAACGCGAGCTTCCTACGCCACGGTTTAGGCTTTCGGGGTTTAGTGGGCCAACCCTTCGGAGTGAAAATCGCCAAAGAAGCGCTCCAAAAACCTTTAACTTACGCCCAGCTCCTGTGCTGTCCCTCTTCTTGAAGAGGTTTGTGGTTTCTGGCCTTCATCGGCTAAATTTCTGGCAAGCCGATGAACCCCTTATCCTTGGGGCGTTCCCCCTTATACTAACAGTCCTTAGTAGAGATGATAGCACCCACTATAGGGGGGAACATCCCAACCCCTACGCGCTTGACCAAGCGCCCAAGTCTTTAACGAACTCGTTGTAGCCACCCATAGCTGGAAACACCCCTCAAGAACACACATCCAAATTCCACTTCGGCCCTTCTTGGCGAATGGTGATCCTAGATCCCAAAGCAACCTAGGAATCACAAGGGTCCTTTTGTTTGAAGGGGGTTGTTATAACTCAAACCCGAAAAAAGAAAGAGGGGCCCACTTTGGAAGCTCTCCTCCTTGACCAACCCTGGATTCAAGCTGCTGTCCTGCTAGGCCAGAGGAGAAGAGTCATGTAGTAGCCGATGCTGCCAGCTATGGTGCACCACGCGTTTGCGGGGCCCACGGTGCGTTGCAGTGGCAAGATGCCAGCCAAACTTAGAGAGAAAGCCACCAGGGCACAAAGAGTGCCCACCACAAAGGCTGGGAAGCCGTTGTTCAAGAAGAGGATGTTGACATACTTGAGCCACGCCTTGGTGCGCCAGCTGTGAGACCAGAACTCATCCAGCTGCTTCGTCACCTCTGGGCTGGATTTTAAAGCCCCTAGAAAACATTACGTTAAAAGAGGCATGAAAGGTTGCAGAGAGTTCGGGGCCAGCAAAACTGTCAAACTGGTTTAAGAAACAGCTCGGACCTTACTGCGTCCGTAGAAAATCCTGTGCTGCTTCGCCAACCCCTTGCATGGCATGCGCCGCAGGAATCGGTGCACTGGGATCCCTCGCACGATCTCGGGTCTGATGGCTTTCATCTGGGTCATCATCTCAAGGAGGCGCTCAAGAAACAGCGAATCCAGACAGTCTTGCGCAGAGTCTTCACTGACTTCACTGGGAGTTCCCACGACGGCCTGCAAGCCACTCTCCGTCATGGCGGCCAGAAGACACGACAACTTTTGCAAATCTGCTTTCTCTGCTTCAGTGTGCAATGATTGGAAAGAAGCCAACAGTCTTCTGCCCATTAAACAAAAACCCTTGCAGCATGAAGTGCGTCGTTTATCTTAAAATGCTGCTTTTGCAGAGGGTGAAACCGGTCATTCGCTGCAGCCAAGAAAAGCACGCTCCGGTTCTCCAACGACTCCACTAAGAGGCGTCCCCTTCTGTGAAAACTCTGACATGGAGGCTTCCTCATTACCTTAGCAATAAAGCCTCTTTGCAAGAAGGAGCCCCACCAAAATGATTACCAGAACCACAGATTGAAGAGATCCTGCAGGTTCAGGTAGGTCATAGGAGCTTGTGGAAACTTACCAGTTCTTCGTATGGAATTAGGGAGATAGGGTCCTGATGCAATCCTTTGAAGGGAAAGGTTGGCGGTTCTAAGGTACAGTACCTAGTTCTCGTTCCAAACACACATAAGAAAAGGGTTGACGTATGGACGCGGCGCGACTGATGGCTAGGCGCGGGTTAGCTGCGCTTGAGAAACGGATGAGAACATAGGAGAACCCAAACCCTAAACCCTAAACCCATGACGCAGCCTTTAGGGTTTAGGGTTTAGGGTTTAGGGTTTAGGGTTTAGGGTTTAGGGTTTAGGGTTTAGGGTTTAGGGTCTAGGGTTTAGGGTTTAGGGTTTAGGGTTTAGGGTTTAACTTCGAGTCTATATTCTCTAGGGCTGGGCTTAGGCTTCAGGAAGCGCAGGCGGTTGAACCACAAAGGGGACCACCCTGTAGCTACCTTGGGAACCAGCATGCTCCCGAAAAAGGTGCCTAAACCAAATCTAGGGTAGCTGCAGGGTGTTGGGGGTTTGGGGTTAAAATTGTTGAGGCGGGCTTTCCTCGAACAGTAAGGGGCCGTCAAAATCAAGAAATCGAGGGTACCCTCACCGGAAACTAGATGGCTCTTATCGGTGCTGTCAATGTACTTTGCTTCAATGTCTAGGGGGCGAAGTGCAGCCATCGCCGACAGAAGATCAACAGTTGATGCTTTTGCAAATAAGAAGATAAGCCAAAAAAACAGGAACCGAACCTGGGATGACAAATCTCTAAAGCCTATCTATCTACATGTGCCCAAAAAGTTGATGCCCAAAGCCTGACGAAGGGCCAGAACAAATATGTATCGACTCACCATGAAAACTGAGATGTCAGAGATGTATTTCAAATGCTTAAGAACGCGATTGCAAATAGTGTCAAGATGTAAAAGACGAAGATTCAGAGTTCGGAAGCGGTTTATGTGTTGTCCGAGGTCATCTATATGATCAACAGAAGAACTCTTGTGCCACATGCAGTTGCTACAGCATTGTGAGTGAGGTGAACGAGGAGATGAAGAAAACAATTGGGAAAGTAATTTAGATACTCAGAATCCCGTGAAGGAGAGTTGGAAATTAGATGGCAATCGAAATCTGACGAAATGGTATCACGTCTCAACGCAGCAGGCTAGGCTGCATGATCATACCGGGATTCAGCCAGATTCTGTACAAGGCGGCACTATTCCAACCTCCTCGTCAAGGTCTCAACACGTTCAACAGGCTGGCAGTACGAATGAGGACATCCTCATGCACGTTGGCACTACTAGAAGCAGAAGGTGAGGCTGTTGGAAGAGCGCGAAGCTTCCGGGACTGGTGCAGCAGGCCGCTATGGCCGCTTGCTCTGCAGTCAGACCTCAAAGACTCGAGGTAGAATGTCAGGACATGTATCCATAAGTCCCCAATAAGTGTACACTCTCAGTTGTATTTGGGATTATAATATCCCCAAAATGCCCCAAAAGTGTAAAGTGTCCTCAGTCAGCCACTGAGCATCTCAATAGCCGGCAAGTGCCGCCACAGAACCAAGGTGACGGTACCCATCAAGATCAGAGCCACTAAGTGGGCAGGCAACCAATTCCCAAAGTGATCGTCCGAAAGCTGGCGAAGAGCTTGCTCACACAAAAAGTAGGCGCCAAACATTAGAGACTCGACCTTGGCCCCTATAAGGATCGTCATTTCTTTTTCAACCTGAACCCCCCGCCCCCCCTTCCCCTTTTGAGGCGTTCTATTATATTGAGTACCTGATTCCCTCATGCCCTACTGATTATGAACCAATCAGAAAGAAAATGAATGAAGAGGAAAAAAAACAAAAAAACAGCCAACGGCGGCACGGCTGCGGCCACGAGCGCGAAAGAAAGCAGCCATTGCGTCCATTTGCTGTGTCCAAGGTTGCGTACTCTGTAAGCCACGCGAAGTATAATCAGAGAAAAACTTGGAAGCACGCAGAAGGGATAATTCACCGCTGCAAGCATGGTCTGCAGCGGTGCTGCAGCCGAGTCCTGACGGATATCGTGCAGATCCATTATGGCCCATGCAGCTGGGATTGTTGCCTGCACGATGCGCCAGTATGAGAACACCTGGTTCGCAAGCTGGAAGACCAACATCTTCAACAGCCGCGTCCGAACGAGGGACTCGAAGGCGTCCACAGACCCGAACCAAGCAGAAATGCATCGAAGGATGATGAGCCGATCGCACATCAGTTGCCCACCGTTGGCTTTCACATGACCGCTTTCACAGCAGTGACACAAGGAGTGTTCAACAGTGAAGTGACGGACTTGATGTTGCATCACGTCAATGCTTCGACAGTGCGCAAGGATCACATAGTCGACAAACACGAGGCATGGGAACACCATAGTAGAGATGAAGATTCCACCCCACGGAAACAACGGCAGGCCGGAACACAACAGCGCAAGCGCTAGCACGCTGATACCAAGGTGACCCACAAGAAGCGCGGGGCCAACGAACACTGGGCAAACCAGCACAGACTTGTCCGCGTGAGGCCCCTTGCTGTGAAAGAAACCTGCCATCTCCTCGCTGCGACCCTAATGTCAAAGTCGGAACCCGGAAAAGAAAGGAACTCCTAGGAGACAGTAGAGTGCCACATTTTCCAGAGTTTGGGATACGGCATACATACACGAGCGCAAAACACCACAACAGACCAGGTTGCGAACATGCACCACAATCTCGTGACGACCGCCTCATCCCAAAGGACGAGTAGCGACCGTGAGCCTTTGAGCGGTTTGCACGAGCTCAGGATTCAGGATATGGTGGTTTCCGAAATTGGGGTACCTTGTTGGGGTTTTTTTCATGACCTATTTTCGTAAACCCCCTGTAAGGTGCTGCATTTCTTAGGATATGCCCTGGTGTTTCGGGTTTAGGGCCGGGTTTAGGGTAATTCTTGAGTGGGCCAACAAGCCGACAGGGCCCCAAGTACAAAAGTCTGCTGTTCATCACGAAAGGAGCATCCCAGAAAGGCTCCCATGCCTAGGACATGCTCCAGGGAAAAAGGTCTTTTGGACAATCAAGCTAGCTTTTGCATTCTAATTTGTGAGGCAGGTTCGGCTCCTCCCTCTCCTTGTGAATGAACGCGCCATGAAAACCTAAGCCCTTCATTCCTAAACCCTAAAACCTCAAAACTCCCACAAGTAGAGGCACTGAGCAGGGCCTCACCTTTCCGGATTTCGTCACTCTGGTTGATGCAGGCGAAATCAAAGAAGGCCAGCTTCCTGCGCCGCAGTTTAGGCTTTCGGGGTTTAGGCTTCTAGGGCTTCGGAATGGCAATCGCCAGAGTGTGCTGGAAAACGAGCCGCTTAAGCCAAGACGATAAGGCACATGTGCTGCACGTGTCCTGCTGGGCCAGAAGAGAAGAGTCACGTAGTAGCCGATGCTGCCAGCTATGGTGCACCACGTGTTTGCTGGGCCCGCAACGCCGTGCAGTGGCAAGATGCCAGCCAATTTTAGAGAGAAAGCCACCAGGGCACAAAGGGTGCCCACCACAAAGGCTGGGAAGCCGTTGTTCAGGAAGAGGATGTTGACATACTTGAGCCCCGCACTAGTGCGCCAGCTGTGAGACCAGAACTCATCCAGCTGCTGCGTCACCTCTGGGGGGGTTGATTCTGAGTTCCTCTAGAAGAACTATGGGCCAAAGGAAGTAGGGGCCCGCAGAACTTCGAAATTGCTTCCAAACCCACCCGGACCTTACTGAGTCCGTAGAACATGCTGTGCTGCTTCGCCGACCCCTTGCATGGCATGCGGTGAAGGAATCGGTGCACAGGGATCCCTCGCACGATATCGGGTCTGATGGCTTTCATCTGGGTCATAATCTCAAGGAGTCGCTCAAGAAACAGCGAATCCAGACACGCTTGCGCAGAGTCTTCGCGGAGTTCACTGGAAGTTCCCACGACGACTTGCAAGGCACTACCGGACATGGCAGCCTTGAAAACCGACAGCGTGTGCAACTCTGCTTTGCCCGCTGCGCTGCGATAAATGCTTGGACAGGGCAACAGTCTTATATAAATATAATGAGTTCAAAATAAGTGCAATATGAAATACACATCGGTAATCTTGAAAAGCTGCCTTTGGCAGCGGGTGAAACCGGTCAATGGCTGCAGCCAGAAAGAAGCACGTGCCGCGGCTCCCAAGACTCTACCAGAAGCTCCCCTTCTGCGAAGTGTGACATGGTGTTGTCTGACGGTCCCTTTCATGGTACCCGAAATATTGGACTCTGTATCATGACAAGCACCCAAGGAGGATCATAACCGGAACCCCGAAAAGGATCACCAAGCTTCACAGGCTTTTTGGCAATCCCTCCTCACACACTCGTGATCCGCGCTTATGTTGAAGCCCCGTACGCCTATGCAGATATTTTCGGGTGTAGGGTTCAAGGGTTCAGGTCGTGAGGAAGTTCTTTGCATGGAATTAAAGATCGAATACGAGCGTTTACAAGGGTGCAGTAAGTAATTCCCTACTTGCCGACTCCTTGCCCGCTCAGCAAAACGTGTGGCTGTGTGGACGCCCCTACTGTAATCCCTACTAAGGACTGCTAGTATAAGGGGAACATCCCAAGGTGGCATGCTAGTATCCAAAAATTACGGTCGTGAGGTGTGGTGCTAAACAGACCATGAATTCTCGCTGCTAACACCCAAACCCTGAACCTCAAAATGCAGAGGGTCCGAGGTGACGCAACCCTAAGCCCTGAACCCTAAACAAGGTCTTAGGGTTTTAGGGCTGTTATGCAAGATGTCAGGGCTTTAGGGCTTTCGGGTTGTAGGGTTTAGGGAAAGTAGGCACTTGAGCCCTTCAATGGGGCCGAGTAGAGGGTGCACGCTTTAGGGTTTATAAATTGTCGAGGTGGTTCTCCGCGGAAAAAAATAGTACCCTCACCGAAGCTCTTGTCGACACCGTCCTTAACATCTACGGAACGAAGTGCGGCCACAGGCAGGCCAAACGAAGAAGGAAGAATATACGGATCGTTACCTGGTCCCTATATATGGTCCCTTACCTCGTTTAGAAGGGTTTCGAAGTATGGGCCCTTGGGTCTTAAGGGGTATATAAGGGGTTTGTAAGGGTCCCCATTCAAGGGCCTATACTACGGGGCCATGCAACTACTCTAAGAAATAAGATAAGCAGTTGATGTTTGGAACTTGGAAGGAGAACGACGAAGCAGAAATCCAAAATATAGAGCTACGAACCGAACGGATATATTATAGTATACTATGGTAACTATAGTATTCTATAGTATAGTATACTGTATTATATTACACTGTACTATGTTCTACTGTATTATACTCAATTATTTTATTTTATGTATACCATATTATATTATCATATATCTATACATCTGTACGAGACCTGTGCATGCCAGAGGAAAGGAGCCGGGAAGCCATTGCCAGACTAATGCCTCCATGGAGAGGGACGATAGATCTAAACCCTAAACCCTACAACCCCTTAACCCCCTGAACCCCTAAACCCCTAACTCTTAAACCTTTAAACCCCTAGACCCCTAGACCCCTAAACTCCTAAGCCCCTAAACCCCTAACCCCTTAACCCTGAACCCTTTTAAGCCCCTGAACCCTAAACCCTACAACCCCCTAAACTCAAAAAACCCTAATAACCCTGAACCCTGAGCCCTAAACCTAAACCCTACACCGCAGTTGACACATTTTCGATCTCAAGGCAGCGGGCTGCAGAGGCGGCACGGCTGTGATGCCGTGCTTCATACAAGGCCTAGCCGAGCAATTTTGCCTGTGCTCTTGAGCACGCCAAACTTCAGGTCTCAAACCATTCAGCAGGCCTACTGAATTGTCAGAAATCCGCAGGTATCTACAAAGAAGCTCTCGTTGGAGCGGCTAGACGACTATGGCCAGGGAACGTGCAGGTGGGAGGTTGGGGACTGGTTGCAAGGCCAGGAGGCACAAATCAAGGTCTCCAAGATATCGAAGAATCTCGGCGCATCTCAATAGCCGGCAAGTGCCGCCATAGAAGCAGCGTGACGGTACCCATGAATGTCAGGGCCACCAGGTGCGCAGGCAACCAGTTCCCAAAGTGATCGTGCGAAAGCTGGCGAAGAGCTTCCTCGCAGAAAAAGTACATCACAAATATCAGCGACCCGACCTTGATTGGCCCCCTATCGTCCTTTCGTTTCCTAGCTACAAGCAAAACTAAATCATCGCAAAAGACCTGGAAAATGTGTGCCAACGACGATACGGCGGCGGCCACGAGCGCGGCAGAAAGCAGCCATTGCGTCCATTTGCTGTGTCCAAGGTTGCGTACTCTGTAAGCCACGCGAAGCATAATCAGAGCAAAACTTGGAGCGTTGCAGAAGGGATAATTTACCGCTGCAAGCATGGTCTGCAGCAGCACGTCAGCCGGCAGCTCTGGAGAGTTCCAGTCAAGCAGATCCAATATGGCCCATGCAACAGGGCTTGCTGCATGCACGATGCGCCAATATGGGAACACTTGATTCGCAAGCTGGTAGACCAACGTTTCCAACAGCCGTGTCCGAACCATGGACTCGAAGGTTTCCACAGACCCAAACCAAGCAGAAATGCATCGCAAGATGATGAGCCGATCGCACATCACTTGCCCACCTTTGGCGTCCACATGACCGCTCTCACAGCAGTGGCAAGAACACTGTTGAACAGTAAAGTTACGGACTTGGTGCTGCACCACGTCAATGCTTCGACAGTGCGCAAGGATCACATAGGCGAGAAACACCATGCATGGGAACACCATAGCAGCCATAGCAGATATGAAGATTCCACCCCACGGAAACAACGGCAGGCCGGAACACAACAGCGCAAGCAGTAGTATGCTGAGACCGAGGTGACACGCAAAAACAGCGGGGCCAGCGAACACTGGGCAAACAAGCACAGACTTGTCCGCGCCAGGCCCTTTGCTGTGTAAGAAACCTGCCATCTCCTTACTGCAACTGCAATATCATAAGATCGCTCAGTACAGAACTCTACCCGAGCAGTATTCTATAATACGTAGAAGCGGAAATCCTTCACCACAAGGAGACTAGTCGCGAATATGCACCACAATCTCGCGACAAATGTCTCATCCCAAAAGACGAGCAGTGACTGTGAGCCTGTGCACGGTTTGCACCAAGTGAGGATTCAAGGTAGTGTTCGAATATGGGTATTTCGCAAATAGGGATTCCACCCATATACCCGAAAGAATACACTCTTACTCTAGGAACCCAACCCTACTATAATGACATCCCCATACACATGTACATATATTCTGTAATCTAAAGCCCTGAACACTATGCCCCAAAACCCATAAGCCCTTTTCCCCTCAAAACACTAAATCATCATGGCGCGACCTGATGGTTTAGGCTTAGGGTTGAGGGCTTAGGGAAGCAAAGGGACCCGAAGCCCCAAACCCATTTGGGCCTTCAAGGAATTCCCTTAAGGCAAAAACAGAGAAGTTTTCGCTAGTTTAGCACCCTTGGAAACCCTCAAATTGATCATTTTCGTGATTGTTGATCATTTTTTCCCTTGAATAATTTCCCTTAAGGCCGAAACATGGGATTTCCACTGGTTTTATGACTTGTTCAAACTCTCAAATGGCGCATTTTTGTGATTCTTTCAGCCATGGAAGCAAAACCCCAAACCGAAGGCATTAAACCCTTACCCCACAGCCACACCATGCCGGGGCGGGGGTGGGGGGGGGGATAAACCCCAGACCCTCACGACCGCCCCCCCGCCCCCCCCCAAGAATCCTAAACCGTGAACGAAGGTGTTGGGGTGTGGGTGCGCCGTCCCCGCACTGCTGGCTACCAGGCAGCCATTCAGCCCTCACAGAACCTCACTTCCTGAACACCTTGGCCAGCCTTAGATAGACTTTTCGCCCCCCCCTTCCCCCCCCTCATCCGAAGCCTAGCCACCCCCCTCGGCCATTTCGGCAGGCTTCTGCTTAGGGGCTAACCTGAATCATAGGGCCGTGCGCCGCCAAAAGCAACCATTCCTTTCTAGGCCAACAAACCCACCAGGGGCCCCCGAAGTACGAAAGTCTGCTGTTGATCACGAAAGGAGCATCTCAGAAATGCTCCCATGCCTGGGCTGTGCTCTGGGGAAGAACTGGGCTTTGGGCTTTCGACGGTTGTAGCAATTTCGGCACTCTCTCTACTTATGTCTTGGATGTGCCAAGAAAGCAGAAAGCTTCAACACCACCAAAAGTAGAGGCACTGAGCAGGGCCTCACCTTTCTGGATGTCGTCATCCTGGTTGATGCAGGCGACGTCAAGGAAAGCCAGCTTCCTACGAGGAGGTTTAGGCTTGAAAGGGCTTCGGGGCGGAAATCGCCAGAGAAAAGCTCAAACCACTTTGCTTAGGAAAAAGACGACAAGGCGCATCTGCCTTCTTGAAAACTCCGGCTTTTCAAATGTGTGGCCTCATCGGCGGCACCAGATAAAACCCTGCAAAGCCCACACACGGAAATTCTAAAAACCCAGCAAGCACCCCACCAAAGTGGGAGCCTTAATGATTAGAATAGGGTTTTGGGGACTGTTCTGGTATACTAAAATAGGTACCATCCGAGAATGATATTAGGAATTCTTCCGACCCCGAGATTGAATGCTCATGACTAAGTTGCCTAACTGCGGCCACCCGTAGCTAGAGTACCCTTATCCAAGCACCATTTCGGCTTTCTCTTGGCGAATGGCCATCCTAGATCACAGCGCAACCTAGGAATAAACAAGGGCCCCTTTTGTTTTTATACAAAGAGCCTAAATCCAAAAGAGGACCCACTTTGAAGCCTCTCCTCCTTGTTACCATTGTCTTAGACCGGCCCAGAATTCAAGCTGGTGTCCTGCTAGGCCAGAGGAGAAGAGTCACGTAGTAGCCGATGGTGCCAGCCATGGTGCACGACGCATTTGCGGGGCCCGCAACGCGTTGCATCGGCAGGATGCCTGCCAAACGTACAGAGAAAGCCCCTAGGGCACAGAGAGTGCCCACCACGAAGGCTGGGAAGCCGTTGTTCAGGAAGAGGATGTTGACGTACTTGAGCCCCGCACTGGTGCGCCAGCTGTGAGACCAGAACTCATCCAGCTGCTTCGTCACCTTTGGGGCTTGGAGTTCAGGCCCCTAGAAAAACAACTTTCTGTGAGGTAGGAAAGGTTGCAGAGAGTTTGGGGCCAATAAAACTTTGAAACTGTTTCAAGAGACCCCTGACCTCACTGAGTCCATAAAACATCCTGTGCTTCTTCGCCAACCCCTTGCACGGCATGCGCTGCAGGAATCGGTGCACTGGGATCCCTCGCACGATATCGGGTCTGATGGCTTTCATCTGGGTCATAATCTCAAGGAGGCCCTCAACAAACTGCGAATCCAGATAGTCTTGCGCAGAGTCTTCACTGAGTTCGCTGGGAGTTCCCACGACGACCTGCAAGCCACTCTCCGTCATGCCGGCCAGGAAACACGACAACTTGCGCAAAAAACGGTCTGCTGTGCGTTCAAAAACCCTTGCAATATGAAGTACGTGTCGTAGATCTTGAAATGCTGCTTTTTGCAGCAGTGGGTGAAACCGATCAATCGCTGCAGCCAGAAAGAAACACGTGCCGTGGCTCTCCACATATTCTACCAAGAAGCTCCCCTTCTGCGAGACTATGAGACGGTGGTTTCTGATCCCTTTCAGGGCATCAAATGGACTTTGCAGGGGGTCGATGTGTAGTGCTATTCTGGACATACGTACCCAAAAACCATACTAAACAGGGTTTGGGGGGTACCTAATTCCGTAATAGTACTACAAATTGACCCTCTGGATCATGTCTGTCAAGCACCCAAGAAGGATCCTAAACGGAACCGCATAAAGAATCGCCAAGCAAGCCCGGGTTTTTGGCAGTCAATCCTCACGCACGTGTGATACCGCGCTGGCGTTGAAAACCCCGGTGCGCCCATGCAGTTATTTATTCAACAGCTCGGTGCAGGTGAAACACTCTTGTTTTTTGCTTATAGTGCCTCCTAAGTGGAGGCCTCTCTGCAAGGTCTGTAAGACTTACTTCAACATTCTGAAAGTACGAACACTCCCAATAGTAGTACTGTAGCACCTTTACTCCCGCGCTCCCGTTTAGTATAGGGTCCACTAAACCCTAAACCCTAAACCCTAAACCCTAAACATTAAACGAGAAATAATAAAACGTAAACCCTATTTTACGGTAACAGCCACGGCCAGAGAAGCTCGATAGCCTGCACTTCTCCCAGCTGAGCCAAGAATGCTTGGGCTGCGAGCCAGTGCCCACTCTGCCTCCAGGTCCCCTAAACCCTAAAACCTAAATCTTAAGTTCCCAAGTCGAAGTCTACTACCCCCGACAGCCAAAAAGTGAGCCGGGGGGGGGGGGGCTGTGTTTAGGGTTTCAAAAAGGGTTGTAGGCTCTCTTAACCCGACACCCAAAACGCTAAGCCCTAAACCCCAACCATCTATAGACCCTAGTGGAGCCAAGCTGCTCGCAAACGGCGAGCCCCATGCTCCACATCATGGCAACCTCTCCCAGCGCCGTGGGCGCAGACCGGATCAGATGTTCCAGAGCCCTTTGCCACTGCCCTCCTTCTTGTTGCAGGTTTCGGGTTTAGGGCCAAAAGGGGTTTAGGTTCTGCTTCAGCTGGAGGGAAGGGGTACTGCTCCCCACCACGAACAGTCGTTGATCTGCTCATGGGTTCTTCATATGTGGGTAGATCTCTTCAACAGGGTCCCATTCACGGTCCTCATGATCATCACGGGGGCTGTATTACATAGGGCCATAGGGCCACTCAAAAAAAGACGCTCCAAGAGTATAGCAGGAATATCTGCACGTGCATTCTCACTGCGATTTGCTCGTGGTCTTATGGTACCTGTAGGTGCCTCACACCCCCCCCCCCACCCACCCCCTTCGTTCAGGCTCTGCAGGGTCTATAAGAGGCCGTCAACCCTTGATAACGTCATTGACCTAAACCCGAGACCCGAAACATCTGAAGACCCGGCACCATACAACAAACAACAAATCCCCTCCGCATCTGCAAGAACAACAACAAGTACTATTGGCATAAAACCACCCCGAACAGTACAAAATGTTCTTCGTTTTAAGGCCGTAATAGGGATTATCATCGTTATTCTTTTTTGGGGGTTCTTTAGAAAAAAACACAAAACAAGAAATGCAACAGACAACCCAAACCCGAACCCCGAAGTGAACCAGAAGTGAACTGCAGCAAAGACCCTCTTCTAAGGGTAGTTTCATGGGCCCTTAGTATGGGCCCTGAAAAGCGGACCCCTTATATACCCCTTATATACGCCATAGAACCCCCGGGCCCATACTGCAGAACCCTTTAAGGGAGGTAGTGGACCATATTCAGGGCCCATTTATAACTTCCCTTAGACCACTCGACCCAAGAGGAACCTAGGAATTGACAGGGTGCACCTTTTTGGTTTAAGGGGGCTTCTAAGGCTTAAAAGCAAGGACATAAGAGCCTACTCTGGGCCCTTGCCCAGATATCCCCATCCAACTCTTGTTGCCAAATGGAGGTTTAGGACTCAAAGGGTAGGGTTTAGGGTTTAGGGGTTTAGGTAGGGCTGAGGGTTTATCCTGAACCCTAACCCTAAACCCTCAACCTGAACCCTAAAACTCTACAGGGCTTAGGGCTGAGGGTGGCCCAGCCCGTACCGGAACCCAGCCTCTCTGACAGGTACGCACGGCGGCGTTCCAAGTGATCTCGTTGGCTTCCAGCCCTCGCCCACGCATATCCAGAAGCAACCGAAGAGTCCCCTGCAGGTTCAGGAGGTTTTGGTGTTAGGGTTTAAGGTTAGGGTTTAGGGTTTAGGGTTTAGGTTTTAGGGTTTAGGGTTTAGGGTTTAGGGTTTAGGGTTTAGGGTTTAGGGTTTAGGGTTTAGGGTTTAGGGTTTAGGGTTTAGGGTTTAGGGTTTAGGGTCTAGGGTTTAGGGTTTAGGGTGTAGGGTGTATAGGGTTTAGGGATTATAGGGATTAGGGACTAGGGATCACAGGCTCCGAGGTTTTGGGGATGGTCCCGTGAACCCCACATGGGTTGAAAGCTCCGTACGGTTACCCGAAACCGTATCAGTTTAGGGTTTCGGGTTTAGGGTTTAGGGTTTTTAGTTTAGGGTTTAGGGTGTCTATCTAACACTGAACCCGACAACCGAGATGCCGAAAGGCAGCGTCAAAACGATCCGCGCATGGGGTTTACAGGGTTTCTGGGCTTTGGGGTTATCGGGTTGGAAGCCCTAAACCCCCCTGAACCCTGCACCCGAAACCCCTAAACCCTAAACCCTATCTCGGTCCTGCCACAGTCCCAACTCTTGGGAGTCGTTGGCGGCAACGTTGAAGCTGATCAAATCTGCCTCCATCTGCACCCGTGCAGACATGGTTCAACAACAGTGGGTTTGCTTGAAGGATCGGGGCACTTCATTAGGGTTTAGGGTTTAGGGTTTAAGGTTTAAGGTTTAGGGTTTAGGGAACTTCTTAATACCTTATAATATCTTCGCAGGATAGGTATACCACGTAGGACAACACCCCAACCAGCACACAGGGCTTACTTCAAGGACTGGGGCACTGAATATTATCTGCGTCTCTTCTCGGAAGCCTGGTTTGGGGGCATGATAGAACATCTAGCAACTTGGTATACTAAGTAGGACAACACCCCAAACAGTACATGGGCCTACTTGAAGGATCGGGGCACTTATTATCTCTTGGTATACTAAGTAGGACAACACCCCAACAGTGTCCCTTCTTCGGGTACTTATACCTCTGCCTTGTACCTATACGAAGCCCCTGATCTTGCCAGACCGTTTTGGGTATCCGGCTTCGGGCGTGGGAACAAAATAGCACAAGAGATACAGCGACCGCACTGGTTTTAGAAACATTGGTTTAAGAAAAAGAGCTGGCACCCAAACGTGCCGACAGCTCTGGGGCCAAATGTGTTCTGCTTCAGAGAACTCGGGTCGTACTGCGGCCAAAAGTTTGAGAAAAGGGGCCCCTCTTTTCTCTTAACTGTAAGAAACTGACCCCTTCAAGCTCCTGCTTTCGTCTTCGGCCTGGGCCGGATATTCTGACAAAAGCACACAGGCCTCAACTTCAAGAAGCCCAAGGTGCCCTGACCTGGATTTCTTATCCAGCGCTGTCAGTGCCATAGGTGGTGCATTTATAATGCCAAGACCTTCCTCAACAGATCGAACCAAAACGAGAAGCGCATGACCAAATGATGTTGTATTGAATTGAGCGGCCAATGCAAATCGTGCTCTACATCCTGGGGAATCCGGGACGAGCCATAACAAAACAGCTGCTGAAGGATCAAAACACTACCTGCATCAAATCCGTGGAGAGAGGACTTCATGCCTTCCTTTCTCTTCACTCCTTCTTTCTTTCCTGTCTTCCGGTCTTCCCACCTTGCCACCTTCCTGTCTTCCTGCCTTCCTTGCTGTCTTCAAATGTTCCTTCCAGTCTTCCCGTCTTCCCCGTCTTCCCCCGTCTTCCCCGTCTTCCCGTCTTCCTGTCTTCCTTCTTGTCTTCCTATTTTCCTTCCGGTATTCCTGGCTTCCCTTCTTCCTGTCTTCCTAGTTGCCTTCCTGTCTTCCTGTTTGCCTGCATTTCCGCCTTCCAGTTTTCCTTTGGCCCCTTGCATTCCTGTCTTGCTGTCTTCCTGTCTTCCCCTCTTCCCCTCTTCCTCTCTTCCTCTCTTCCCCTCTTCCCCTCTTCCTCTCTTCCCCTCTTCCTCTCTTCCTCTCTTCCTCTCTTCCTCTCTTCCTCTCTTCCTCTCTTCCTCTCTTCCTCTCTGCCTCTCTTCCTCTCTTCCTCTCTTCCTGTCTTCCCGTCTTCCCGTCTTCCCGTCTTCCTGTCTTCCCGTCTTCCTTTGCCTTCCTTTGCCTTCCTTCTCTCCTTCCTTCCTTCCTCCTGTGATCCTCAAATGTCAAATTGGCGCTTGATACCTTCAAGATGCTTTTTTTCCTGCATCTAAGAAATTAAGCCCTCTACCTTGAAGCCGACTACCACTCCGTGTGCTTTGCAACAACTTTTACCCTCAAGAAGGCCACTATACCCGCAAGAAGTTTTGTCTGGGCTGGAGGAATGGACAGCGCCTCTCGGCACTGAGGATCAGGGAATGATTACTACGTCGGTGTTTACACACGTGCGCTTGCTTCTTGCGTGAGAGTCCTCTTTGTGGGGTTCGTTTGTTCGTTGCCCTGTAGATGAGGTTCGCGGTGAACATAGCATGCAATACAGATATATATATATATATGTACACGCACACGCATGTATTTCCAACCTTTATTGCAAGAGAGGGGGAAGAGAGAGAGAGAGTGAGAGAGAGAGAGAGAGAGACAGAGAGAGAGAGAGAGAGAGAGAGAGACCCTTAAGGCCTCCTTTTCTTGGGCGACCCAAACGCTTTCGAGCATCCTCTGCCTCCACCCCGCTGCTGGGCATGGCCGCAAGCAGCTGCGATGCTCGTCGCCATTGCCCGGCCCTCTCCAACGCAGCCAGGGCCGCCTTAGAAGTGGGCCCAGGGGATTTTTCGGGGGGTGTGTTAGGGTTTCTAGGGCTGAGGCCGATTTTACGGTCTAGAGGATACGGGGGGAGGGGGCGGGTTTAGGCTTGAGGGGAATGTTAGGGTTTAGCAAGGTGAGCCCCATCGCAGTCGCCGAAAGCCTTGCAAACCCGTGTTCAGCATGCAGAGTTCGGGTATGAGGTTCAGAGTTCAGGGTTTGGAGGTTTATTGAGACAGTGTAATCCTGAATGTATGATATTCCGAAAATTCAAGCTATGAAATATCCAGAATGTGGGAAAGAGAAAAAAATCAAAATGTACTATAAGTCGGATTATGAACGTTCTTAATCAAGAAAGAATATGGACTGAATATGAACATGTCAGAAAACTAGTACTGGCTGCCACCCCCAGGGCATTGACACCGACGAGGTTGGCCGAGCCAGGCTTGGCAAACCTAGCGGTGAGAACTTGACAGGGCAGGGATTTTGAGGATTTTTGGGGGACTTTCGGAATTGTTGAGGGGATTTGGGGAATTTGGGATTCTGTTGACCTTGGGTTTTTTGGGGGGATTTTGGGCCTGGGGTGGAGGAGTTTGGGGTCTTTAGGGTTTTGGGCTGTGGGGCCCTAACTCTCATCCCCTAAACCTCCCCTAAACCTAAGAACCCTAGAACCCTAGAACCCTGCAACCCTAGAACCCTGAACCCTGAACCCAAAAGCCCTCCTAAACCCCAAACCCTAAATCCCCAAACCCCAAACCCTAAACCCCAAAACCCTAAACCCTAAACCGGGCCACTCATCGAGCCCTCGCCGCCAGCGGCCGGCGGCCCCCAAAGCGGCGGTGGCGGCGCTCCGGCTGAATGCGTCGGGCTCGCACTCCGCGGCGCGGATCTCCTGGTTCAGATAGGGTTTAGGGTTTAGGGTTTAGGGTTTAGGGTTTAGGGTTTAGGGTTTAGGGTTTAGGGTTTAGGGTTTAGGGTTTAGGGTTTAGGGTTTAGGGTTTAGGGTTTAGGGTTTAGGGTTTAGGGTTCAGAGGGGCTGTAAGGGGTCTTATTGAGGGTTTCAAAGGGTTTTAAGGGGTTGTAAGGGGGGGTTTGTGTTGGGGTTTCAGGGGTTTAGGGTTTGGGGTATAGGGTTTAGGGTTTAGCGTTACAATTCGGGTTTTGGGTTTTAGGGTTTTGGGTCTTAGGGTAAAGGGTTTTAGGATGTAAGGTGAAGGGTTTTGGGCTTAGGGCTTCGGGTTTAGGGTTAAGGGGTTGCGTTGCGTTGGTTTGAAGAGTTCAAGGCTCAAGGAAGAACTTGTTCCCCTGACATCACTTCGAGCGAAAGAGCCTATAAGCTCTAAGCCCTAGTTATATAGACTCTAAACCCGAAAGCCCGAAACCCTAAGAACCACTAGATCCCAGACTGAACCTCAACACTAACCCCTACGGGACCTACAAGGGGGGGGGGTGGGGGGGGTGGGGGGCCTCCGAAATCACCCTATGAGGGCTCCGCAGTATTAGCCACAGGTTTCGGGTTTAGGGTTTCGGGTGTAGGGTTTAGGGTTTAGGGTTTGGGGTTTAGGGTTTAGGGTTTAGGGTGTAGGGCTTAGGGTTTAGGGTTTAGGCTTTAGGGTTTAGGCTTTAGGGTTCAGGGTTTAGGGTTTAGGGTGGAAGAACCTCAGTGTGATCCTTGAGCAGCCCCAGCACTGGCTGCCAGAGTTCGCTTCGTGCGGTTGAGCTCATGACCTTATGTTGGGATGACTTGAGAAAGGTTTGGGGTTCAGGGTTTAGGGCTTCGGGTTTAGGAGGGTTTAGGGTTTAGGGTTTAGGGTTTAGGATTTGGGGTTTGGGGTTTGGGGTTTGGGGTTTGGGGTTTGGGCTTTGGGGTTTGGGGTTTGGGGTTTGGGGTTTGGGGGTTGGGGTTTAGGGTTTAGGGTTTAGTGTCTAGGGTTTAGGGTGTTTAGGGTCTAGGGATTAGGGTTTAGGGCTTCGGGTCTTTCGGGTCTGGATGCTTAGCGTTGCGGTTTAGGGGGGTTTAGGGTTTGGGGGGTTTAGGTTCGGAGTATAGGGTCTACTTACTGTCTACTCTAGCGGACCGAGCAGTAGGCATGATTTCGCAACGCTAACCTGTCACCAGGAACCACATTTGCATGCCTGTCTAGGCTACTCATTGAGAACTACACGTACGCAGACAGCAGCCCACATGGGACTTAAGGTCATTTCTGGCTTGCTACCTGGTACACTTGGTACTATATGTCAAGCTTGGTGGCGGTGTTGAATGCCACGATATCCGGCAGAATCCGCAATCCGGGCATCAGCGAAAACAGCCAGCACCCCTTCTCCCAGCCACTGCTTGCTTCGCAAGCGCTGATGCTGCTGCTGAAGCTGACGCTATCCTAGGAGGTTCTAGTTTTTTGGGCTTGCAGTTTTGGGGTTTGGGGTTTAGGGTGGTCGGGCAAGGATGTGGGACTTGACTTCACATTCATTTGAAAATATTCGAGAGACCCCCCCCAAAAAAAAAAAATGGTGCACCTTTCTCTCTTCCATAGCTAGCTTGGCTATGGGTCCGAGGTCACGTGAAGCACGTCCAAGTCTCCCTCTGCAGCCACTCGTACTCGCGCGGAAGCTCCCAGAGGAGCCAAAGAGCTTGCTGCCACTGCCCAGCTCTGGCGCATGCGCCCATGGCTGCATTGAGGCTAATCTCGTTTGGCGCCAGGGTGCCACGCAACATGTCATAAAGGAGGTGCAGACCCCATTGCCACCGTCCGCTTTGCTGACATGCGTGAATGCTGGCATTGAACGTAATCACATCAGCTTCGAGCTCCTCGTCCGACATCTCCCTCAGCAAGGCACATGCGACCTGCCACTGCTGGGCAGCAGCGCACACACTGATGCAGGCGTTGCAAGGCACATTGGCCCTTTTGTGTGCTCCGGAACCCATCGACAGAATCTGAAGAGCTATCTCCCACTCTTGTGCTTCCTGACAGGCGCCGATGGCAGCACTGCAACTCCTTGCATTGGTGCCCAGCCTAGCCAAAGGCATGTCCCCAAGCAGCTGAAGAGCCACTTGCCACTGCCCCGCCCGATCACACGCGCCTATGGCGGCGTTGTAGCCTCGACCCAAGTTTAACCTAGGAAAAACATAAGAGCACCCTTTTTGGGTTTAACAAGTGGCCTATAAGAGAGCGTTAACCCCAAAAACAGGGGAAAAAGTGCCTGGACTAGGTCCTAGAAGCTTACAACATCTGCCTGGACTCCCATGTCAGTCATCTTGCATAACAGGTCCAGAGCCAGATCCCATCTTGCCGCCCTGCCCTGGGCCGTTATGCCGGCACTCAGCGCGATGACATCCGCCCGAACCGTGGCTGACATCTCACCCAGGAGATGGAGAGCGAGAGCCCACTCCTCACCCTTCGCATAGGCGCTGATGCAGGCGCTGAAAACAATGGTGTCGGCCCGCATGGACAGGGTCAGCATCTGCCGAAAGAGAAGACCTGCAACCTGCCATTGACCACCCTTCTCACAGGTGCTGATGCTGGTACTGAAACTAATCACATCTGCCTGAACCTCAGCAGCAGCCATCGCGGATAGCAGCCGTAATGACCATTCCCACCGCCCATCTTCTTCACACGAGCTCATCGCGGCATTGTACGTGACCGTGTTGGCTTGCAGTTTGATAGCCGGCATGTCTGAAATCAGGTCAAGGGCCACGAGCCAGGCTTTCCCTGATGCACAGGCCGTGATGCAGGAGTTGTAAGAAATCACATCCGGTGCCAATCTTCTGGTAGGGATCTCCTCAACTAGCTCAACAGCCCGGAGCCAGTGCCCCCTGCACGCGGTGATCCCCGCATTAAAGCTGATGGTGTTTACGACACAACCTGGCCATGAGAGCATCGTCAGGGCCCACTCCCATCTACCACCCTTCTCACAAGCACTGATGCTCGAACTGACACCTCTCACGTTGGTGACGAACTCGGGAAGCTCCGGCAGCAGCGACAACGCCCTGCGCCACAATCCAGCCTTTCCGGCGGCACTGATGCCCGTGCAACAGAGGGCCAAAGAGGGCTGGCAGCCTGTTGTCGATAGGGCAGCCAGGCGCTCCAGGGCGAGAGGCCACGGTGATGCCTTTCCATAATTGCGCAATGCCTTGGAGACGCGCAAGTGCACGGCTCCCTCACGGACTTCCTCCACCATGGAGTCATGTTGGGAGGGGATTTCTAGGAAAGATCGGGGGCGGACGAGGCAACTCCAGAGCTAGATCATGCGCGCCGGCCTGCAAACAAGGTATTCCCTTGCCCCGAATAGTACCCTAATACTAAAAAAAAACCTGACCCAAAACCCGATTCCGTACCCGCCCCTACTAAAACCTCTACCAAACTAAGGGTGGGTTAGGGGGGTTCGGAGGCCTGAAGCAGACACCTGAACCCTGAAGATTCAAATTCCTTTGTCCCGGGCTTAGCTGGAAGGGGGAAGGGGGAAGGGGGAACGGGCTTAGGGGGAAGGGGGAAGGGGGAAGGTGGCAGAGGGGAAGGGGGAAGGGGGAAGGGGGAAGGGGTGGAAGGGAAGGGGAAGGGGGAAGGGGGAAGGGGGAAGGGGGAAGGGATTAACGGAAGACGCCCCCACGCCGGAAACCCTCAACCGCGAGACGACAAGAAAGTAGGTTGGTCCTGCGGTGCAGCACTGCAGGAACAAAAGGTTCCAAAAGGATGGGTTGCTGTCAAGACACTTGAAGATAAGATGCCGTTGTGAGGATCATGAACAACAATGTATACATACATATACATAAACACATAAAGCAATTATTTTACTTCGAACATCCCCACCTTTGGGATTTGGAATTTTAAGTCTCTGGGGTTGGGCACTCCAGGGAGTCTCTGCGGTTGGGCAGTTCAGCGAGTCTCTGAATTTGGGCACTCCAGGGAGTCTCTGGGGTTGGGCACTTCAGGGTCTCTGGGGTTGGGCACTCTCTGGGTTTGGCACTCCAGAATTTTCAGGTTCTCGGGGTGGGCACTCCAGGTGAGTCTCTGGGGGAGTAGAGTTCCGGGCGAGGAGAAGAGTTGAGTTTAAAACCTATAGGGCCCCCTTTTGGGTGCACGGCGCCCTTATTATAAGGACCCCGAAAGGGACCCGAATTTATATCGATATATATATATATGTATATATGTCTACGTCTATATATATATATATTATGAATATGTGTATGAATGTCTATAAAAATATAACATATATACACATATTTAAGATACATAAATATATATATATATATATATATATATAGCACACTCGTTCTCTCCCCCATGGCAACTTGACTTATATAAGCTCCTTAACAGCAGCTTAAAGGACCGCCAGGAAGTGTCGAGGTTCCAAGACCTCGACCCTAAACCCTGAATCCCTCAGCCTCTGAGACCCCAAACCGACCTCTAGATTGATAAGCAAAAGCGCTAAGTTGATTTCACTTAGGGTTTACGGTTCTGTGGTTTGGGGGTAGGAATTCCCTCCCTGATCCCTAAACAGCCCACAAGAGCTGTTGCAAAAGAAAGAAACCAGGATGCGGGTAATATTTGGGCCTCTCAGTCTTCTCTCCGCCCAACTAAGAGCTACCCAGCGTTATGGCCAGGTTTCCTGCCACTTCATTGTGAAACCCTTCTTCCAGAAGGCTGGCCACGAGGTCGGCATAGCCGGTGCACCAGGTCTCGCCGAGCTTCCGTGTGTCATACTCTGGCAACTCGAACAGGCTCCTGGCACAAGCCCATTTATGCAGTACCATGATGGACACGAGGCAACCCCAAACCATACTAAACAGAAATTTGACAACCCTAACTAGGGTTTCCGAAGGGCTTCCTTTTTGGAGGTCCTCTTGGGGACCTCCGCAGATAATTCTGCACGAACATTACCCCCCCCCCCCCTCCAACGCCCCAGCTAGAATTGGCGTTAAAGTATCTGAACTACTACACTTCTTGTTGAGGCATATGATCAGTTCTCAGGATTCTGGTCACCTGGTCCTTTTTGGGGGACCCTGAAAATTAGGGCTGCCTGATAACCGTATATAACCCCAAAAGGGGCCACTGGCCAAAAAGGTTTAACCCTAAACCCTAAACCCTCAAAGAAGTGACCACATGAGCCCCTAAACCCTAAACCCTAAACCCTAAACCCTCTGAGGCTCATTTGGTCCTCAAGGACCTGTGACAGCGCAGCCGCACGACCGCCGCAGGCTCGGCTTCGAGGAGAAAGGGGCGATGCAGGGGGGCCTTCGAGGGTTTAGGGTTTAGGGTTTAGGGTTTAGGGTTTAGGGTTTAGGGTTTAGGGTTTAGGGTTTAGGGTTTAGGGTTTAGGGTTTAGGGTTTAGGGTTTAGGGTTTAGGGTTTAGGGTTTTCAGAGTCTGGGCTGTTTTGGGCTTTGGTGGTTTGGGGATCATGGGGCCAAGGCACTTGAGACCCCTAACTCCAAAGAGCCTGAACTAAATCCCAAAGCCACATGAACCCTACATCCTAAACCCTATAAAGCCGAAACCCGAAACCCTAAACCCTAAAACCCGAAATCCTAAACCCTAAACCCAAAACCATAAACCCTAGCAAGCCAGCCTCTAGCTCGATCAGCAGAAGACACGAAGTTGATTTCACGGATCAGGACGGGATCCTCGTTGGCTCGGGTGGTAGACTCAGGATTCAGAGGCAAAGGAGGTTTAGGGTTCAGGGTATCGGGTCTAGGGTTTAGCGTTTAGGGTTAAGGTTTAGGGGGTTTAGGGTCCTGCGGTTTAGGGGGTTTAGGGGGTGTAGGCGTTTAGGGTGTTCAGGGGGCTAGAGGTTTAGGAGGGTTAGGGGGCTTAGGGGGTTGAGGGTGTTCAGACTGGGGGCTTCGACATTTGGAGGGTTTGGATCTACCAGCCCAACCCTAAAAACCCCAGAAAGAAAGCTGCAGCAACTGAAGAGCATAAGGTTTCGGGACCTAAACCCTAGTCCCTAAACCCTATACCCGATTGTGAGGTTACTTCACTGTATCAGGCTACCTCAGAGGGGTGAAAGCGGCGGCCTTCCTCAGTCCCCGGTAGCTATGCTAATATTTGAATAAACAATAATGATGCCGAAATGGCCCTTACAAGGAAGAATACTTGTATCTTTTGAAATTGGGTCTTTTGGGGGCCACAGCAAGCCGGCTTCAACCGTCCTGAACCCTGAACCCTGATTTTCCACCCCTACACCTGCTTTCACGCCCCGGCAAACCCTCAACCCGAAACCCTCAACTCCAATTAAACCCCCAACCCCCCCCCCCCCCCCCCCCAAAACACGAAACCACAAAACTCCTAAACCCCAAAGACCCTAACACCCCCCAAAACCTGAAACCTCTAAACCCCAAAATCTCAATCTTCTCACGCCCCCAACACCCTAAACCCTAGACCCTAAACCCTACACCCTACACCCTAAACCCGTCCGGCCTACGGGCCAAAATTTCTGCGGCCGACTCGGCAGCGGCGGCGAGAAGCTCCGCAACCGGATGCCACAGAGCGCCGCTGTCCTGGGCTTGCCCTAGAAACCTTCTGGGTTTAGGATTCAGGGCCTACTGATTTAAGGTTCAGGGTTTATAGGGTTTATAGGGTTTATAGGGTTTATAGGGTTTATAGGGTTTATAGGGTTTATAGGGTTTATAGGGTTTATAGGGTTTATAGGGTTTTTGGGTTTATAGGGTTTATAGGGTTTATAGGGTTTATAGGGTTT